CAGACTACCATCAATGATGAAAAGCCAATTGAGGGAAAGAAAGAAAAAGCCACCCTCTTAACTTCTCTCTCCTCTCTCTCTCTCTCTCTCTCTCTCTCTCTCTCTCTCTCTCTCTCTCTACAGTATATATATACATACACACAGCCAAATATTTATATACATTTATGTAAGGAAAAATGTTTGGCCTACCATGGAAGGCTTTTTCATTAGGCCAATTTGGTTTTAAGAGTGAAAAAGAAGCAGTCTTTTGCGTTAGGAAGAAAACATATTACAGTAGAACCTCGATAAATTAATACCCGATAAATTAATAACCTCGCTTAAATAATAAATTTTCTCGGTCCCGACTCGGGGACAACGTGCTAAATTAATAATTCGTTAAATTTATAAGATAATACACATTCGAAAAATTTAAGAAGCCCCATATAATATATAAATTAATAATGCATAAAATAATTCTTAAATTACATGGTATAGTACATATTTTATAGATCTATGAAAGCTTAATATAATATAATATAATTGTTGCTTGTTTCTTGTTGAAGTTCACATTACCATTAATCTCGTCCCTCACTTTTCTTAACATGTTAGAACTTTCGGTATTGTTTTGTCATAACTCAACATAAAATCGTTCTATACCATTGCTGCTTTAAGAGCTTCCGTTCGTGAAATGAGCTCTATAATGCATTGAACTAATGGTACAATGAATAATATACACGTAAAAAAAATGTATTTATTGAAAATAATAATAAAAGTAATTTCATAAATTAATAATTTATTAATTAATGTATAAATTAATAATTATTAATTTATCGATAAGTTAATATTTCGCTAAATTAATGAAATTTTGATGGTCCCAGCAGTATTAATTTATAGAGGTTTAACTGTATATTATATATTAATTTAATTTAATTTAATTTAATATGTGATAACGAATTATAACTATTTATTGCTGAAATTGCTTTGATGACAGAGACTGGGAGATTGCGTAGGTTAGCACTCCTATGATGTTTTCTCAATACGTGTGTGTATCATAATAATCTGTTCCGCCATGTTTGTTTGAACTTTACAGCAATATCAATTCCTCGTTCTTCTAGTTTTTATTACAATATTCTTATTAATCCATTTTTCCAATACATGAAAAATATACATGATTAAAGTTTTATTTTAGATCCATAAAATTAATTTTACATTTTTTTTTGTAATTGAAATAAAATCAAGTTTTGGAACAAAATTTCTGGATGTTATTGATTTTGACTCATATTTTCAAATTTTAATTTTTTCTTCACTGTAATTTCGAAATTTCGATTTCCTATTTTTTTTTTCGGATAAAAATGGGTTATATATAAGATTACGGTTTTTTATCTGATTTTAGTTTCCTAATTCTTTTTTTTTTTCTACTCTAGTTTATAATATCAATGTGATTACTTATTTTATAGCTTTAAGGCTTCGTTTGTTTATGGCGATTCACTCAACTTGGATCCGATCCGATCCTGATCCATCTAGATCTGGTCCATGTGATTGAACTAAATAGGACGGTATCCATGTAACCGAATCGAAATTGTTGGCTCTAGCCATGATTAACCAAATAACTGGATTTTGTTTGATGTACCTAATAATTTCGCGCATCGACCCAAAAATTATAAATTGTTGGTTATTTTACCTTTTAGAGATTTTTTTATTGGACATTTTATGGACTAATAATACAACTGAGTTTCGTTAAATCATTTAATCTTATCTTGGTCTATCCCATCTTGGCAACCAAACAAAGTCTAAGTGGACAAAGAAACAAAATTAATTAATTTACCCAATTTCGATTCGATTTTTATTTTTTTTCCATTTTTTTTTTTTTTTGCAAATGAGTTGTAATATTTTATGCGGGCCCAATTAATCCAATGCACTAAGCATAGTTCCGCCGAAGCCCACATTAGAATCAGCTCTCGACCCATTTGTCCAAAACGCCGCCGTTTCCAAACGCAATCAAAGCCTCAGCTTGAGCCCTAATTACTAATTACTCCCCTTCTCATGAATTAAGATCAATTTTCATTTGAAAAGTTGAAGATTAATCCTGAATTCCTTAAGCCCGTGATGTTGAATTCTTACTACAGCGCCACAAATTTCAGTCCTTGGATTTATGGGGGAATCGCTCCAAGGTAATTAATTTTCCCCATTGTTTTCTGGATTTCCGTTTTCTTAACAATCTGTGTGCATTATGCCATGAGTGCTTCGACTTGTGTCAAGCTTTGTCTAGGAACCTGGTAATGGCGATTCAGTGTTGGAAAGGTGATATGTATATACTTGAAGTTTAGTGATTTATCTATCATTCATTATTTATCTCTCTTTTAGGGCATGAATTGTTTGAAGTTTCTTAGCATTTTCTATATTGCCTATTATACCCCTTTAACGGAGATTCGATTGATGTTATGATTAATGCATTCGATATAGTGTACTTTTTTCATCTTGTCACTTGGTAGTTTAGTATAAGTCGATGATTGTTACTTATACCTGAAGTGGTTAGTGTGTGGAAGTTTTTTTTTTCGGAAGTATCTCTTTCATTATCATCGATTTCGTACAACTCATCAGAGTTTTCATGGAAGTTCAAATTTCGGTTCCCAAAAAAATCGTATTACTGCATTCTGTAAGCCTCTTATTTCATCTTCTTTATTTGTGCAGGATGAGAATGCTGGAGTGGCGAAATAGACGTGTGAAATCCTAACAATGGGGCTATTGGCCAATGGCTGAATCAAATAGAACGGCTTTCCAAATCCAAGCACCACAAAACCGACAAACGCAGTCGCTAAACCGGTGAAGAAAGCCCACTGCCACCCTCTGTTCAGTGCGATCCACACGACAGCTGTCACTCCTATCAGCCATCCTATGGTTGTACTGAACTGGTAATAGTTGAAATTAGCTGGCGACACCCTTTGCTCCATTCTGGTCGAATTGATCTGCGCCAAGTGCAGCTATCGACCCCTTCACTCCACCGCAGCCTAAAGCTAAGAACAAAGACGAGTGAAATATGATGGATTCTCCACCGTTGATGCAGCTCGATATATTGCAGGGTTTGTTCTGCCATTTGTCGGAACTTGCTTGGATTGTTATGATTACCAATCCCTTGTGAGAAAGAAATCAAAGGTTAGTCCATAACCAAGAGCACACCCTTGTACTTGCTCTATTTATCGAAATAAATATCATGAGATCGAAAGTCATAGGTAAAAATTGACTCGGCTCGTTTTGTAATTCACTCGTGGAATTTTTGCTTGTGTATGCAGTTTTTAGGTTGAATGGACAAAAATGCCCTTTGATAATGTACATAATGGGAAAATTAGGCCACTGAACCAAAACATCATTTTTAGGGGTAGTTGTGACTCTGTTATTATTTTTGTTGCAGTGAGCTATAGAAAAAGAGGTTATTGCAAAAAACCCCTTGTCATGCATTTTTTTTAGCACACAACCCCCTAAATAGTGGATTTTAGGGGGTAGTTTGCTAAAACAAAATTGAATCATGGATGTTCATCACAAGAATATACCATAATTTGTAATTTTATATTTTCTTAATTTAAATATAAAATAGTTATTGATTATGTGTAGATTAATTTCACAAACAAAACCCTAAAATAGAATAGAATATACTCTATAAAGAAGTTGTGAAGTGGACAGGTGTCGCGTAGTGGGTAACTTTAGGTGGAGAAAAGCAATCATCACATGGCTCTGGATAAGTATTATATAAACTGCCACCGACACCCAGACTTTGATGCTTCACTTTCATTTATTTCTTCAAGAAACCAACTGCTACTCTACTTTAATTCTTCAATTTCATATCAGTCCTTAATATTACCTCTTATTACTTTTAGGTCCTTTCTTTCCAATTAGTTGGCACCTTTTACCCCTCGTATTTAACAAACGTACAGTTTGTTTCTGACATTCACCGTTACTGTTGGCCAACAAAAATGAACTGCACATTCTGTAAATAAACTCTAAATGTATATATTTACTTAATTTATGCAAGATAAAAATAATTCATCAATCATTGAGATATGCTGTGATTGTTCTTATTAAAAATATCTCTGTCCAAAACTTATTGTTAAATTATAGTCAAACACCTGGTATACCTAATCTTACAGCAAATATATTATATATATATATATATATATAGATAGAGAGAGAGAGAGAGAGAGAGAGAGAGAGATAAAAGGAGTGAAGGTCACAAGTAATGACCAATTCCCACTCACTTTATTGAAGAGCACGGTTCTTCTGTATGCATACAGCAAATATATATATATACATATATATATGCTGATAAAAAGAAATACAGTTCAATATAAATAGTGTGATATTACAAAAGGGTCAATCATTACAGTTAACAGTTTCACAAAATATTCCGACAAAAAAAAAGATGAGATCATCATCATTAGCTCACTATAATCATAGTAGTAATGGGGTATGCCAGTTCTTGATTATCATGATGATTACTGCATTATTTGTCAACGAATGCAGCGGTGTTGAAGGGTACAAGAACTACACGGTGGGCGATTCTCTCGGCTGGTTCGACACTCTCGAAAAACCCAGCGTCGATTACCGCAAATGGGCCGCCGACAAGATTTTCAGCCTCGGCGATTTCCTCAGTAAGTATTTGTTTTCTTCACCTTCTTGCGAGTGTATTCTGTTTCATACTGATTCTTGATTCCGGGATCATAGTTTTACCTGTGTCTTGCTCAAGATCAAAACAAACATGTTTTGTGTTGATTCTTGATTCAGGGATTTTCACATTCATCATAAGAAATCAGTTGAGATATTAATTACTACCTTAACAGGTAATTAGCAGCAAAAAAAAATATATGTATATATATATATATGCTGTAAAGATATATAATCATGGGATTAAGTCACTTCTAGACTGGGTTTAATTATCAGTTGAGATATAATCAGGGGGCAGAATTTTATTACAAGCTAGTTTGGGAAAAGATAAGATAAAAAGTATTATTATTACAGTTGAATTATCCGGGTGCATGTGTTGAACTAATTAATCCCACAGATAGTCACAAGAAGGATTAGACAAGTACAACCTCTGACAGCTGTTTATGTTGGTTGATATTTCTAGTCAAGAGTGTAGCCATGTTCATCTTATTTGCATTATTAATATTTATTATATCTCATTTAATTATTAGATATGACTTTATTGTAAAGAGCTTTGCATGTGGTCTCTCTCTTGCAAATTTGGCAACACTAGATTCCAATTTACATTTCCACAAAATCGACATGTGTTTCGGTGTGGCTGTTCGGACTTGTTTGAATTTTTATCGAACTTTTTTCTTTTTCCCCAACTTAATTTCTAATATATGTAGTATTATTTTCAGTGGTGGAGCCAGAACATGACTAATTAGGGGGGCCATGGCCCCCATCGTTACGTAAAAATCTAGTATTTTATATAAATATTTATTATTTTTAGTGTGAGATAACATTATTGGCACCGTTGAAATATAATCTTGGCTCCGCTACTGAATTCATGTCGATAAAAAATATTATAATACAATATTTCGTACCATATTATAACTTTTTGTTTTTTTGTAAAATGTAGTTTTCAACACGGACAACAACCACTCGGTCATCCAAACGTACAATTTCACCACTTACAGTCTCTGCGACTACGGCGACTCGCTCAACAACGACACCATCGAGTGGTCAGCGGCCGACCCGTCGTCCGTTGACCCGCGGCCCGTTTCCGTGTCGGTCCCTCTAGTGAAAACCGGAATGACGTATTTCTTCTCGAGTGACTATGATGGGGAGCAGTGCCAGAACGGGCAGAATTTGAAGATCAACGTGACGTACGGGCAGGGGCTGCCGTCCACCCTCGTGACCCCTTCTGGCGATTCTCCGGCCCCCATCAGCCCAGAATCGGGTGATGAAGAAGCGGCGCCGGAGACTTTAGTTCCGTCGAATTTCGACAATCCTAAAGATATTAGTGATGATGAGAGTCAATTACCATCCAATGCTGTTTCTTTGTCAGGATTTTACAAGTTATTAATTGGGGTTCAAGTTGTGGTTGGACTATTTTCATTTTAATTAGTAAATAATTATTATTGTTTTTTTTTTCATTATTATTTAAATATAAGGTGTGTACTAGAGGTGATCACATGTATCTTGGTTATTTGTTTTGTGATGATACTTTATGTAAGGTTTTTTGAATATAAACTCGAAATGAAATAAATTTATACATTTTTCAATTGGTAATTCACATTGTAAGAAAAAAAAGGGTTAGGAGTTCCAACACAAGATAATTTGTATTACTAAATTTAAAATTAAAAAAAATAAATTGCGTTTTCAATTCAATGACGTCATGAATCTGTTACTTGGTAATTTGAGCAACGAATAATTTGAGAATTAAGAAGAAATCGAAACGTGAGCAAGGAATAACTTAGAAATCGAGTAATTTGAGCAACAATAATTTGAAAATTAAGAAGAAATAGAGACGTGCGCAATGAATAATTTGAGAATTAAGAAGAAATCGAGACTCGAATCAAGATGAAATTTAAAATAAGCTTAGCCAAACGGGCCTTAGTCGACGAGCTTCGTTTTACTTAATTGCAATTTTAGACTGGAAGTAGAGTCATTGCAATTGTGTACTTGGCCCTCGCAACAAGTTAACGCAACAATCTGTGAAAGCACGAGAATGGACACACCCATGGCGGAGTCCACCAGCAACGCCGTCAGCAGCTACTGGTCGTCGGTGCTCTCAGGGAAGTCCGATGAAGATAGGGAGGAGCTTCTCGACAGAATGCTCACGCGATTGGCACTATGCGACGACTCTAAACTCCAGGACTTGCTCGCTAAGATTCTTCCCCTCTCCATTGCCGCCCTCGCATCTGCCTCCACTTCTCTCCGCAATAAAGTAATTTACCCCCCAAAAAGCTTGGTTTACATACTATATATATGTTGTTTTTGTTTTTTGTATTGATCTTTCTTTTTCCGGCGGTAGCTAGAAGTGCAATTTGGGATTTTACTAGGGCATCGTATTCGAAGTTGGAATAGGTTTGGTTTTTAGTTCGAATTTTTCTGAATTGAATGGTCTGTTGGAAATTGGAACTGAATTTTAGGGTTGCGACTGCCCTTCCAATTTTTATGGAGCTAGAAATTTCGGGCAGAGGCTTTAGTGAGTAATTTCTTCACTGGTTGTCTTGTGTTTTCTGTGGCATTACTCAGCCAGTTGTTTATCATTATTGAAAACAAATTAGTTATCTGGTGTTTATATAATTTATTCTTCAGTGTGGGGTGCAACCTTGAATCATCTCGCAAATGATACTTGTGTGCTTTGTCATCTGAGATTACCGTTTTGTACTCAACGAAAGAAGTTGGGATCAATTTTACTTGCATAGTTAGTTAAATGCTCTTTCCTTAGCTGTGCATACCAAGTTCGTACTCATTTTCTGCAAATCTAAGATGTAACTTTTTTCCTCATATATTAGGTCATCGAAATCTTGAGTCATGTCAACAAGAGAGTGAAACACCAGCTACAGATTGGCCTACCTCTATCTGATCTATGGAAATTATATTTGGAATCCAGTTCAGCTCCTATGGTCAGAAACTTTTGCATTGTTTACATTGAGATGGCAATGGATCGTGTGCAGAAGGAGGTAATTTTTTATTTTGTCTTTAATTGTATCTGTTTGACATTTTCACGTCAAGACATTAATTCACTTAGGCTCGGGATGTCACTGCAGGAAAAACAATTGATAGCTCCTGCTTTTTTAGCAAACATTTCTAAGCTGCCTCCCCAACATCAAGATATATTACTTAGAATCACATCAAAGGTAATTTTCAGCTTTTTACAATTTATTTTTGAGGTATTTCTAAGTTACTTTTTGGAGGGTGGGTGGGTTGGGTGGATAATCTGCTAGGTGTCAGCTATAGACTTAGTTAGCTACAACTTTCCCATTTTCCCGGAACTTCAATAATTTATGTTTCGAACTTAGCTGCTCACATGTTTTGAGGTTTGATTGTGAACTTTTGTAACATGTCGACTAATGTATGTGAAATTGATTCTTTTTTTCTTATATTAAAAAGACTTGTGGTGTTTAATTTTTGGAAGACGTTTTAATTAACTAATTAAGACTAGGGGCATGTTAATCACCTTCATGAATTTTCTTGGATTTAGGTCATTGGTGACTGCCACATATCTCAAGTGAGTGATGAAGTCCTGGAAAAGTACAGGATATTAGTTGGTTCTAAGGACTGTGAGATATTTCTTGAATTTTGTCTTCATACAATTTTGTATCAGCCATCATCTCAGAGGTTAGAAATTTAGAATATTCAGATTTATATTGCTGACCTCAAGTTCTTTTTTTTTTTTTTTTTTTTTTTAAAATTATATTTATTTATTTAACTATTTAATTGATCTACAAACTCAACCCAAAAAATAAAGACGAAAGTTGCCTTTGCAGCGGAGGACGCCCAGCTGGGCTTTCAACTTTTCAATGCGGACGTATTACTGGAAAACATCCATTGAGCAGTGATATGCTACGTAGTGAAAAGGTATGATTCATATAATGTTCCACTTGATTTTACTGTGTCTGATGGGAAATATCCGTTTTTTAATTTCTTTTATGTAGTCAGGGATGCTGAACATCATTGAAGCTCTGGATCTTTCTCCAGAACTTGTTTACCCAATTTATATTGCTGCTTGTGCAGACAGGTATATATTATTTTATATTATTTTATGCTCTGTACAATTTGTACCGAATTATTTTTTATATATCTTCAGAATATTTATTGTGCGTGTGTTGGTTATGTTATCCACATTCCACAGTCATGAACCTGTTCTAAAGAAAGGGGAGGAGCTCTTGAAGAAGAAAGCTTCTGGTGTGAACTTGGAGGATCCGAACCTGATCAGCAGACTATTTCTCTTATTTAATGGTATGGAAAATGTAGAATCTACGTTACTAGTGTTTCTATTTGTTGCTTAAATGCTTATCGAAGATTAACTTTTCTGAATTGGATATGAATAGTTGGAGAGAATAATTGGTTTACTTCTATGAAAAAAATGTTAGAACGACATATTTTGACTGTGTCCTTTAATTTGTTTTAATGGCATTTAAATTCGTCCTTCAACTTGTATGCCAAAATTTTTACTATTGGTTTGAAGCTCTGTTTCATGACATGTAGGAACTGCTGGCTCTGAAAACATTGCTTCGGAAGCCAAAATTAATCCTGGAAGTCTAACCCTGAGAGTGAGGCTGATGTCTATTTTCTGCCGATCGATTACTGCAGCAAATAGTTTTCCATCAACCTTGCAGTGCATTTTTGGGTGCATATTTGGTATGCTCCACTCTGTAGATATTGTATCCTCTTTGAATTCTGAGGGTTTTTCATGCACTAGATCTTAATACAATTGTCAGTACCAAGCTTGTGATCTTTTCTTCCCCATCATCATGGAGGAGTACACCAATTCTTGGATGTTAAACTGTACTTTAACAAAATGGTGTTGCACTGTACTTATCTTGTAAATTGACATGGTATTTTTAGTTCTAAGAAGGATAAATAAATGTTTTTATTACTTATCCTTTCCATTTACTCCTGTTAAGTATCTTCGAATGTTTCAATTCCCCAATGCTTTCTATTGGACATAGAGAACAAAAATCCTAGGTCTCCTAGAATTTCAAGCTGATTGAAGAAAGTAATTTAAGTTTCTTGATGATAACTTTAACTTAACTTGATAGTCATTCTATTACTTATGGATGTTATGTGTCTAAAACTAAAGGAGGGAGTTCCAGTGCCGACTTAATATGTTATTGCTGATACACTCTTTGCATGTTGCTTACGTTATCGGTGTTCCTTGGAGATTTATTGATAAGATAAAAGGTGAATATGCATATCAGAGTCTTTATCTGGAATTGGTGTTTGTAGAAAGCTACACTCTTAGATGAAGTAGTGAGTCTTGGATGGGTTCTTTACAAGTTACTTTTTATTTATTTAACCTTGTGCATTCGATTTTCCTTTCTCAAAGTTTCGAGGATGTTGGTAATGGAGGGAGAAAGTCCTTTTGGTATATGGCAACTATTGGAAAACCTTTGGCTCCTTAAACTGTCTTCACTTGCCATTTTAATGCTTACGCTATTGCTTACCCAGGAATTGATGCCACCTCCAGGTTGAAGCAGTTGGGTATGGAGTTTACAGTTTGGGTCTTCAAACATGTAAGTTGATGTAGTTTGCCTCACTGACTTTCATTCGTATCCTATGCATGCATGTTCATCAAGAATTTCCAGTGAGACGTCACAGATACATCAAGAGGAAAATTATTTATATGTTTATAGTTTTAAAAAGTGGATTAGTGACATAAAAGCAGAGGAATTGTACTTGGTTTTGGTGGCAGTATATATCTTGTGAGTTTATGATAAAGTATCTTGATTTCTTTCTGTTCAATCTACTAATTCGGTATGCATATTTATGCTGCCATCTGTTGAATGCCATTCTTATTTATTTTTCATTTCTCTTATTCTTTAGATTTCTGTTTTCTTCACAATCTTAACTGGTTTCTATAGCATATTTTTTGAACTGCATTTTTTAGCACCATTGTACAGGCACTCTTATAATACCGTTTAAGTAAAATACATTTGAGTGAAAGCTGTGGTTGGCATTGATTTATTGTTCTAGGCAAGCCCACAGTATACAAATGTCAGGCAAACAATTTACTTTATAGTGATTTTTATTTGTTTATTTTTTTTAAATCAATTTTTTAATAAATTTTTGTGTACATCAATGTATTTTTCTGTGATTCTATATTTGATTCATGATTATATGTATTGTTTTCAGAAAGCTGAATCATCTCATTGTCTTTCCAGTTCATATTTGCACTTTTCACCTTTAATATTTTAATGTGCTTGGCGCTAGTTCATTACTATCGATGGATCAGTTTGTTGAAATTTGTCTTCCCATAGTTAACAAAATCTGCTGAATTTTCTAGACAGCTTGACTCTATAACATTTCCGCTCCAAAATAAAGTGGATCCATAACTTAGTACTTCTCTACATGTTGCAGGCTAGAATGGATCAATTGAAGCTGATGGGCCCTGTTATACTGACAGGAATTCTGAAAACACTAGATAATTACTCATCACTAAGTTCAGGTCAAATTTCTTTATGCTCTTGCAAACTTATGCTGTCTCGTAGTAGTCAGAGAAGTTAGAATTGCGCATCGACCATCCTCATTACAGTCATTCTGATTTTCATCGTCACATGCATGCAGATGCTATTTCTAGGGATACTAGAAGTTTTTGTTTCCAAGCAATTGGATCGCTTGCACAACGTATGCCTCAACTCTTTAGGTAGCTTTCCAGAATTTTCCACACTATGCTGCTTAATTATTATATATCATTAATAATGTTCAATCCATGCATCCATAGGGATAAAATAGATGTGGCGACTCGACTTTTTGATGCTCTAAAGCTTGAGCAGCAGTATCTCCGCCTGATTGTTCAAGAAGCAACAAATTCTCTTGCTGTTGCTTATAAGGTGCTATATTTTCTTTTTGACAAATCTTATAAGGTGTTATATCAATTTGTTTATTTTATTTTATTGTTAATTTGCATTTCAACTTCTGTTCTGATGATGACTTGCTTTTGTCTTAGGATGCACCCTCAAAAGTGTTAAAGGACGTCGAGTTGCTTCTTTTGCAAAATTCGGAAGTGGTATGTGTTCTGATATGCTTGCTGGCATGTGTTCTGATTATCCATCCTTCCTTTCCCTTTGGCTGTTTTTGCATCCTCAGTTGAAAATTTAACGTCCTCAGTTGTTTTATATTAAACCTACTAAAATTTTTATAAGCATGACATTGTCTTCATACTTTTGCTCACAAGGAACAAAGTGAAGTACGCTTTTGTGCTCTGAGATGGGCAACAACCTTATTTGACTTGAAGCACTGTCCAAGCAGGTTTATTTGTATGCTTGGAGCAGCAGATTCGAAAATGGACATAAGGTAGTTTTCCATAGTATGAAATGTTTTTATTTTGTATTGTGTGTGAGAGAGAAAGAGAGAGAGTGTGTGTGTGTGTGTGTGTATGTATGTTTGTGAATTAGGTTTGAATCACTATCTAATTAGTCTTTGCAATTGTCAGAATAATTCCTGACAACAGAAAAGGAAAAGTGGGAAACATCGAGACAAATAACTGTAGAGTTTGGAAAACTTGTATTCATACGAATAACACTATCATTTGCTCTTTCATGCTGAAGATTTGGCACTGGATTCAGAGCAGTAGAATTTTCCCTCTGTATATTGGACATGTTTTGTAAAACCAAATTGATGTTGATTATTCTCCTGCTCAATATCCGTGTTCTTGTTTCCCCGAATGAACATGTCTTGCAGCATAAGAGCCCAGATGTTTTGAAAAATTGTTACAGCAGAGTTGCATCAGATTTAAGTGGTTTTGTTGTTATACAAAGTTTCCGCTGTTCTGTTTTAATTTTTTTTAACAAAGGTGAATTTTATCATCACAGGGAGATGGCATTGGAAGGTTTGTTTCCTGGTGAAGATCAGATTAAGACTGTATCCCACAGCATCTCTACTGAGTATCCAAAACTTTCAAAGATGCTGAATTATATTCTAGAGCAGCAGCCCGCTATGTTGGATGTTCGTGGGATAGGAGATATAAAACTTCTATTTCCATCTAAGACTTATTTGGCCATGATAAAATTTTTGTTGAAGTGCTTTGATGCAGAAGCTGCGCAAACTAACTTGGCCACAGACTCTGAGTTTTCACACTCAGTGGAAAGATTGTGTTTACTGTTTGAACATGCTATGGCATATGAAGGTTCTGTCGAGTTGCATGCATCAGCTTCCAAGGCTCTAATTACTTTGGGTTCTCATTTTCCCCAGGTATACTTAATATTGTTTATGCAAAAGAAATATATTTTTATGTTTTTTCAATCATTTCTTGGGTTTTCATTTGTTAGAAAACTACAATTTTGTTCTCTGATTTTTTCTGGATGATAGATGATAGCCTCTCGTTATGCTGAAAAAGTTGTATGGCTTAAACAATATCTGAGTCATCTGGATTATGATACTCGAGAAGCTATGGCACGTTTACTTGGAATTGCTTCCTCTGCCCTTCCCATCGCTTCTTCGTCTGAACTTATCGGTGAACTAATATCTTCGATTGGGGGAACACAAAAATTGAGGTTTTCTTTTAATGCCTTCAATGTATAGGTGTTAAAGTACCTTATTTTCAAAATTTTCTCAATGAAAGATTGGCCTATTTTGTTTTATAGGTTTGAAGCACAACACGGGCTGCTATGTGCTTTAGGATATGTTACAGCAAATTGCGTGTTGCGAAACCCTCCTGTAAGTTCATTTTTCTTAAGCAGTGCTGCGAGATACGCTTATTATCCTTTGCGATTAGTTGGTCCTATCTCCGGATCATGCTTTTCTGTACTGGTTCCGTGAGTTTACATGAGATAAACCTTAGTTTAACCATGACTTTGTATTGAAGAGAAACATATTCTGATTTTGCTGAGTTAGTTGATGTGCTCATCTTCATATAAATGATCCAATTGGTTTATACACTTTGAAAATCGGTTATAATGTGACAAATGTTCATATGACTTTTTTTTCCTTTTTTTTTTTTTTGTGAATTTATGCTCACACACCACAAGTACGGAAATGAAGATTTTGGTAGAGTAACTGTTGCTTTCTTTGCGCTCACCACTAGTCTTTGTCTTTTTCCTTTTCTGTTTTATCAGATCTCAGAGTCGGTACTTCAAAGTGTTTTGAAATGTTTGGTTGACCTAACTAATGTAGAAAGCGCTGCGTTTGCTTCTGTGGCTATGCAAGCCCTGGGTCATATTGGAATCTGTGTCCCGCTGCCTCCACTGATTAACGACTCTACTGCAGGTGAAATGATATGAACTGCTTTAAATATCTTGAGATTGTTGGTATTTATTTGCTTCTTTAACTTTCGGATCAATGCAAGTTTGTTTAGAAATGATCATACCATGTTTTGTTTACGAACCTGCAGTTTCTACTTGGACCATCTTACGTGAAAAATTAAGCAAGCTGCTCTCTGGTGACGATATCAAAGCTATCCAAAAAACTGTTATTGCATTGGGGCACATGTGTGTGAAAGAATCATCTTCTGCAAATCTAAGTATTGCTCTCGAATTGATTTTCAGCCTTTGCCGGTCAAAGGTGGGTCTAACTTTTTTTGATACTTCGTTGTGCAAATCCTTCTCGTCCTTGTTATCCTGCTTTGTGTTCTCCCCTTCACAGCTTTCCATTCAGAATAATTTATGGACATTAATTTTAATCTTTTGAATCTTTTACAGGTTGAAGACATCTTATTTGCTGCTGGGGAAGCTCTTTCATTTTTGTGGGGAGGTGTTCCTGTCACTACTGATGTGATTCTGAAAACTAATTATTCTTCGTTATCCATGAGTTCTAATTTTTTAATGGGTGACACGTCCTCATCTCTGCCGAAGCTCCTTTCAATGGAATTCCAAAATGATGAAGATTACCATGTTACAGTTAGAGATGCTATTACCAGAAAGCTATTTGATGCCCTTCTGTACAGTAACAGAAAAGAGGAGCGCTGTGCTGGAACTGTCTGGTTATTATCACTTACAGTATACTGTGGTCATCATGCAAGCATCCAGCAATTGCTTCCAGATATCCAGGTTAGTGCCTGTGCAGTTGTTTGATGGTGTTAAAAGGTGTATGGTTCCAGTTGTCATGTTAATTGCCAAAGATTCAAAAGTTTTGGTGAATACTATTAAATATTAAGCTATAATAGGTGTATGGTTCCGAGTTTCTAACAACGCTTTTTCTGTAATGCAGGAAGCATTTTCGCACCTTATTGGTGAACAAAGTGAACTCACACAAGAACTGGCATCTCAGGGACTTAGTATTGTTTATGAAATTGGTGATGAATCTATGAAGAAAAATCTGGTAAATGCACTTGTTGGAACTCTAACTGGCTCAGGGAAGAGGAAAAGGGCTGTTAAGGTCAGGCTAATATAGCTTTGTTCTTCTTTGTCTGGATTTTGTATCTTTCACATTTCTTTTCCTATATGTTTGTTCTTAGCATGTTTCTTTTTTGATGATCTTCAGCTCGTTGAGGACACTGAAGTGTTCCGAGAGGGTTCCGTTGGTGAAAGTCCTACGGGAGGAAAACTGAGCACTTACAAGGAGCTCTGCAACCTCGCTAATGAGATGGGGCAACCTGACTTAATCTATAAATTCATGGATTTAGCCAATTATCAAGCTTCTCTTAATTCGAAAAGAGGTGCAGCTTTTGGTTTTTCTAAAATAGCCAAGCATGCAGGGGATGCCCTGAAACCTTACCTCCGTGCATTGGTTCCAAGACTTGTTCGCTATCAGTATGACCCTGATAAAAATGTACAGGTAATGATCTTTTTTTGCTCCATATGGAATACCACTATTGGCATTTCGAAGTGCTGCATATCTCTCTCTGATTTTTTTCCTCTGCTTATCACTCTTTTATCTTATTTTGATGTCCTTTGTGTATATAAATTGGATTGTTTCCCCTTTTCTTTCTAGCTTATAGTATTTTGTACACTGCATCAGGATGCTATGGCACACATCTGGAAATCATTGGTAGCAGACTCAAAGCAAACCATTGATGAACATTTGGACCTCATTTTTGATGATCTTTTGGTACAATGTGGATCTAGGCTTTGGCGGTCGAGGGAGGCTTGTTGTCTTGCTCTTGCAGATATTCTTCAAGGACGCAAGTTTGACCAGGTTACACCATCTAGATATATCCTTTTACTACCTTGTGGTTCTTTTCATAGCTATTTCATCAACCACTTCTGAACCGAAGAGAGTATTCATAAATCTACTTTTAAAAACTTTCGATCACATTTCATATAGCTATCAGCTGGTTTGTAGAGTCCCATGGTACAAGGGAGGCAATGGACCAGTTTCTCAAGGACTTCTATTTGTTGTTCTATCATAGGTTGAAAAGCATTTAAAAAGAATATGGATCGCTGCTTTCCGGGCCATGGATGACATAAAGGAAACTGTCAGAAATGCAGGTGACAGATTATGCCGAGCTGTTGCATCATTAACTGGGAGGTTATGTGATGTCTCTCTTACACCAGTTCTGGAGGCAAGACAAACAATGGCTGTAGTTTTGCCTGTATTGCTTACGGAAGGCATAATGAGTAAAGTCGATAGTGTTCGGAAGGCATCCATTGGTATGGTTACTAAGCTTGCAAAGGTAAAACTGTGAAGCATTTAGAAGCAGAATAAATTTTATACTTGTTCACAGTCAATTGGTGGCTCCCAGTTCGCTTAATTTTGCAATAATATGTGCGTTTTTAAGAATTTTGAGTAACTTACTTTGTTACCCACAACCATTTTGATATTTTTTTCCTTATAATTACAGGGAGCAGGAGTTGCGATTCGTCCATACTTAAGTGATCTCGTATGTTGTATGTTGGAAAGCCTGTCGAGCCTTGAAGACCAAGGAATGAATTACGTTGAGGTCTTTGGATGATCTTATGAATACTCATTACTCTAAATAAAGTTCTAAACTTATTTTCTATTTGTCTTTGTTCTGTTGGTTGTTGTTGATTTTACGGTGTCATGATCTATATGTCATTGAACTGTGACTTGCTAATATTATCTTTTTCTCTTACCATTGACTATGGCTTCCTTTCCATCTACTAGTTACATGCAGAAAATGTGGGGATACAAACTGAAAAACTCGAGAACTTGAGAATTTCAATCGCCAGAGGATCTCCAATGTGGGAAACTCTTGAGTTCTGCATAGATGTCGTTGACTCCCATTCGCTAGAGCTATTGGTTCCTCGTCTTGCTCAGCTAGTCCGATCTGGCATTGGGTTAAATACGAGGTATTTTGCTGAGTGGTTTTACTTCTTAGAGCTCATATAAGTAACTTTCCAATCTGGCATTGTTAACCTGTATAACTTTCCAATTATAGTATTTAAATCAGTGAGCGATACTATCCTGCCCTTGTTTGTTTCTGACACCTAGACCCACATGCGGCCTTTTAAATTTTGAACTAGGGTTTGCTATATGTTTTCTTCTTGAATCCAATTAATACAATTGTCACATGCCATTGTTTTCAGGGTTGGCGTAGCAAACTTTATCGTCTTGCTAGTCCAGAAAGTTGGTGTTGGCATCAAGCCGTTCACGAGTATCCTGTTGAGGCTTTTACTTCCAGTTGTGAAGGACGAAAGAAGCGCTTCATCGAAACGTGCCTTTGCCAATGCATGCGCAATCGTTTTGAAGTATGCAGCTCCATCACAGGCCCAGAAGTTGATAGAAGATACTTCAAACTTGCATTCTGGGGATAGGAATGATCAGATTTCATGTGCAATCCTATTGAAAAGCTATGCATCCACAGCTGCCGATATATTAAATGGATATCACACCATTATAGTTCCAGTTTTATTTGTTTCAAGGTTAGATCAGGCTTTTACTATGTTTCTTTCCCTACATTTTCTAACTGCCACCTTGCATGATCTATTTGACCGTTACAAATAATGCATCTACGTACTTGGGCACATAATTTCTAGGAAGATTATTGGGCTCCTATCTATTCTTTTTCCAGTAGGCATCTTGACCGAGACAAATAACAGTTTCCTTCTTTTTCTGCCTGAGACTATCCTTCACACATATTTCATCAACTATAGTAGGCTCTCTTATAGTAAGTCCTGAACATGTCCATCTCAAATTGTTTACTGCTAATAAATGATTCATAGTAATTCAAAGCATTGGTTTCGAGTAATAAGTTGTAAACTTTTTCTACTTCTTGTAGATTTGTTTGCATTTATTTGAGAGAACTTGATAGTGATTTTCGAAATGCTACCTAATGTTATATTCAGGACTTCTCTCCTAGGGTAGATATTAACTTGCCTATTTTTCTTAATACATCATCAGTGTGAACAGGTAATTCTGAACTGTGATTTAAGGGCTTCGAGCCAATCAGCATGATTTCTAATAAAACAGAAATCCAAAAGTTCAGTTGTGTAGTTATATTATGCAATTTGTACTCTGGGTTTTATTCATCACCTTATTTATTAACACCCATGTGCTAAGTAAGAAAATAATATTGACCGCTCTGCAGATTTGAGGATGACAAGATAATTTCCAGCCTGTATGAGGAATTATGGGAGGAAAACATGAGCAGTGAACGGATTACTCTTCAACTATACTTGGCAGAAATTGTAACTCTTATCAATGAAGGAATCATGTCATCCTCATGGGCAAGTAAAAAGAAGGTATGTTCAGTCTTCCCTTGGTTTTGTTAGGTTCTTGTTCTTTTCTTTTTCCACTTTAATTTCTTCCGATCTGGGAAGTTATCTTGTGCTACCATACCGTTATCTTCTAAGTTCAACTGATAGATCATCTGTTTCTGTTGGGAAAGTTGGAAGAGTTAAACTGTTTTGCTCTTTAATATGCAGGCATCACAAGCAATATGTAAGCTCAGTGAAGTCCTCGGTGAATCATTATCTTCACATCATAATGTTTTGCTCACTTCTCTAATGAAGGAACTTCCTGGGCGTTTGTGGGAGGTACACATCTTTATGAAATGCCACTTAATAAATCTCAGCAGATTAATAAATCATGTAATTGATTTACGAGTAGAAATTGACATAGTCTGTGTTAGAGCCTCAGAAACTGCTTTAATTTTTGTATGTTTCACAACGTAACAGGGAAAGGATGCGGTACTAAATGCATTATCTGCACTTTGTACTTCGTGCCATGAAGCAATTTCAGCTTCCAATCCCGATGCTCCAAATGCTATACTTAGTCTTGTGTCCTCAGCATGCACAAAAAAAACACAAAAGTATCGTGAATCAGCTTTTTGCTGTCTTGAGAAGGTACCACATGCTGCCTTACTATTCTTATTGTTATTCACAGTGCTGCCATAACTTGAATAAATAAGTATACAATAGTAGTGAAAAATTATGATAAACGTCAATAAAAAAAATGTATCTGTGGCAAAATATGGCAAGCAAATTCATAAAGTTTATCAAATCTTGAATGCAAGACTCAAGCAGTTTGTGTCCTTCATACTTCATCTTTTCAGACTGTCTTCGACGTGTGTTATGTTCAGTATATTTTGTCTTAAACATGATTTCTCTTCTTTGGTTCTGTTTTAGGTTATTAAAGCATTCAACAATCCAGAATTCTTTAACATGGTTTTTCCATCTCTACTGGAGATGGGCAGTTCACTTGCCCCTACCAAGTCGGGTCAAATATCTTTGCCAGATGATGTTAAAGCAGGTACAAAATAATTCCCTTACTGGTCCAAGTCCCATGATAATAATCCCTTCTTAAAACGAGAAGAGAACATCAGATTTTGGGGGCATTGATATGTCAAATTTTGCTATTAATGCTGTTGTGTTACTTCAGTACTATCTTCTCTCTGAAATCTGAACTAACTGTTCGTAGAAATAGTTGAATATAATTACCGTCTGTGCATGAGCTCCAGTATTATGGGGGTGTGATACTCATAGATTACCAACTATCGTCATTTAAATAAATAGAACCAAAGAGTTTTCTGTTTTCTGTTTTCTTTTATGAGTTAACTGGATATAAAGATACGGCATTTTCGCATTACAAATTATTCAGTAATTTTTTAATCCAAAGTGACACATCAGATAATTGGGCTAAGTACTAATTTTTTTTTTTTTTTTTTGCGGATGCAGATGTGCCAGATAGTTCCCCTGCAGCTTTACATGAAAAAATATTAAGCTGTGTTACGGCCTGTATCCATGTGGCTCGCATTGGGGATATTATCAATCAACAGAAAAACTTCATTGATTTGTATTTATTGTCTCTCTCCCCTACCTTCCCTTGGACAGGTGCATTTACTTTTCAGTATATTAACACTCTTCGTTGATTTTGATCCCATACTCGTGAGTTTAACTTCTTTTTGTTTTTTTTTCCTTGGACAGTGAAAATGTCAGTTTTTTCTTCTATTAAAGAGCTTTGCTCGAAGTTGCACAGTGCTATAAACAACCTGCAAGATAGTTCAATGCAAACCAGCATAACTGCCTTTGTCCATGAGGTAACATACGATCCCATAGTTCTTTAGTTACACCACAAAACACTTGTAATACGATCTAATCTGACTTCTTGAATATTTTCAGTTATTTTACACACTGTCACCTGAAGTGCTTAAATCCCTCCGAACAATCAAAATTGGCCAGGTATGTTAATCTATGACGTAGTAGTACATTTTTTTCTCGATTTATCCATCTTTATATTATGCACTGGTGGAATCGGTGGGCCGGATTTTCATTGTTCGATAAAGAAAACAAGTTTTCCTTTCCTGCAAATAAGGATGTATAGCAAGTTATTTGACAAAAAAAGAGAACAATTATTGGTTGGGTCGGTTTAAAACGATAATTTCCGAGAAAGAATAAACAAAGAGTCAACCAGATACACGGCAATACCAAATTTTTACCAGACTATTTAACACATTTTACGAGCTTTCAAATATAAAATATTTCATTTAAGTATTTTGGTTCGCTCCACAGCTCACAAAGTATGGGCTAAAAGATTCATTTATCTTTAGGATGATTATATATCATATTTCATTCACAATCTCAGGTTCATATAGCAGCTGCGGAATGTCTTTTGGAGTTGACAAATCAGTACAAGGCAGCTCCACCGATCCATTGGACTGAATTAGGGTTTACGAATGAGCTTCTCGATCTTTGTGAAGTTGAAAAAAGCGAACAGGCGAAATCTTTGTTGAAGAAATGCAGCGACATCCTCGGAAAGCTCAAACAAGATATCAAACCCTGAAGCTAAAATCACATCAATGGACGATAAAATTATACATCGTAAGTAGTTTTACAGAAAACACAGAAATCCTACTCCGAACCTTAATTAGGAGATTTTGTTTCTTTTCTTTTTTGATCTTAATTATTAGTGTTGTTATAAAGCGTTAAAGATAATCAACCTTGACTAAGAAAGTTGGTACCAATCTTGATATGAGAGTTGCTACTTGAATCGCGACTTCAGTTATTAGAGTTAACTCCACATTTTCAAATTCGAGAATGATTTGAAGCTCTGCTACGGCCCCGTTTGGTTGCCAAGATAAGCCATGATTAACTAAATAGTTGGACTTAATTTTATGTTTGATATACTCAATAAATTGCCGGGTCGACCTACCAAAATTATATAATCATGGTTTATCTTGCCTTAAAATAATTGGGTCTCATTAGATTATTTAATCTTATCTTATCTTGCCAACCAAACGGGGCTTGCAATTTTAATCATCGGAGAATTTAAAACAACATACTTATGTTTTGACAAAATTATCCATAACTCTTTCAATATCGCCCGATTCAAATATTTGAAACCCTAATTTAACCGTATATTTCATCACTTAAACTCGAGCCGTTGACTGGGGTTGATTTTCTTTTAATAGTTCAAACTATTATCCATACAAAACACTTATTTTTAATGAATTTAGTTGATAATTATTTTTATTAAAGAAAATATAGATAGATATTATTTATTAAATTATACACTGTACCAATATTTTTTTTTGTAATATATATATATATATATATATATATAATTTAAATTAAATTTTATTTTGGACCAAGTCCGTTGTTACAGTTGGGCTGAAGCCCATTAAATTAATTTCATGGAATCCATCATAAACGAGAAAGTCTAGCCAGATTAGGTAATTTCTGAAAAATACACTTTTAAGAAATTTCGGTCTCTCCGCTCCAAAACCCTAGCCACTACAACCCGGCGGCGTTGCGGCGGCGATGGAAGACGTTTGCGAAGGCAAGGACTTCTCGTTCCCTTCTCAAGAAGAGAAGATACTCTCATGGTGGGATGAAGTCGATGCCTTCAAAACCCAGCTCGAGCTCACCAAGGATTTGCCGGAGTACATTTTCTACGACGGACCCCCGTTCGCCACTGGCCTCCCTCACTACGGGCACATTCTGGCCGGAACTATCAAGGATATCGTGACCCGGTATCAATCCATGACGGGTCATCACGTGACCCGGAGATTCGGATGGGATTGCCACGGGTTGCCGGTGGAGCATGAAATCGATCTGAAATTGGGTATTAAGAGCAGAGAGGACGTGATTAAGATGGGGATTGCGAATTATAACGAGGAATGCAGAGGGATTGTGCAGAGGTATGTCGACGAGTGGGAGAAGACGGTTGTTAGAATGGGACGGTGGATTGATTTCAGGAACGATTATAAGACCATGGATTTGAATTTCATGGAGACCGTATGGTGGGTGTTTGCGCAGTTGTATAAAAAGGGCCTTGTCTACAGAGGTTTCAAGGTATGAAGTTCAGTGAATGTGCTCTTATTATATAATCTCGATCACGTATGTATTTTATGAATTCGGGACCTACTGGAATTGTGTCACAGACTTTTTAATTATTCAAATCTTAATGGAATTTGATGTTCTCATATACATGCATACTATTTGAGGATGTTAACTGAAATGAATTAGTTAAATTTAAGCTTTATACGCTCGCAAAATTACACATTAGATGATTTGACACAGATGTTTGCGCATGGCCTATGGTTTTCCTTATATTTCATGGTTAAAAAACATTATGTGCGATATGTATTTTTGTTATAGTATAGATAGGTGTACATATATAGATGTTCTTTCTTATTTTGGTGGTTTTAATGGCTTTTAAACGTGTTACTTTTGCAGGTTATGCCTTATAGTACAGGCTGCAAAACACCATTATCTAATTTCGAAGCCAATTCCAACTATAAGGACGTTCCTGACCCTGAGGTGATTGTAGCTTTTCCTGTGGTTGACGACCCTGATGGTGCATGTTTTGTTGCATGGACCACAACGCCTTGGACATTACCCAGCAATCTTGCGCTTTGCGTCAATGCGAACATTGTATATTTGAAGGTCCGTAACAAGTTTAATGGGAAAGTTTATGTGGTCGGTGAAACACGTTTGGCGGAGCTTCCCGTTGAGAAGGCTAAGAAAGAAGCCGATGGAGCTGTTGGTAATTCAAAATCGAAGTCTTCTGGTGCTAAAGCTAAGAACGTTGAAACATACGAGATTTTGTCCAAGTGCACTGGAGCTTCACTTGTTGGAATGAAGTATGTCCCTTTGTTTGATTACTTCAAAGAATTCTCTGATGTGGCATTTAGAGTTGTTGCAGATAACTATGTGACTGATGGTAGTGGTACCGGAATTGTTCACTGTGCTCCTGCATTTGGTGAAGATGATTACCGTGTCTGTATGGAGAATGGCATCATTAAGAAGGGGGAACCATTGGTAGTAGCAGTGGATGACGATGGCTGTTTTACCGAGAGAATCATTGAATTCAGCAAGCGCTATGTCAAGGATGCTGATAAAGATATTATCCAAGCAGTGAAAGAGAAAGGCAGGCTCGTCAAATCTGGAAGTTTTACTCACAGCTATCCTTTTTGTTGGAGATCTGATACTCCCCTCATCTACAGGGCTGTACCCAGCTGGTTTGTGGCTGTAGAAAAGATTAAAGATAAATTGCTGGAGAACAATAAACAGACATACTGGGTACCTGACTTTGTGAAGGAAAAACGGTTTCATAATTGGCTTGAGAATGCGAGAGATTGGGCTGTGAGTCGAAGTAGGTTTTGGGGTACTCCACTTCCGTTGTGGATTAGTGAGGATGGCGAGGAGATTGTGGTCATGGATTCCATTGAAAAACTGGAGAAACTTTCTGGTGCCACGGTGACTGACTTGCATCGGCACAAAATCGATCACATTACAATCCCTTCAAGTCGTGGCCCTGAATTTGGTGTTCTTCGACGAGTGGAAGATGTGTTCGATTGCTGGTTTGAGAGTGGATCTATGCCTTATGCTTATATCCATTATCCATTTGAAAATGTCGAATTATTTGAGAACAATTTTCCGGGACATTTCGTGGCTGAGGGGCTGGATCAAACTCGTGGATGGTTTTATACGCTCATGGTTCTGTCAACTGCACTCTTTGACAAACCAGCTTTCAGAAATCTTATTTGCAATGGGCTGGTATTGGCTGAGGATGGAAAGAAGATGAGTAAGAGATTGAAGAATTATCCACCACCCTCTGAAGTCATAAATGATTACGGAGCTGATGCACTACGGCTGTATATTATCAACTCTCCAGTTGTTCGGGCTGAACCATTACGTTTCAAAAAGGAGGGGGTGTACAGTGTCGTGAAAGATGTTTTCTTGCCGTGGTATAATGCTTACAGGTTCCTTGTGCAAAATGCGAAAAGGCTTGAAATTGAGGGACTTCCACCATTCACACCAATTGATCAATCCATTCTTCAGAAGTCCTCAAATGTCCTCGACCAGTGGATTAACTCCGCTACTCAAAGTCTTGTCCATTTTGTCCGGCAAGAAATGGATGCTTATAGACTGTATACGGTGGTTCCTTATCTCTTGAAGTTCTTAGACAACTTAACCAACATCTACGTTCGGTTCAACAGAAAGAGATTGAAAGGCCGAACTGGAGAAGATGATTGCAAAATTGCTCTGTCCACTCTCTATTACGTGCTTCTAACAGCATGTAAATCCATGGCTCCATTCACTCCGTTCTTCACCGAAGTCCTCTACCAGAACTTGAGGAAAGCTAGCAAAGCATCAGAAGAAAGCATTCACTATTGCAGTTTTCCTACAGTGGAGGGAGAGGTGGGCCAACGAATTGAAGAAAGTGTCAACAGAATGATGACAATCATCGATCTTGCACGCAACATTCGCGAGCGTCACAACAAACCTCTCAAAGCCCCGCTCAAAGAGATGGTGATTGTACACCCGGATGCAGATTTCTTGGAGGATATTGCTGGTAAGCTAAAGGAGTATGTGCTGGAGGAGCTCAACATCAAGTCTTTAGTCACGTGCAACGATACTTTGAAGTACGCCACTCTCCGTGCCGAGCCCGATTTCAGTGCTCTGGGTAAAAAGCTCGGAAAATCAATGGGAGCTGTTGCAAAGGAAGTGAAGGCTATGTCAACCGAAGAAATCTTGGCATTTGAGAAAGTGGGTGAAATTACCATCGCAATGCATGCTTTGAAGGTTTCTGATGTCAAGATAACTCGAGAGTTCAAGCCGCCTGGTAATGTTAAGGTAGAAGATATGGATGCTAAAGGAGATGGTGATGTGTTAGTGGTGCTGGACTTGCGTGTGGATGAGTCATTGTACGAGGCTGGAGTGGCCCGTGAAATTGTGAATCGTATTCAGAAGATGCGAAAGAAAGCTGCACTCGAGCCCACTGATTTGGTGGAGGTCTTTTTCAAATCATTGGATGGGGAGGAAACAAAAACTCGAGAAATGTTGGAAGCACAGGAAGTGTACATCAGAGAAGCACTTGGATCATTATTGCTTCCTTCTTATTTTCTTCCACCCCATGCAGTCGTTCTCGCCGAAGAGAGTTTCCATGGGATCGCAAATCTTTCATTCACTATCACTCTGGCTAGACCTGCGCTAGTATTCAATTCAGATGCCCTTGTTAAGTTATATGGAGGTAATGCGAAATCCGCACGTGGATTACAGTCCTATTTGTTGATGAGGGACCACCATAATCTGAAGGCGGAATTTCAACTTGGAGAGGGGACGATTAATGTCAGTTGCATTGAAGATGTAGCTCCAGTGAATGTGGTGTCAGGTGAGCACGTGTTCTTGACCGCTGGTGATTATTTTACGAGCACAAGGGTTGCTCAGTGATTTTTCTTTTGTTGATTGGATAGTATACTTCGTTTATTGTTTTGTCGGCTCATATTGAAAATCTTATATTTTATTGTTCTATTCGGGTATTTCTGTCTTGGTGAAAAGATTTGTTGTTCGTCTTCACCAAGTTTTATCAGATACTAAAGGAAAGATTACTGTTTAAAGACTATCAGAAAATGTCTGATTCGATATGTTGTTCTTGTTCATATTGTCTTCAGCTATCAGTTTTGTTTTGTCTTCAGCTATCATTTATTTATTTATTTTCATGCAACTTTGACATGTCGTTGGTTGTTTCAAACCAATGAGATTCTATCTTAACAAAACAATTTAAACAGCTTACATAATAGGGCAAAGTGTAACCACAATTACTTTGGGAAGATAAGAGAGACGATAAACAAATATACTGAACAAAACTCTATAACGAGGTATAGTAGTCAAAATTCAAAGAACTCAGCCAAAAAGTAGTTGAAAAGAGAAAAAAACATGTGATCAGTTTGAAACACATCATCATACACGTACGCCGACAAAGTAGAGTAATCACCGAAAATTAAACCCAAGTTTCAAAGGATTTGACGGCAATCTTAAATATCACAGCACCGCAGTACTCATTTGTTCGCATTTAGTATGGAAGCATGAAAGCAACATCTCCCTCTCTCACTCAGGAAGACCTCGAGTTTAGAATGTTCTTAGCAGCATCCATTGTCAATTCTTCATACACCTGAAAGGTTGCAACATAGAGAAGGGCTCAAGTTGAGTTGCGATGAAATAAAAAAAAATGGATGACGATACTTGATTCCTCGGGCCATTTCTAGTTAGCAAATGCAAAGATTGATCAATTTTAATACACTTACAAGTTTCTTATATACTTGTTGAAATGCCTTGCAGAATCTTTCTGCATCAGCTGCACCCACCTAAAAAAGCAAACTCCAAAAACATTACAATCCATGCTTTTACCCATTAGTGGTAAAACAGATGGCTTTAACTTTTTTCTTGATTCGTATAATGTATCGGATGAGTAAGAAACTTAAATATCCATGAAGATCTAAGTCAAAACAACTTGATATTACTTCGGTGTTATTTACAAGAAAGCCATTTCCCAAAATCAAAGCATACCTTCTGCTCAGCAGCCGACTTTAGTTTTCGCCAAAATGCTTCTGACATCACAAAGCAGCATAAACATGAATCAGTTACTATTCCAAAACAAAGAAATCTCTGATTTCAATCACATCTAAATCACATGCTATTAATACCACTTCCTTATTTTTCATGTAGTTTTTCATATTGTTTCAGTAAACGGCTTTATGGCAGATATTCACCTCCATTCAATTTCTAATTACATGATGAAAATATATAAAAGAAAGGAAACTCATTTAGAAATATACAGTGAAGTTAAGGGGAAGAATACAGCAATGGAAAAGAATGCACGGCTGAGTACTAGAGTAGGTTGACAACTATTTTGATTATCTTGTAGACTAGGATAGTGCAAACTATACTAAGTAGCTTATAGCCTATACTACCTTGCTGATTAAGTTCAATAATTAAACAATTTTCATAGGAAATTTCTTTCAGGAAGAGCCCGATACGTGTTTTTTTCTCTCTTGGTCATACAGAAAGAATGGTTTTGCTACAAAGCAAAAAAATTCTGGGAATTCTACTGGAAGGTTATTCCAATGAAGAAGATGAATTGTAAGCTGAAATATTAAAATGACTCGAAAGCACGAGGTTATGAGGGCCATGAGAAACAGTATTTCTTCTCTCCAAAACCATCAGAGATGGAAAAGTAAAAATTAATATCTCATGAACCAGATAGCATACCATGATTGTCGGTTTTCGAGATATTTGAACTTCTTCTGTCCTCGGTACTCCATGCATCTTGCCACTGCTGTGCCTGAGAGACTAATGTTAAATATCACGAAACCTAAAAAACCTGACAACATTGTTTAGAAAATTGTAGTACCTCTTCACTTGGTGCAGACTGGCTTGACTGTCTAGAAGAATCCAACTCTACCTGAAAATAGGACTCGACAGTTAAACATCTACATGTCCAATATTTAAAGGGACACAAATAGAACGCGCATATTGCCCTTAGCAATCCATGCCATGTACACTGCCCTTCAAATAGGTCGTATAATATATGGATTAGTAAAACTTAATAAGATCAGCCGTATAATTTATTCAACCAACAAGTTCATTTTCTTATTAAGTTTTTCAAAAGCTCATATTAACACCAGAAAAAAGAATTACAGCCACAAGCAATGGCAAAGAAATCGAAATTATGAAAACCAGACTAATTTGAGCTGCTGGGAGAATATCACAATTAAAAAGTCACAAGCAATATATCTATCAAAAAGTAACAATCAATAACAATTAAAATCAGTGTCTTCTGTCAATAAATTAATCAGTAAAACCGAAATCAAGCGCCATTCATATCATATGCAATGACTTCTATAACTCTCTACACAATCAAAAAATCTTATCTTCCCACCCAAACTCAACGCCCAACCCCTAAAAAAAAAAAAAATCAACACTGATAAAAATTCAATCCAGCCACTCAATTAAACAAATAGGCATGTACAAAGACACCTATATAGGAGCCAAAAAAGAAAGAAGAGGAAAAGTACAAAGTAACTCGGGAAAATCCAAGATCACTACGGCTTCTGGAAACATCTTAAATGGTTGAATATAACAAATACAGACACACGCAAGTATGATTGTATAGGTATGTATGCATATATATATATATACACACTTACGTGATAATCGCGAGGTCGGACGACGGGAAAGAGTTCCAGGAGCTGCCGGAATTCACTCTCATCCATGGCGATTTGCAATTTCGTTCGCCAATTCCCAGTAGATTGAGAAATCGGGCAATCGAATGTTGGGGAAATTTGGAATTGGAATAGAGGAGGAACGAACACCCTAAAATGGTGTAATTGGTGTATGTGAACCCAATTCTTCCAGTTCCAATTAAAGTCGTCAATTGTCATAAGGCAAAGTTGCTATTTCGGAAAAGGCAAAGTTGCTTTTTGTTAATTTTGACATTTTTTTTGTTGTGTTTTATTGAACATTCTTTTGTAAATATAAAAGAAAAATATGCACATAAATAGTAAATACTAATGAGAGCATGTATATATATATAATTATATTGTGTCTGAGAAAATCAAAGTTATATATATATATATATATATATATATATATATATATATATATATATATATATTATTACATGAATTAATAGAAAGATGCAATAATAAGACTTTGTCTTAAATTTTAGAGGAATCTTTAGAGGAGGATCTCAAAGCAAGGGCAGTTTTGGAACCGATTGGACGGCCCAAGTACTGACTGATATACTCTCCGGCCGACAAAAGCTTCTCCATGTCAACGTTCGTTTTCACACCAAGACCGTTGAGCATGTACACCACATCCTCTGTCGCAACATTTCCCGAAGCCCCCTTCGCATAAGGGCACCCTCCTAGCCCCGATACAGACGAATCCACCGTGCTGATTCCCATCTGCAGAGGACGAATATTACAAGGGCAAATTGGTCATTTCACTTCCGGAAAAAAAAAAAAAAAACTCACGCGTTAAGTTTAAAGGTAATACTTGACCTCTTATGTACTTAGTTTACATTCTTTTGTATCTATCTTGATTTCTTATTTTACGATTTTGAAAAGTTTAGGCTTTTAGTTTCGTTTTAGCGTCCGAGAGTTAGTTACTTACTTGGAGGGATAAAAGAATATTCGGAAGAGATTGGCCATACGTATCGTGAAAATGAACAGCAAGTTTGTCGACGGGCACAACTGCCATAACTGCTTCGAGCATGGGTAAAACAGTACCTGTGCCAATTATTGCACAATTCGATGATCACGAAAAGAATTGCAAAAGTAGATGAGAAATAAAAAATAAAAAATAAAACAAAATTAGACAATTAATTACCAGGTGTAGCAACTCCTATTGTATCTCCTAGCGAAATCTCGAAACAACCCATATTATGAAGCTCCTTCGCCACATAAGCAACTTTCAGTGGGGCAATATATCCTTCAATCGGACACCCAACCACACATGATACATACCTATCGAATATTAAATAAATTTTAACATCATCAGCCAAAAATCATCTTATAATTATTCGCTCAATTTATATCAGAAATAAAACGAACACTTAGTCTTCGAAAAAAGCAGTACCCTCGAACAGGAATTGCGAGCTTTTTAGCAGCAGAAGTTACAGCACGATATCGAACAAGGCTCTCTTCGATACTGCAGTTGATATTCGATCTCGAAAATGACTCGGAAGCTGATGCGAATACAGCTACTTCTTTTGCACCAGCTGCAATAGCTGCGTCGAAGCCCTAAGCAATTATTTAAATCGAATATATGTCAGGTTATCTCTAATAATAAAGAGATTTTGCTGTTGCACCGTAAGTACCACGCACCTTAAGATTGGGCGTAAGCGCAGGCAATCGAATACCCTCCAGATTCTTAACCGCTGCCATTACATCATTTGCATCCGCGAGCTGATTTTCAATCAAAACAAAAGTAAGGATTATTAAATACTCGAAAAAAAAAATTCAAGAAACGATTATGAAATCGGAAAAAAAAAAAACAAAAAAAAACAAAAAGATCACCTGAGGGACCCACTTTGGCGAAACGAAGCCTGTAACTTCGACAACTGGCAATCCGGAAGAAGCTAATTTTTGGATCAATTTGACTTTGACTGATGTGGGAACGATTGTCTTCTCGTTTTGTAGCCCGTCCCTCGGGCCCACTTCTACTATTTTCACAAGTCTTGGAATGCCTTTGAAGAGCTGTTACATTGCGCAAATAATTTTTTTTGTCTAAATCAATGCAAAGAACTTCATTACAAATTCATTTTAAGGACTTGGGTGAAAATTTACCATATATTTTGGTTCTCCGGTTTCATTGTCGTTGCAGTACGAGTTACGCGGATTTTGTCTTCTACCTTGGCTTGAATTCCTTTGCGACGAGTTTCTCATTTGTCTCCCCCATGTAATAGTCTCTTGATCGTACTCTTCAAAATCATCACTGTAAAAATAAATAAATCATTTTACAGGGGTCAAATAAGCAAAGAACCCGTAAATATAAAATGCGCATATTATCCAAAATTAGCTGATTATCGAATCCACAGAGCATTAATTCCAATATACACTTGCTAAATCTAGACAAAGTTGAAACATATCTGATGTGACGTAAAAAACTGCAGAAAAAAGATAGTATGAATTTCTTGAATTTTTTTAATAGAAGCAAAAGAAAGTACATACGCGCAGCTATTAGACGAGCTGCAGCTTCTACCATCAATCCAGCAGTTTCCCTTCCCCATATCTTCTCCCATGGGCCTGCATGCACTGGATGAAAACCTATAAATCCGATCGATATTGCTCAAACTTGGCAATTTGTCAAGACCAAGGGGCTGCTCCAAACTCGACATTGTGGATAACAATAAATACAGCTGAAACCGAACAAAATCACAACATAAGTAGTCTGCTATTAGCACTTTCCGAAGCCTTTCTGCTATGAACAGTTCACAAGTGGTGAGCGAAGAATCAATTAAACAAGAAAAGCATAACCATCTTTCAAGAAAAAAACTAATGACCTATCAAACAGAGTTGAAACCGAGTAATTGGCATTGGGTGCAGACTGCAGCGCCACAAAATAATTGCACTAAACATGATAAATGTAAAGGCATATTTCGTGGTCCTTCGTTTTATACTCCAAATGTAGTCGACTACGATAAAACTAAATTTCCTTGGCCATTCGAGTATAGGGAAAACGATAAAGAAACACAATCAAGCTGATAACGTATATCTACTTCCGAAATAAAGCAACAAAAATGTAATACATACGAACCCAATTGGCTAATACATCGACAAACTCCATACAAGTCCAGGCATAAAAATGTCATAAAACCAAGGAGAAGATATCAAAGATTGAAGTAAACTTGTAGCAATTGAACAAAAGAATTCATTACAAAATTATCGATTCATATATCGCCCTTCAACACATGAAACACGGGAATATCTTAATCAAGCTTAGAGAAGTTTACCCACTAAAATTCTTTACATTTTTCTTTCAAGCATTTTAGCGAACATATCATTGCATAATCCAAATATTGCTGCAAAAAAGTTCCTCCTCCAAATAAAATAAAACACATGATTCAACTGAAGTAAATAAATGATAATAACAGCAGAAAGTAAATGAAATGCGAAAATAGAAGAAACCCACACCTCAAAAATCAAAATCAACAGGTATGTTTTCTGGGTTTCTGAAATTGGGAAGAGGGAATACGGAAAAAATTAGGAAATCCCCTTTGCTTTATCCCAAAAGAAGAAGTTCACCGCTAGCTTGAGGAGTTGTACCGAAACACGCAAAGAAGTGGTTGTGCGGGCAACATAGTAATCAAGGCACCAGCAGAAACGTGACGGAGAAACAAGAGTGCAACAGTAGCAATAATTAGGACTAGAGTTGGGCTTTGTTTGTAGCGTTGTGTGTGTCGATGTGTGTGTGTGTGTGTTCTTAACGTTGTTGAGCTGCGATTGGGGGTTTGTCTTAGAGTGGTAGCTTCCTTGTGTGGTTGCGAATTGCGAAAAATTAATTCTAGAGAGAGAGAGAGAGAGTAGAATGGTGGGAAAAGGGTGGTAGGTAGTTTTCAGTTGGAAGTTGGTCTATTTCCTACCTCCATAAATTGTTACTTGGATAAATTATAAATTATTGTTAATTATAAAAAATGAAACGGAAAATCTCAAAAAATAAATAATAAATATAATAAATATAATAATGGACCTTCCAAGAATAATAAAAAAATAAAAAAGATTACATTTTTATTTTCCAAATAGAGCTTCTAGAAATTATTCGGGAGGTGGATTACAGAATATCACATATTTTAAGAAATGGGTCCTACTAATATAACTTTTATTCCCCAAAAAAAAAAAAAAAAGAAAAAAGAAAATGATATGAAAATTAAGATTTAAGGCTAGAATTTGATGCCAAGGGCCCTCTTTGCATCTAAATTATGGCTCTATACCAACCACATAAGTCACAACTTCTTGGTAGGGTTTGGTTAAACAATCACCTCTCAACAATTTTTTAACGAATTAAACTCATTTCGAAAATGGAACACGACACCATTTCAACTAATAGAATCGCCTAAGAATATCTAAATAAAGCACACTTTTAAGTTAATAGCTCGAGGGGAATACGATGCCTTTTGATCACAATGTATGGTGTCCCACGCCTTCTGCGTGATCGTGTTGCACCTGAGTCTTTCCTTTTGTTGCCATTGCAGTTCTTATTTTGTCGACTATCTAAGTACTTTAGCTTAGTTGTCAAGTAGAGTAGTTTTTTCTTCGAGTTTGGTTCTCTTTCGCGTTGAACCCTAATTCTTGAGAGCAATACAATTCCAAATATTTCGGCAATTCTTGTCTATCTTTAGTTGAATTTATGCAATATTAGTGACTTCATAACCTTTTTCTAGTGTAGTTAGAAAAAAACAATTCAAAACATGAAAAATATCATATTATATTATATATTTAATAAATTCCAACTCATACACCTTTTAAAGCCCAAAAAAGAAGAAAATAAAAAATTAAATCGACAGCAACCTTTTTTTTGAAATAATCGACAGCAACCTCCGGTGAAAGAACCAATCAAAATTCAGATCCTTTCAGCGCATTTTCGCTCTTGCGAAAAGCACTCCAGCAAACAAGCCTATACGAGAAAAAGGACCAATGAGCAAGGTTAATAATGTAATTTCCAAGTATAGTAGTAATATGCAGTTACTAGAAACTTACCGAAGAATATACTTGCAGCATTTTCCAAACTTGTTGGAACTTTGAAAACGAGAATACCGGCTACAGAAAGCGGTATCTTGTTCAGCGACCCCACAAGGCTGCATCGATGCAAAACGAGTTAGCAATAAAGCTTATTACCGTGGCAAAATAGAGGTTATTTTTGTCATTTCATTTGTAATGTAAGAAGCACTAATATAGTAATTGCGGGCTAACGATAAATCACGGGCTTCAACCATGATATAAAACAAAAAAAATTAGCCTTGAAATGATTAGTAATATATCAATCCTTCCGATACGAAACTATTATTTTCCTGGTAAATTAGTTTCTTTCACTAACTAAACGGCATTTTAAAATACGAAATTCAAATATTCACCTGTACGTAGTGGCCCCCGTTTGATGAAGAAACCACATTGAAGTGAAGCTGATAACCAAACCCAAGAATCCACTAAGTGTCATCACAAGCCAGAAGGTGGGCAATCTCAATAGCGGTCTGCCATTAGCAACAAATCGAACTTCAAAATCGAATTAAGAAAGAAAAAAACGTTCACCTTTTCTCGATTTTGTCAATCAACTAAACAAAATTCAAGAAATGAAGTGATGTTTAGTATTTAGTCTCGACTAGTGAAACAGAATAATTTGATAGATAGAAAGAATCAAAAGTATGTAGCGCATTACTCACGTTTGTGTTAAATAATCGACTTCGTTGAATACGAAAACTAGCAAAATTCCTAGGGGTAGCGAAAGTGTATTGTTTAGCATGACCATCGAAAACTCGTTCAATTCACCGGATTTAGTGACTTGTTTGGCTGTATCCATAACCCTACGCAAAGTCAACTGCACCACCACAAAATAATCAACAGTCATAGACTATCTAAGCCAAAAAGAAATTACATAAAAAAATGTTGCAAACATTTATTAATCGACTTAGAGAACAGGATTACTTACAGAATACGACGCAGTCAAAAAGCAATTTATAAACTGCCATGTGTACCCCACGGCATGAAACGAGAGATCAGTAATTCCTCCTGATATTGCTGATATTATCTGCATAACATAAATGTACAAGTTTAAAAAGAAAAATCATATTGATAGTGAACGGAATATCCGATTTTAAGTAACTTAAAAATGTTTGCCAGGTGGCGTACCATTAGAAAAAGAGCTGCCCAAACGCTGTTGTCATGGCGCTTGTTGAATAGATACATTTCACCGACAGCGGTTATCACATTGGTCCCGTTCTTCAGGACAGTAACCATAGCCACGTTTATATATTTTAGACTGCAATAAACAAAACCAGTAGTAATAAATTTATAGATTGAATCTCACAAAAAAAAAAAAAAAAAAAAAAATACTACGAAACAATTCGCATAAAATAAAAATAAATAAATAAATAAATAAAAACAGTACCTAAACATACTTGTGACTAGCATCCCCACGAAAATAATGTTAACGGGCAACCAGACCTTAATTAATCTCCACGTGAATGGCTCGGTGGTAATTACGCCAAATAAATTCAAGGCAGAAACAATAACTACTGCCACAAAATTCTGCGAGCACGAATTATAAATCTCATTAAATAAAATCGAAATATAGAAGACTATGGCTAAAAAATAAATTGCGGTGAATATAATAAATAGGATGTAACTGTAACCTGGTACAGCATCAAAGAAATTCCAGCATTAAAGTTGTAACTGGAGAGGACGCATTTGTTAACGAGTATCATACTGCATGAGGAAAGACAATATGCGAGGCCCGATAATAAGGCCGTATTGTGTAGTGTAAGTATTTTTTTACTTCGCCCCGTTTTTTCTCTATCTTTATCTAAACTCCCATTCTCCACATCAATATCTTCCTTATTACTACTGTGAGTCTTCATTTTCGAAAGATCTGAGAAATAAGCAGCGTAAGAATCAACAATTTCAATTGACAAAAACAAATTAATCAAAAAAAAAAAAATAATAATAATAATAATAATAATAATAATAGTAATAATAATAATAATAATCCAAGAACCTGATTTTGTAGTTTGTATAGCTGATTGATTAGTCAGGCTTCTTTTAACCCTTGATAAATATTCACTAACATCACCGATTAGATTTTTCTCTTCGATATAGGATCAAGCAAATCCAGATAAGCACCTTTTGATAATGATCTGCAAGGAAAAAAAATATTACGTTATCGTCAGCAGATAGTAATCGTAAATTATAAAATTAGCTGGTACAAAGTTGGAGTTAGTACACATGAACACCATAACTAGTCTCGGCAAAGAATTCCATAAAATAAGTGACCACGAAAAACGCAAGTTAGATGATAAGTTTATGCAACCATAACTATTTTTAATGCAAGCTGTCAATATTCAACCGGGTTCCACATAAAAAAGTTTTGTCGAACCGATCATTTGGGGCAAAAATTAGGGCACCACCACATAATTAGGTTTTATTTCAACCTCGAATTCTTCAAGAATGACATGTACTTAAATATCAGCATGAAATTACTTTTGGTTCAACATGAACCCTCAAAAGTAAAATTCCTCAGAACATAAGGAATTCAAATTTCACAATGCCATTTGGGATATACCAACACAAAAATAAAACCCATCAACTGAACATTTAAAAATGTACAAACAAACAAACTGAAGAACTCAACGAAGCTACCTGTGCTGCACATAAGTTGATTAAGAACTGAAAAACAATCAAATAAAATCGTAAAGCAGTGGATTCCCAATTTTGATTTTTAATATTTTTAAGCAATCACATCTACAAATAAAAAAAAAAAAAAAAAAAAAACTCATCACAGCACACGCATGAAGAGAGAGAGAGAGTAGATTAAAAAATGAACTTACGAACAGAGATGAGATGAGAGAGGTCTTGTAAATGTTGTGTGTGTGATTGAGAGATTGAATCTCCTGCTTAAGCTACTGCTTTTATGTACACTGAACGTCGAGTACATATATACTTTTACAGTAGAGAGAGAGAGAGAGTGATGAGAGAGAAAGAGAGAGAGAGAGAGAGAAGAGAGAGAAGTTTACAAATAAGTCAACAGTTGTGTCTTGTGAATTCATAAGTGGCTTTTGGCCGAATGAAAATCATTCAACGACGACGTTTTTTGGTATCTTTTGTTTCACGACTAAAGTTCTAATTTTTTTATTTTTTTCCAAATTTTATTGATCGAAATTAGAATGTATATGAATTTTGATTCTTCTTCGGAGAAAAAAAAATATCCAATTCATTCTGAAATTATAAGGGAATAAAATGAAATTTCTGAATTTCGTCAATCCCGGTCTTAAAATTTCCGATATTTGAAGTTTACAGCTTTCAAAAATTCGATTTTCGATTTTTTTAGAATGAATTGAATTAGTTTTTAACTTTGGAAAAAGGAATTTTATCCAAAGATATAATTCTGATCCGATTCATCTTATTTCCAAAATTATATGTTATATTCGAAAAATGGATTCCATATAATCACCAATTTCAAACTATCACATATTGGATTAATTTATTGATCAATCAATCAATCAACCATTCTATTCCTTTGTTGAAAAAAAAGGAAAAAGAAAAAAATAATTAGTCAACTTTAAATTTTAATTTCTTCCTTAAATCTAAATCATCTTTTAAATAGGAGAATCAGAAGTTTGGCAATATATTGGTTAATATAGATCTGGTCAACTAATAGTGTACCATTGAGGGGTCTTCTTGCCCAACTCAACTTTGGTAGACATTAATTATTCTATTATAATATTTAGGGCAAATTACGGCAGCCCTCAACAGTAAGGGCAAGGCAAACTACAGCATCCCTCTACGGTAATGTTAAATTACGAAAAAAATCATTCATGTTTGAAATTTTGAATAATTATAATCACCTCTCAATTCTCAATTATGTATTGTCTTACATATTCATCATTACGGTATCAAATTTACTTAGCGGTGTTCATCGAATCGGTAAACCCGCCGAAAGTAAGGGTAGGTGCCGATTACCGAAACGGGAATTCGGTTCGGTATTCAGTTTTTTTATTATTTTATATACATATTTGTTTACGTAATATTAATATTTAAACAAAAATCTATTTAAAAAATCAAACTTTGAAATATTTTTAATAAAATTTCGATAATTCGGTTATTACCAAATCGAACCACATATTTCGGTTCGGCAAACAGTAAGAAATTTTGGTTTCACCAAATGAACATCCCTAAATTTACCTATTTGAGGAATTTTTCTATGAGACAATAGATAGTTGAAGAGTAGCTGTAATTATCCAAATACGAGGGGTTTTTTCATAATTTGACCTTAACTCACGGGGTGGCCCGTAACTTACCCTAGTATGTGTTGACCTTTTTAGGTCAGTGTTCTTCATAAATTGACAAATGAATTGTTTGGTATATGCAAAATCCAATAGGACCACCAAAGTTTCTTGTAGTGGCCAGTGTTCATATACTCAAGTCTCAAACCACCAACAGCAACTTGTACCTTAATAAAAACAAAAACATGTGTTAATTGAGAAAGTGAGTTGACACCACACCATTTGGTCAAATAAATGTGCCCAACATTTGTTACAGTGTTTACTTATTACAGCTAATTTTCCACCATTTTCCCTCTTTCTCTAACACAATGAAATATCCAGTTCTCTTATAAGAAAGGTGTTTACAGGCCTCTAATAATACATACATGGTAGCAAAATCGACGAAACGGTGTATCCCTCTTTAATTAAAAATGTTGGGACGATGATGAAGAAACTAGCGGGAGTGACTGGACCATTAAACGTACGATTATCTTTCCCTAAACGATATTACTCGTTAAACCATACAATTAATTAAGGTGGGAGCATCTAGCAAGCTATACCTGCTTCTATGGCGTTGGATCTTGATCTTCTAACATGCACGAAGAATCAATGTTCACCTTCAGCCCTTTACCGTATGCAGCGATTAAAAGTGCCTCGGCACGACCTGTGCATCGGTCACAAATAAAGAGCCGTCAATTATTTCTCGGAGTTATTTAATATCTTTTTAGTTTTAGAAAAAGCTTAGATTAGTATACGAACCGTGATCTTTCTTCCTTTTCAGCTGGGAACACATGCTGGGAAATAGAGTGCTGGCAAGCTCTCTGCTATTATCCTGTCAACCAAAGCAATAAACGTCAATTTTGATTTTTCAGTATCGGAAAAAACTTTGACGTATCTACTTAGAAATTAGAAATAAAAAATGCGCAATATCAGATGCAGAAGAGGTTAATTTTCAACGGGACGTGTAAAATTCCAAATATTATATATTTATACACGGCAAAAGTTAAGATCAAACGAACCTTACTTGAGCGATCTCCAGTCAGTTTGAACGAATTCTTCCATAACGATGATGGAACTGGAACAACAGAATACCCTGAGGCGACCAAGATCCCTATCCATAGTCCATATCCGAATCCTCCACTCCACCATCCCTTCGGAGCCAAAAAAATTAAAAAAATATATACTTCAGAAACCATTACTAATGATTTTTCCATACGAATAGAAAAGAGTAGATGTGCAATGGATTATGCCCACCGCTGAACTATTACAAAACTTTTATGTTCTTACTTAAGAAGCATCACGTAAAAACACAAATCGAATGAAGATACCAATGGAACAAAATCCATGAGAAATCAATAAATACACAAATTCGAACCACATAACAAAAAAAGGTAACAACAACAGCTCATGATTTTCTTTGAGAGAGACTAAAGGCCTTTGCTACAGATACAGGGATTCTAACCTGCTTACCATCTTGCGGATATGGAATCGATTGCTCTATATACACAGTGGTTCCTGAATTGAAGGAGAAAGTATAAATTTGGGTCAAAGTATGCCTCAGTTCGAGATATGGAGCAGTTGGACAGTTCATGAATCATCCAATCACAATCAACCACGGATATAAAAATTGAAATAAGAATGTAATAGGATAGCTGGATAACAGTGTAGTAAATGTAATCCACCGTTGTGGTCACTGAGTAAACTGTTTGTAGTCAGTAATGAAAGAAACACTGATATTCTCTCGCTAATCTGAAATTTGTTTCCGGGGTGCATAATAACTGCATTTGTTTCCATACACGACAAAGAAGATACGAATTCATGATAAGAAAAATAAATGATTTGATGCCCTGTCATGCAGTTTCAACACCATAAAAACTTATTTATCGAGACAAGAGCATGATGCTCTTAACAAATACATGCTTCGACTTTAAAAATTTGTTAAGCAGCTCGTAAAGCACTGAGCAGTATAAAATACCAATTGGAGCATCAACACTTTGAAGCAACTGGATAATAGACTTCACGTCAAGACGCTTCCTCACTCTTTTGCCAACCAGTACACTCAAGTGAGGAGAATCGTACACCTACGAGATATGAGAAAAGGAGTTACAACTAGGAAATTACAAAGAAAAAAAACACCGATTCTCATTTACGACGAAAGGTTATACTAAACAGTAGAAAGCGAGTCTCGAACAAAATGCCGGAATGAAGTTCACGTTGTTCATATTCTACCATCTCCTAGTATCAACACACATAATACAGAATAAACGATCGGGTACAAGAAATGAATATCGTAAAATGGCTGAAACAGCGGTAATTTTTCCTCTACCATTCACATGATCATCTCCTAATACTTAACAACAATGGCATATATGATATAATGCATCAGAGGATTCAGATTTCATATTCAAGCAAGGAATATTTAAACAATAAAAATTGTAATACGAAATACTCCATCACCTGTGGAGAATTGTCGGGTTTAATTACAGCCAAGGCTCCGGAAAGATCCGGGTCGATTCCGACGACCCAACCCGAGTCCGCATTGCACGAATCGGAATCTTCAGAAGCCCTATTTTTATCACTGTCCGGCCAAGGGCAAGAGAGGGAATCCAACCAGTTCAATCGGAGCTGATTTGCATCTATATTTACCTTTTTATCCCTCGCGCTGCTCCTTTTACTGCCATTGGGGCTGGGTTTAGAAGTAGAGGGTTTTGGGACTGTTACAGTTTCGGGGTCACGGCTGCTCGTGGAGGAGGTGGCGGCGAAGAGTCTAAATGCGGCGGGGGTGTGGCGGAGGAGGAGCGGTGGAGCTGGTTTAAAGGCGGCGATTGGTGGGGTGATCAGACATCGGGGTTTTGGAGGGAAGACGATTACTCTAGCCATGAAAATTGTGCGGAGAAGTGAGAAAATTATCGTTAAATTATAAATCGAAATTTCTTCTCTCAAAAATTAAAAATAAAAATAATTTGCTTTCATTGAGAGTTGAACTCAAGACCTCCCGCTTACTAAACGGGTGCTCTAACCAACTGAGCTATGAAAGCTTGTTGAATAAAATTCTTAAAATAAAGTTCTTAATCTCAATACTATAGAAGAACTCTCCTAGAGCCTCGTTTGGCAAGTATGTTACTACTATTTATCATAAGTTCATTATTATTTTAATTAATTATAAGTTCATTAACTAAGCTTGAAAAGTATGTTGTAGATCAACAAGTATTTTACTCTTAATTTCACTTTTATAACTACTAATTCGTTCGGTGCATTTAGCTGAACGATGTTGTAAATGTGGCTACAGTAAAGGGTCAAACGTTTTTTCCTCCCAAAACTGACAATTAAATAAATTTCTAGAAATACTACCATTTGCAATTTAATTATTTTATAATTTAAATATAAGTATGATAATAATGAAAGGGAAAAAAAAACTTATTTGGCTAAAATAAGGAGTCAACACAAGTCAAATCTTCAAGAGTACAATCCTCACAACTAATTGGATTGATGATCACAAGTTTAAGGTCACCTTGCTTAAACTTGGCACATGAAAAATACAATTCCAAGCATCAACAAATTGGGTTAATAAAGTTATTATTGGCTATATATTAATTCAATATGCCAATTCTTTGAGTCATTTGTAATAAAACAAACATAATTAATTCCCTAATTAGTCCACTCCGAGCAATATGATATTATGATGGATTAAAAAATTATTTAGGCCACACCCCATTAATGAAAATAAATAAATAAATACTTCTTGATTACTTTTTTGTCTCTTGAAATAGAAACAATTTTTTCTAAAATTGGGTGTTTTGATTCCTTCTTTTGAAGATTATATTACAAGTAAAGAGTCTTCTTAAATGTGAGTTGAGCAATAAAATCCTTAAATTCAGGACCCTTAAAAAAAACAAAAAAAGACACCACTATAAATCAACACAAAATCTTACCACTTCTTGATTGCCTTTGCTCTAAAATTCTGCACCCAAAGAGAAAAATGGAATTTGAAAAAAACACCAAGAATGCCTACATCACTGCACCAACTAGCCCCAATCACTGCAGCAGAAGCAACAGCATGGAGTTTTACTACAGCGCCCCCGCTAGCCCGCTTCGAAAAACGAGCAATGACAGCGATTTCGAGTTCGGTACCAGCAAGAAGTTCACCGACGGCTGTGAGTCGCATACGGGTGACGTTAGCGAGAATCAAGAACCTGCAATGGCTTTTGCCGACGAACTTTTCGTCGACGGCTTAGTCATGCCCTTAAAACTCCCACCAAGGCTTTTATGCGAAGGCACCGATTTTTCATCCAACAGTTTTTGCCAGAAATCGCCTTTTTTGTCGCCAAGAACCGTGTGCAGAATCCCGTTTTCGCGCAAGAGCTCGTGGAATGACGATTTCGACCCCTTTATGGTGGCTTTGGAGAAGGTGAGGGAAGAGAAGCGGGGGCGAAATAGTCATTACAGGCGCTCGAGATCACACTCTCCATTTCGAGCCATGCCAAAAGAGTCTAATGACGAAAATATTGTTTCCAAAGGAGGAAACAATAGCCCATCGTTGAGCTTAAGTGGGCCCCTCGATTTTAAGGGCTCAGCTTACGCTAGATGGGTTCGAGACCAGACGAGAGAAGGGCTAAGCCCAAAGAGGCCGAAACGGTTCTTTTTCAGACAAAGGGTAAGACCTCTAAAAACCGAGCACGTGGGGCCGGCTTCGCCCAAACGGAGTGGGGCCCGTCATACTGAGGAGAGTAAGGTGCAGAAACTGAAAGGGTTTCTGCTGAGGTATGCTTCGTTCGGAAGAGACAAGCAAACGAAGAACGCAACCTCGGAAATACAAAAACCGAGTTACTTTAAGAGGTTGAGCTTTAAATTCAAGGGAAATAGTAACGATAAGCCTTGTGATACAAATATGGCAATGGTGGCATATAACAAGCCATCTCTTGCTCTTTGCTTAGGTTATGGAGTTGACAGCCCTAATATGGTGAAATGTACTTAAAAATATTTATATTTGCATAAAAATGTGATCTTTTTGTTCAGAAATTAAGGTGGACAAAATTTCTTTGTTGAAGATTTATATTAACAAAAAATGTAAATGGAGGCAATTTTTTTTTTTACATTTTTGCCACAACCTTTTTATAAATGTTTTTTGTAGCTGAGAAAGAAACAATTTTTTTGTTTCCCTAACAAATTTATGACCTACTACTCCAGTACTTCACAAGGCCAGAGCTTTTTCCACGTCGAAATTTCTTCGTTGCTATATATTTTTCGTATCCCCCCATAAAATCCATCGGACTCGTTTCCCTCTTCCCTATGGTCTTTCCTACTAACGCTCGTTGTTCTCCATCGGGAGCCACGTGTGTACTGGTTGAACTCCAGGACCAAAGTATCTGCATCACATTTTTTCATTTGTTAGAAATATCTGCTCTTTTTCAAAATGAACAAGATAAAACAACTTAATCTGAAATTCATTCACAAAAATTCTTCATAAATAGTGGAAGAAACAGAATGATTCCGTCTCCTAAAAGTAACTTTCTTTTTTTCTGCTTATGTGGTAATAAAGTTCCACTGAAACTAGCACTTATGGCTGTGTCGAGAGAAAATTGTTCGACAAAATGGAAGACCCCACATGCAGGCAAAATGGGAGTCAAGAAAGGTGCAGCCAATAATAGAATATGATAATATTTGTGACCACCTTCTCGATCGATGCCAATGCTTCGCAGTATCTTTTTTTAATTGGATCTTTAATTTTTAACATATTATATGAAATGGCGATTTATTTTAAGGCGAAACTCACCACATTCGTGACATCGGCAGTAATTGGGATTCCCGTCACATGTTTCCAAATGGCCTACAACACCATACCACCAACCTGTACATGTAAGTGAAAACATTATTATTAAATTTGATTAATTTATATGATTTTGTTTGTATCTTAGCATAACGAATCCAATGGATTCGTGTTACGGAATGACAACAACACGACATCCATTTTAAGAAAATCAGAACAGTGTTCGGTTTTTTCAGTTCTTGATTGTGAACATGTCAATCGTCTTTTACGAACTTTTATTTCATATACTGCGAACCAATCTAAAGCCGCCACCTATGATCCCATTTCAAGAAAATGAAAAACGAAAAAGCCGCTAATGCCATAATAAAAAACTTGGTGAATAAATGTTCATCATACACCGATTGAAATATAACGAACAAAACACGAAAAAAAGGGATGTTTGGACAGACTAAATACCATATGGAAATTCTTTGTTTCTTCGCCATTGAATTTCAATGTGGTCACCAGGTTGCAACTCATTTAAACAATCGGAGGTGTGAAGATCGTGCGGAGAAGTATCAATAGGGGGTGCTCTAAGTCTATCCCATGTTACACCCGTCTCCGTTGCACTTATTCTTCTTCCATGTGGCGGATATCTACTCAAATTCAATAACCACAAAAAAATTTAAAACAACGAAAAATGATTGCATACACTAAAGAAACACATTCAAGAAAGAATAATCGCATAAAAATGCAATCTTTACCAATATTAATTCAGCGATGCAAAACTACAATCAAATACGATATATGTTCAAAAGTTGCATTCCTGCAAACAAATATATCACCTGGCCTTAAAAGTGTCGGTTTGCAGATCATAGCTAAGTTCAGCATCATAGCAAGACAACATAAATCCAACATGACCATTCTGCATAAACACGCGCAAAAAACAAACCTCAATACACAACAAACAAAGTATCGTAAATTAATTTAGAAAGGGTGACGAAAAATCGATACCTCTCGGTTATAAACCTGAGCAGGGAACCAAAACTTGCCAGACTCGAGAGCAAAATACCAAGACATGATCGAATCCAACGGAGGAAAGTTCTTCTTATTGCTAATACCACTAAAACTAGACCTAAACAACACGACCGGCCATAGGCGAGCGATATAGCCCATTAGGCCGTTTTGCTTGCCTTGACCATTATCGAAAAAGATCGAACCTTTACTCGAAAGAACATGCCACTGCCACTCCCTATACGCAGCGGGCCCCACAATTCTCGCCCATTTGCTCCTCATGTGCTTTTCCCACAAGTGATCACTCATGCACATATCTCTCATAGAGGTGCACACACTAGCCATTTTGCAGAGCCCATTCGGCGGAAGCTTCTCGAGAATGCACTCGAGTACGAGGTCGGGCAAATCCAACACAGACACGTCCGACGATGCTGTCGCCGTCGGCGGCGTCTCGACACCGCCCAATGTGGAATTGAAGCTCTTCTTCCTAGGTGACATCACCATCATTGGTTTGAAAAGTGAAGAAACTACACCCACGATAGTGTTTCTTATGGATTTGGTGATGGGGGAAAATGGCAAGTCTTTCCAAAACCGGAGGGAGAGCAATCTCACCTCACGCGCCCATGAAGGGAGGGGTTTTATGGAAAGAGACTTGTGGAAGAAGATGAAGGAGAAACAGCAAGTGATCAAGAAGAAAAGCATTTGGCTAGAGGGTCTAGAAACCAGTCACAAACATATATATATAAAAATCTTTTGGGGGGATAATATTAAAGGGGGGGTGGGGAAGGGGGCAAAAAAAGTTAGGCCACCACCACCAATAGTGAACAAGCAATGAGCATAGTAAAAAAATTAAATAAATTATTTTCTTCTCAACCTTATTTCCTATGAAAAAAGAGGAAAAAAAGGGATCTTGAAAAATTATGTGCTGCACTGAGACGAAGCCCACCTAACACAAATTGTGGGCCTCGTCCAAAATTGAAAAAGATTACAGTATCAAGAAATTAACATGAAATAAACTAGTAAAAATCCAATCTTTACTGGAAAAAAGAGAATCAGAGAAAAAGGGACAAAATTTTGATATAATTAGGACAAGAGTTATTCTGGGTTTGTGCAGATCTGTTGAGAGGTGAAATCAGAGTGTGAATCTTGAAAAAAATCAAGAAGAAAAAAGAAGTGGAGAAGATGAAGGGTATCTAAAATTGGGTGAAAGAAGACATTGCAGCCCTACACATTCTTCCTCCACCCACACAGATACTCTTCTTTCTCTCTCTTCAAATATCCTCTCTCTCTCTCTTCTCTCTGTTTCTGGGAGTTTTGAATGGAAATTGCAGAATTGAAATAAAGAAGTTAAAAAATATGTGTGTGTGTGTGTGTATATAGGTAATTGTAATAATATTTTTTGGCGTGAAGGATGGAGTTGCTGTTGGTGGTTGACGGTTAAAGGGAGCTTTGGAATTTGATCCCTTTGTGTAAATTTTGGCCAACTATAGGAAAGGCTGTTAGAACACACACACCAACTTGTTTTTAATTTGTGTGGACTAAAGTAAACTCCGGGTTTCCATTAATGTCAATATATATATACACTTAATATATATACAATTACATAATTATAATTATAAAACTAAAATGAAGATTATGAAATTGAGGTTTGGAGGTGTGTGTGTGTGTGTGTGTTTGGGATGAATTGAATGTAGTAATTTTGGCATTTATGATGACAATTATTGTAATAAATTGCTATTATCTTTAATCAAGATTAAGGAAAAATCACGGCCACTCTATTGTGGTAATGTCAAATTATGAGAAAACTACTCTGATTTGGGTAATAACAACTACCTTTTAGCTATATATTCTTTTACGAAAAGACCACTCATTCAATAAGTAAATTTGACACCGTAAAAGTGAACATGAATTGTAATTACCCAAACAAAATGGATTTTTTTTGTAATTTGACTTACCTGAGGTGAAAGTAATCTTCCATAAAATTAATCGGTAAAATAGAATTTACTTAATTTTTATTTTATATATAAAATATTTGAATAAAATTAGGCAAAATGGCCCTTAATGCAATTGGATAGGTATTTTAGTTTGTTGGTACATGTATAAATTTATGACAACTATACTCTTTTTTTTCTAAAGTGGGGTAAGTAAAGATGATTCACAAAGCACATTTAACACAATGACAACACAAACACCCCCCATAACTTTCGGCTTTCCACATTGGGTACCTAAAAGTATTTATTTCTTGGTCCCTAATTAATTTTAATTAAATTAAATAATAAGTAGTTGTTGAACAATAAAAGTTGTTAGAGCTTTCGAATTATGATGATGGATAATGTTTGGATTTGATTCAATCTTGGAAAATAATAACAACAATTGTAAATTACAGCCAACCCCTAAGGTTATGTTAAATTATGAAAAGCCCCTCATATTTGGGTAATTACAATCACACCCCTCAATTATGTATTGTATTACACGTCCACCCTTACTGTGTAAAATTTACCTACTAAATCAGGGGGTTTTCGTAAGAAAGTACATGTTGAGGGGTTTTTCATAAAAAAATACATAGTTGAGGAGATAATTGTAATTATCCAAATACGAGGAGTTTTTCGTAATTTGACTTACCTCAAGAGGATAGCCGTAATTTACCCTAACAAAAATATTGGTGGCATACAAGTCTTCATACGTGTCCTTAGAATGGGAACAAAACAAATTACGCCATCCGTAGTACGATTAGTTCAATGTTATTCGATAAAAAAAAAATCGTGTAAACTGACCACACAGTGTAATCAGGACACGTATTACACATATCGAAATACAGTATAACCTCGATAAATTAATAACGTTGCTTAAATAATAATTTGTTCTTGTCCCGATTCGGTAAAAACGTACTATATCATTAGTTCGATAATTTAATTTTTCGTTAAATTAATAAAATTTTGCTAATCTCAACTGTATTAGATCTATGGTTTAGAAAGAAATATTTTTTTCTTTCCCAATATGCTAATGAAAAGAATAATTGAAGGTTCTATTTTAGTGTATCTTAAGTAATCAAAATGTCGACATTGGTGATTGGTGGAAGCCATGATCATATATAGAAGATGTGTCAAAAATATAAAATAAGATTATATTTTTAAATAATGCCAAATTATTTGTAAGAATTAAGATACTAGAATTTAAGTGAATCACAGATAAAATATTTGTGAGTCAAACGTTTCACTACTTCATGCCTTGATTCAATAAAAAGTCATTGGATTCTAGCCATATATTTAATTTCCTAAAGTTGTAATTTATTTTTCAATAAAAATAAAATAAGATAAAATAAATGATTAATTAATCTATCTCCATGGATTAGGGAACACATCGATCTGCATCTGGTCACTTTAATGCTGTACCAGATCTTGTTTTTAATTAATCATTGTATTATATACACTCACATTAGTGTGTATTGTGTGCCACATCAGCTTCCTATATATGTATATATATTTTTTATTTAATTGTTTAAAGTCTCACGTGTAATTTCATCATCATATGATCATAAATCATAATATATAGGTTGGGAGTTTGGGCCTTAATTGTGTAGCCTTTGGTGCATTAGCAATAATATTGAATTGGGCCGGACAGCCTAAAATAAATTACAAAAAACCCCCTCTTATTTTCATAATTACAATCAACCCCTCAACTATGGATCTTCTTGCACGTATACCCTCATGGTTTCAAATTCAACATAATCTTCTAGATTCTGCGGAATGTTCTATAGTTTGTATTCGTTTTGTGTAAAAATACAATTTCTAATTCACCACAATATGATATTTACAAGCTAAGAGATCGATCCTATGATCATCTTATTTCGAAATGCGGAGCTCGAATGGGATAAAACCAAGGTTCTAAAAGGCGGTTATCGGGTACGTGGCGGTTAGGGACCGCCACACGATAAATCGGCGCGGCGGTGATTTATCGGAGATAAATCGGAAATATATCGGTTTTTAAATTTAGTGTAATATATTTCTAAATATTATTTGTAAATACTCAAAATATATATAAAAGAATATTTAAACATAATTCTATCATATCATTCATATGTTATTATATAATTCTAATTACTCAATAAATAACAAAAATTTAAAAACAATAAGATCATAATATAATAAAAGATTCTTACGAAATACAAATACCACGCAAGTCTTTCGCATCAACAATTAATATAAACACAACAAAGCATAAATTGCGGGGTAGTACTTGGTTTGGTTTTGGAAGTTGAAAGAATTTGAGAAAAACAAAAAATCAAAACATATTTTCATTTTAATTTAAATTAAAAAAAAAAAAAAAAAAAAACCGATTTGTTGACCGATATATCGGTTTGACCCGCCAAAAAACCGCCGCAAACCGCCTCGCCGTAAAAAACCGATATTCCAAACCGCCTCAACAAAATCGTAAAGGTTTATAACCGATACCGATATGGCGGCCGATATATCGACCGCCACGACCGATATTTAGAACACTGGATAAAACGAGTACAAACTGGATAATATTCCATATAATCTAAAAGATTTCATTAAATTTGACGCAAAAGGGTAGACACATACGAAGATTCATAGTTAAGTGGTGACTGTTATTATCTCAACATGAGAGATTTTTTCGTAATTCAACCTTACATCAAGGGATTGGCCGTAATTTACCACAAAATAAATAAAACTCGAGCTAAAGAAATTAGAAAACATGGAAGAAATAGGGAAAAAAAAAATTGATGAGACGAATAAAGAATCTCCACGAGGCCACAGTGCCAAGCTAAGTCAACTGGTAGATTCCTCCGATCATCGATCTCCACATTTGCTCATCCCATAATACAACATCCCAACACAGCAAAATGGATTTTCGAAGATACCCAGAATCGAATTTTTGTTCAACCCCAATAAAAATCGGTTCTTTATTTCCCATCGTCGTTCTTCTCTCACTTCTCTCGACACTCTCTGAATCGAACCAGGTAATAAATTCATGCTGGCTAGATATTTTCACGGTTTTCAATTTCGTCTATTTAAGCATTATTTTTACTTATTTTTTAATTTTTGTAGTTTTGTGATGCCGGAATTGGAATTGCCGAATCGCAGTGTGGAGCTGCTTCTGCTTCCCCATCAAAGATTTTGATAAAGGGGGGTACAGTTGTAAATTCACACCATCAAGAGATTGCTGATGTGTACATTGAGGATGGCATCGTTCTTGCTGTGCAGACCAACATCAAGGTACGAGGATTCCAACTTGTTAAGTTTTAATAGACCACCCCTGAGATATGGTCAAATTACAAAAGACTCCCTCCTCTTTGTGTAATTACAGTCACCCCTCACACCTATGTATTATCTAACGAAAATACCCCCTCTAAAGATGGTAAATGGGTAAAACCGAACCGAATTTTCGGTACGCCAACATTTCATACCGTCTACCGAACTAAATATACGATTTGGTTCGATAAATAACCGAATTACATAAATTTTATGTAAAAATATTTAAAATGAGGGGTGGTTGTAATTATCCAAACAAGAGGGTTTTTTCTCGTAATTTGGCCATACCTCAGGGGTGGCCATAATTTGCCCTGGTTTTGTAGAAGTTTAAGTGGGGTCCACATTTGTAGTTCGAGCAGTTTGTTTTAGGACACTTCTGTATTCGATTGAGCTAGAAACGAGATGCCTCGTAAATCGTAACTATATACTTGTGGTTGAATGTGAGCCGAAGAAATTAAAGAAACGGCCTATTGTGTAGCATATATAAAAAGACGAGGCTTAGTGTTTTCGTATATGTATTTTTTGATGCACAGGTTGGTGATGGAGTTACGATTATCGACGCAACCGGGAAGTACGTCATGCCAGGTGTAATATGGGAGGCATTTTCGTAATCTTTAAAACACGAATATCCGTAAATGCTCATCGATATATATATTTAAATATTTGTCGCACGATTAATAAACAGGGGGAATCGATCCACACACGCACTTGGCTATGGAGTTTATGGGCACAGAAACAATCGACGATTTTTTCAGCGGGCAAGCAGCAGCATTAGCAGGTGGGACCACAATGCACATCGATTTCGTTATCCCTGTAAATGGAAACTTAACAGCTGGATTCGAAGCTTACGTCGAAAAAGCGAAAATATCTGCCATGGATTATGGTTTCCACATGGCAATCACTAAATGGGACGAAGCTGTTTCGAAAGATATGGAAGTCATGGTCAAGGACAAAGGTTTTTTTTTCTATATCCTTGTCTAAGTTTCGTTTATATCGAATAATATCTGCGGATAAAATACTAACCGTTTGTTCTGTTTATTACTTTTATAGGGATTAATTCTTTTAAATTTTTCATGGCCTACAAGGGCTCGTTAATGATAAACGATGATCTTTTGCTCGAGGGTTTCAAGAAATGCAAATCGCTCGGTGCATTGGCTATGGTTCACGCAGAGAACGGTGATGCCGTTTTTGAAGGGCAAAAACGAATGATTGAACTCGGGATCATGGGTCCCGAGGGTCACGCACTTTCTAGGCCACCACAGGTATATATCCATTTTAGATCTCGATTTTTTTTATTTATTTCTTTTGTTTCTTGAGCATTAATTTTGAGGTGAATAATACGATGTAGCTTGAGGGTGAAGCAACTGGTCGAGCGATTCGATTGGCTGGTTTCGTGAACACTCCCCTGTATGTTGTTCATGTCATGAGCATCGATGCAATGGAAGAAGTAGCTAAAGCTCGAAAATCAGGTCCGTTGAAATCGAAATTAATCTTTTTAGTTTCGTTAATTATTAATTTTCAAATTAATAATTTTTTTGACTATGCAGGTCAGAAGGTTATTGGGGAGCCTGTAGTTTCGGGTTTAGTATTGGACGATACTGTCCTTTGGGATTCCGATTTTCAGACAGCAGCAAAGTAAGAATCTTTATTCTTGTCCAATAATTTTATTTTTACATATTTTTATTCGTAATATTTACACAAAATGCTGTGATTTTTTTCTCGGTTTCAGATTTGTGATGAGTCCACCTATTAGAGCACCCGGACATGGTAAAGCTCTTCAAGCAGCTCTCTCGAACGGGGTTCTACAGGTTTTTATCTAATTAAAAATTTATAATATAAATTATCTATCTATAATTTATAATGTGAATTAATTATAAATTATATTTACCATATTGCAGCTAGTGGGAACTGATCACTGCACATTCAATTCGACACAAAAATCTCTCGGAATTGATGATTTTCGGAAAATACCAAATGGTGTCAATGGTATAATTACCGTATTTTCTCGATTTTTTTTTAATTTTTTATTAATGCAATCTACAAGATGATTTTTTTTCTCGTGATTTTTCGACAGGTCTTGAGGAGAGAATGCATTTGGTTTGGGATACGATGGTGGTATGTTACGTTGGTTATTATTCAGAGTATACGAACGAATTTCTTTCTGGAGAAAAATATGATTTTCTTTTTTGAATATCTGCGTTCGTTTTTCCGTTATTCTTTTTTATAAATACAATTCTTGTTACAGGTGTCTGGACAAATATCTGTCACCGATTTTGTCCGAATGACGAGCACCGAGTGGTATGCTTTCTTTAGCTCTTTCTATTTCAAGAATCCTGAATTTATTTATATAAACATATATACAATGCATTTTTTTTTTCAGTGCCAGGATTTTCAACATATATCCAAGAAAAGGTGCAATATTAGTTGGTTCAGATGCAGATATCATCATCTTAAACCCTAATTCGAGCTTCGAAATCTGTTCGAAATCCCACCATTCTAGATCAGATACAAATGTTTACGAGGGAAGAAAAGGGAAGGTAAGGCCGTGTTTGGAACTATTTCGAAATTATTTTCTACGTTTTCAGACATGATTTATTAAATTTGATTATTACATTTATGTGATTCGTCAGTTGCTAGCTGAGCTTAAAGAAAACTAAATTTTACCAATTATTGTTACAGGGAAAAGTTGAAGTGACGATTGCTGGAGGAAGAGTTGTGTGGGAAAACGACGAGCTAAAAGCTGTTCCAGGAAGGGGCAAATACGTAAAAATGCGTCCTTTTAACTATCTTTTCGATGGAATTGAAAAAGCAGATGCCGAGTATTTATCGTCCCTAAGAGCTCCGGTAATACGAAGAACCATGCATGTAGCAGCCTGATCAGCTTCATTTATGCTTCAAACTGCTTCAAAGTTGTCAAGAAACATATTTTGATTGTTTTCAATGTACATTTAGGCCACGTTTGGTTTAGCCAAGATAAGATTAAATAGTCTAGCGAAACCTAATTATTTTATTGGAACTCGCAACGTCCGATAAAACTGTTTCAATTTTGGCGGGTCGGCCCGGTAATTTATTGGGGATACCAAACATCAAATTAAGTCCAACTATTTAGTTAATCTTGGCAACCAAACGCGGCCTTAGAATTGTGAATAATTCCGTTCATGTGAATAAAACTGTTTCAACTTTGTGTGTATCATACATACATTTTTTTCGGTAAATTACAACCGCCTCCTGAGGTAAGGTCTATTTACGAAGAATCCCCTCAGTGCTCCATAATTGCATTCACTCCCTTGCAGTTTGTAGGTTTATTACATTAACACCATTTTCTAGGGGGTGGAGGCAAGAAATTCACAAACTACAGGGGACTGAATGTACGTTCTCAAACGTGAGGGTTTTTTTGTAAATAAACTTTACCGGAAGGTGGTGGAAGTTTATAATTTTTTTTTTTAATTTATCAATTCCTGTTGTAAATTGGAAAATAGAGGAAGGGGGCAGGATTCGAAGCCTAGACCTCTACGAAAAATTAAGAGGATTACAGTATTTAAATTTTACCTAATGAGCAAATAATTGAGAGGATTATGTAAATTGATAAAGGTAATAAAGTTGAAGATGAAGCCCCTCCTACAAAAATGAAGATGTTAAATGAGTGACATAATATATTTTTTTTGAGTCACTTAAATAAATCAAAACTCAAGTTCATATTAATTTTTTTTTTTTTAAAAAGAACAATTTGATTATTGGGAATTTATTATGAAAGTTTGTATTATATTATAAAATTATTACCATAATTTTGAGTAAATTGCAAATACTACCCCTGTGTTATCTCGAAATAGCAAAAACCCCCCTGTGATAAATAAACTAGCAAAAACCCCCTCTGTGAAATTTAGTCAAAGGCAGAATCCCCCCTAGCTGATTTTTTAGACTTGAAATGACAAAATTGTCCCTCAAAATGTATTTATATATATACATATTATATGTATATTTATTATTTTTAATTTATTTGTTTAGAAATTAAAAAAAATAGTAAACAACTAAATTGATTATTTTTTAAATAAAATAATTAAAATATTTATAAAATATAAGAATTTATTAATTGCAAGACTCCAGGGGTATTTGTGTCTTTTTATATCAAGTCAACCCTCAAATAGTTCCATAGGGGGGTTTTTGCTATTTAAATAATTTCACAGGGGGGTTTTTGCTAGTTTATTTATCACAGGGGGGTTTTTGCTATTTCAAGATTACACATGGGTAGTTTTTGCAGTTTACTCCCATAATTTTATTAATTTGTATTTGTAACAGGCGTATAAGAATTCGTATTATCTTATAAATTTAACGAACTTTAACGGCAAGTCGAAACCAAACCAATCAACACTAACTATTATTTAACCGATATTATTTAGATGACAGTGGCCTAAAAATAATAAATATGAAACTTGGGGTAAAATGACTAAAAAGTCAAAGTTGACGGTTGACCATTGACCAACAAACACCACGTAAGAAGTAGTATATATATAATATAATAAATCAGTTTAATTAATAGGGACGAACGATAACAAAGAACCCGTTGTGAAAGAAAGTTGACGCCACTCCGGAACTCACAGCTCTCTTTGAAGAAGTACACTCACCGGAAAATCGACGAACGGCGGTGGAGATCGACCGATTATTACCGTCTCCGCCGGGATCTTGTAACTTGTAAGTCCTTCTATTTCAGTGCATTTGTTATATTTCCTAATTTTCTTTTGCTTTCTGCATGGCTCCTAATATGGAATTATGATGTTTTACTTTTTCTTAATCTTCTTAGAAGAAACTTTATCTTGATTTATATGATTTTAAGTTCTGTAGTAGTGCCTGATGAAATGCGATTAGCGCTATTGTGTTTCTTGGTTTTTATTTATTGCCGGCCGGAGTCCGTGATCATGGGGTGGTGATCGGAAGAACTGAATTTTTAGTATAGCACACCATGTGTCTGTCAAATTGCCCCAAAGAAGAAAAAAAACAGAGAGAGAAAGAGATAGTGTGATAAAACCATCCATTTTGTTCTACGCTTAATTTTACATGTGGGCATAATAACTTTAATTTGATAATTGAAAACATTTTTTTTATTGTTTTTGTGTTGAATTCAGTCTTTTATGAGTGCAGTTCCAATTTCTTTTTGGGTCCTTTTTAGTGATGCGATATTACACCACAGGTTTCTTGATTTTTGAGGATTAATTAATGCTCGTGGAACTTGCGAGACGGCAAATCCTGAAAACATGAATAATAAAAACACGAACGAAAAAAACACGAATGAAGACGTCATCAGCAATCTGCCTGAAGATATCTTGCTTGAATTTCTGAGACGCTTGCCGTTGCGGGATGCAGTGAGGACTAGTGCGTTATCCAGAGAATGGAGGGACAAATGGAGATCTATTCAAGAGCTCGTGCTCAATTACGACGCAGGCTGTTTTAAATTCCCGTATCATGACTATCAAATATGCATTTACCAAGTTGTCTTAAATCATCGAGGAACAATAATGAAGTTCTCCCTCAAGGTCCCTCCTTTTATGCGCCACTCAACTATCGATCAATTGATTCTTCATTTATCAAGAAACCACCACGTACGCGACTTCACCCTCGCTCCATACAGGATGGTTAGATACAGAATGACGTCTCACTTTTTCGCATTCCGAGAATTAACAGTCCTTCGTCTTTCTCAATGTACATTAACACCACCACCACAATTCCAAGGATTCAAGAACCTTGTTAAAATAGTATTCCACGAGGTCCTATTCTTGCCTGCAGCCTTTGAACGGTTTATCTCCCAGTGCCCCCGTCTTGAAAGTCTGTCTTTGTCGAGCAAAAGCAACTTGGATTCACTTGAAGTTGCGGGACCCAGTCTCCGTATTTTCGCATGCCATGGTTTTGTCAAGTCGATTCACTTCAAAAGTTGTCCAGTTCTTGCTCAAGTTACTCTGTGCACTCCCTGTTATTGCAGAAAGCACATGATTCTTTCGAGTACGAAGGCGAGTTCGTATCAACGTCTACTGCAGGTATAGCTATAGTGGTTCTTGTCACAATCAAGTATACTACTTCTAATATAATATTACGGTTTTAATATATGCACTTTCTTTACTTTGCCATATTTGTCTCCTAGTTTACGAGTGCAGGACATGCACCGAACCAATTCCCCAGTCTGAAAGTTCTTGATTTGTCGATGAGTTTGAATAGTACAAAGGAGTTTACTGATGCTTTCTCCTTCATACGACATTCTCAAAACCTAGAGACTCTTATATTTCGTGTGAGTAATTTACTTTACTTTTTCACTATCATATCACTTGTTCGTATCTAATCTAGCTCGTCTTTTTTTTTTCTTTATAAGTTATGGCAAAGAGGTTGGGATGCAAATGTTCTAGTGATGATTCAAGAGCAAGAAACACCGAATCCTTATTTGAGTAAACTCAAAAAGATTGAGCTTCATTGTTATTCGGGAACTGTCCATCAAACGAAATTACTTAAATATCTGCTGACTTCTGCAACCGGACTCGAGTACATGGTGATTGTACCTGCTTCTAATTACAAGCCTTCTGTGGATTTGCGTGTCCAGACAATGGAATATCCATGGGCATCTCCAGCTGCTCGACTAATCGTAAGATCCCCCCCCACGCAAAAATGATTAGCAATGTGCATATTTCGTTGGTAATACTTAATACTTAATACCAGCCATTTGTGTTGTTGATGAAAATATATTCGTCCTGCAAATATTTGCACTGAATATTGTGCAAGTATATCGATTTTTCGGGTTTATATACAAGTTGTACTTGTGTATCATATATGTGTGGTTATTTTGTAACTTGATTCATTTGTTGTGTTTTCTTACCAACTGAAATGACAAGTTTACCCCTATCAAATTTATATGTCAAAAAAAAAAGAAGAAAAAAAATTGTTTTTCTCTTTGAAAATTGATTCATATGCAACAACATAAAATGTAGCTATCTAATGTTAACTAATTGTTACATTCATAAACATATGAAGAGCCTCCCGCCATTTTTTCGTTTTCTTTTTTCGTTTTCATCTTTTCGTCTTTTACAAGTTAGAACTGAGAGGCAGGCATGCATGCATGCAGTAATCTGAGCAACTGCTTGACTTCGTATTCGGACAGCTTCGTACCTTGTTTGGCCAAACCTTGCTTTAGCTCTTCTAGGGTTATCGTTCCGCTGTTATCTGTATCCATTCCTTTAAACATTTCTTTCAATCCCATTATTTCTTCCTCCGATAAGCAACCGGCTATTACCTATTCATTCGTCGCACAAAATCGTTAATTTTTCAAAAAAAAAAAAAATCGTTTGAAGGAAGAAAAATATATATGAATTTACCCTGAGTGCAACTTTCTTGAATTGATTCATAGCTCTGAATTGCTTGAGCCTATTCAGAACTGCATTGTCAAGTGGAGTATCGGGCGCTTCTCCATCCTCTTTTATCCACGGATGATCTTTTGAAAAAAAAAAATTATCGAGATCAATATATATATGTCTCAAAACTGATTCGAATATACGTAAAAAAAAGTTCAAAAAAACAATGCAACACAAGAATCATACTTAGAACTTGAAAAGCCGAGAGTCTTTGCTTAGGATCCGAATCAACATCTTCCTCACGAGATCCTTGGCTCCGTTGGAAATCGAAGGCCACGGATCGGAACTAAAATCGACGTGGCCACGTAGGATCGCGTTGAAGATTCCGTTTTCGGATTCAGCCCAAAAAGGAGGAACACCGGAAAGAAGGATGTAGAGCATAACTCCAACACTTCAAATATCAACTTCAGGACCATATATTCTCTTCAACACCTCTGGTGTTATGTAATATGCACTCCCCACTATGTCTTTGAATACTTCCCCTGCCACGTGTCATAATTTGTTTTTTTTATACTAATTAAAAATAATAAAGTAAAAAAGATTTCTTCATTAAAAATCGGGTAAATTACGAAAAAAAACACATCGTGTTGGGTAATTGCAACTACCCTCTCAATTACGAATTTTCTTACCGTCCACCCTTATGGTGTCAAATTCAACAGAATCTTCTAGATTTCCTTCATAGAATGTTCTCTAGTTTGTACTCGTTTTGTGCAAAAATGAACAACAATCTGATATTTACAAGCGAAGAGACACATCTTAATTATGATCATCTTGCTTGAAAATGCGGAGCTCGAATGAAGGTAAAACGGGTACAAACTGAAGAAATATTTCATAATTACATTCACTCCCTTGCAATTTGTAGATTTCTTATAATAATACTCTTTCGTAGGGTGTGGAGGTAAGAAATTCACAAACTACAGGGGACTGAATGTAAGTTCTCAAATATGAGAGGTTTTTTTTCTAAATAAACTTACCTTAGGAAGATGGTTGTAATTTACCTTTTTTTTCCTTTGAGAAATTCAATTCCTGTTGTAAATTGGGAAATAGAGGAAGGGGCAGGATTCGAAGCCTAGATCTCTACGAAATTTTAAGAGAATTACAGAAGAACCTCGATAAATTAATAATCTCGATTAAGTAATAGTTTCTTTCGATCCCGACTCGCTGAAAACATGTTAAACTATTAACTCGATAATTTAATAATTCACTAAATTAATAGAATTTTTCTAGTCCCAACTGTATTAATTTATAGATGTTTAACTGTATTTAAATTCTACCTAATTAGCAAATAATTGAGAGGATTATGTAAATTGATAAAGGTAATAAAGTTGAAGATGAAGCCCCTCCAACAAAAATGAAGATGTTAAATGAGTGACATAATTTTTTTTATATTTTCTTTGAGTCACTTAAATAAATCAAAACTCAAGTTCATATTAATTTAAAAAAAAAAAAACAATTGATTATTGGGAATTTATTATGGAAGTTTGTTTTATATTGTATAACTATTACCATAATTTAAGGTATTATTAATTTGTATAACAAATAGGGGTGTATAAGATTTCGTATTATCTTATAAATTTGACGAACTTTAATCGCAAGTGGAAACCAATCAACACTAACTATTATTTAAACGAAATTATTTAGAGGATAGTAACCTAAAAATAATAAATATGATTATATGAAACTTGGGGTAAAAATAAAATGACAAAAAGTCAAAGTTGACGGTTGATCGTTGACCGAGAAACACCACGTAAGAATTAGTATATAATTACAAATCAGTTTAATTAAAAACCAGAACCCGTTGTGAAAGAAAGTTGACGCCGTACTCCATAACTCACAGCTCTCGTTGAAGAAGTGCACTCACCGGAAATCGAAGACCGGCGGTGGAGATCGACCGATTATTACCGTCGCCGCCGGGATCTTGTAACTTGTAAGTCCTTGTATTTCGGTGCATTTGTTATTTTTCCTAATTTTCTTTTGCTTTCTGCATGGCTCTTGATTTGGAATTATGATGTTTTACTTTTTGTTAATCTTCTTAGAAGAAACGTTATCTTGATTTATATGGTTTTAAATTCTGTGGTAGTGCTTGATGAAATGCGATTAGCGCTATCGTGTTTCTTGGTTTTTGTTTATTGCCGGAGGCTGTGTTGGGGTGGTGATCGGAAGAACTGAATTTTTAGTATAGCACACCATGTGTCTGTCAAATTGCCCCAAAGAAGAAGAAAAAACAGAGAGAGAGAGAAAGAGATAGTGCGATAAAACCATCCATTTTGTTCTACGCTTAATTTTACATGTGGGCATAATAACTTTGATAATTAATTGAAAACAATTTTTTATTGTTTTTTGTGTTGAATTCAGTCTTTTATGAGTGTAGTTCCATTTTTTTTTTGGACCTTTTTGAGTGATGCGATATCACACGCCACAGGTTTCTTGATTTTTGAGGATTAATTAATGCTCGTGGAGCTTGCGAGATGGCAAATCCTGAAAACATGGATAATAATAAAAACACGAACGAAAAAAATACGAATAAAGACGTCATCAGCAATCTGCCTGATCATATCTTGCATGAATTTCTGGTACGCATGCCATTGCGGAATGCAGTGAGGACTAGTGTGTTATCCAGAGAATGGAGGGACAAATGGAAATATATCCAAGAGCTCGTGCTCAATAAAGACTCAGGCTTTTTTTACCGGTATCATGACCATCAATTTCGCATTTACCAACTTCTCTTCAATCATCGAGCACAAATAAGAAAGTTCTCCCTCGCGGTCCCTCCTTTTATGCGCCTGTCAACTATTGATCTATTGATTCTTTGTTTATCAAGAAACCACCTGGTATGCGACTTCACCCTCGCTCCATACGTGATGGATAACTACATTATGCCGTCTCACTTTTACGCATTCCGAAAATTAGCAGTCGTTCGTCTTTCTCGATGTACATTAATATCACCACCACAATTCCAAGGATTCAGCACCCTTGTTAAAATAGAATTTCAAGAGGTCCAATTCTTGCCTGGAGCCTTTGAACGGTTTATCTCCCGGTGCCCTTGTCTTGAAAGTCTGTATTTGTCGAGCAAAACCATTAACATGGATTCACTTGAAGTTGCGGGACCCAGTCTCCGTATTTTCGCATGCCATGGTTTTGTCAAGACTATTCACTTCAAAAGTTGTCCAGTTCTTGCTCAAGTTACTCTGTGCACTCCCTGTTATTGCAGAGAGAACATGGTTCTTCGGAGTACGATGGCGGCGAGTTCGTATCAACGTCTACTGCAGGTAGTCGTTCTTGACACAATCAAGTATACTACTTTTAATATAATAGTACGGTTTTAATATGCACTTTCTTTACTTTGGCATATTCGTCTCCTAGTTTACGAGTGCAGGAGATGCACCGAACCAATTCCCCTGTCTGAAAGTTCTTGATTTGTCAATGAATTTGAATAGTACGAAGGAGTTTACTGATGCTTACTCCTTCATAAGACATTCTCCAAACCTAGAGACTCTTATATTTCGTGTGAGTAATTTACTTTACTTTTTCCACTATCATATCACTTGTACGTATCGTAATCTCGTCTTTTTTTTTTCTTTAAAAGTTATGGCAAAAAGGTTGGGATGCAAATGTTCTAGAGATGATTCAAGAGCAAGAAACACCGAATCCTTATTTGAATCAGCTCAAAAAGATTGAGCTTCATTGTTATTCAGGAACTTTCCACCAAACGGCATTACTTAAATATCTGCTGACTTCTGCAACTGGACTCGAGTACATGGTGATTGTACCTGCTTCTAATTACAAGCCCTCTGTGGATTTACGTGTCCAGACAATGGAATATCCATGGGCATCTCCAGCTGCTCGACTAATCGTAAGATCCCCCCCACACAATATTGATGATTAGCAATGTGCATATTACGTTGTTAATACTTAGTACTTAATACCAGCCAGTTGTGTGTTGTTGATGAAAATATATTCGTCCATCCTGCAAATATTTGCCGTACTTACTATTGAATCTTGTGCAAGTATACGATTTTTCGGGTTTATATACAAGTTGTACTTGTGTGTCATATATGTGTGGTTATGTTGTTATTTGATTCATTTGTTGTGTTTTCTTACCAACTGAAATGACAAGTTTACCCCTATCAAATTTATATGTCGAAAAAAAAAAAATTGGTTTTTCTCTATGAAAATTGATTCATATACAACAACATAAAATGTAGCTATCTAATGTTAACTAATTGTTACATTCATAAACATATGAAGGCCCTCCCGCCATTTTTTTCTTTTTCTTTTTCGTTTTCTACTTTTCGTGTTTTACATGTTAGAACTGAGAGGCAGGCATGCATGCATGCATGCAGTAATCTGAGCAAACTAATGAACCCCTTTAAAATCAATCAGATGTAACTGCATCCACTATTGGATATCTTTTCCCTCCAATGAATTTTTTTAATTAGATATCGGACATTTTAATTTCTTCTTGACTACGAAACGAACACTCCTTCTCTTCGTTTTTTTGGATTTGCCGCTGAATCTGGATTCCCTTTCTTCATCATTGCTGCAAATTCATCGTAGTTTATCCTTCCATCCTGCAAATCACAAAACATAGTTTGTATGTCAGAGAGAGAGAGAGAGAGAGATATGATTATTATGACATACATTATCACCGTCGACTTCAGAGATGATTTCCCTTATGTCCTTGCCATCCTCCATGCCCATCTCTCGGAGTGCCTGCTCTAGTTCTTCTATGGTAATATACCTGACAGAATTATCACAAGAACAAAAATCAAATAAACGAAAAAGAAAAAAAAAAAAAAAGATCGATCTTCTTAATACACTGTCTTAGAAAAATACCCGCTATTATCTTTATCAAAGTACTGGAATGCTGTGTATAGATGCTCTTCTCTATCCATTCTGTTCATATGCATCGTTGCTGTAATGAACTCTTCGTAGTCTATCGTTCCATTCCCATCGGCATCAGCCTGATTTTTTTATCAATAGTAATCGAAGCATATTATTAATTATTTTTTTCTTTTTTCTTTTTTGTTAGCGGAAAAACGGACGATATATAATTAGAGTACTTACAGCTTCCATCAACTGCTTGACTTCGTATTCGGACAGCTTTGTACCTTGTTTGGCCAAACCTTGCTTTAGCTCTTCTAGAGTTATTGTTCCACTGTTATCTGTATCCATTCCTTTAAACATTTCTTTCAATCCCATTATTTCTTCCTCCGATAAGCAACCGGCTATTACCTATTCATTCGTCGTGAAAATCGTTATTTTTTCATTTTTTTTTATTTTTCGTTTTAAAGAAGAAAAATATATATGAATTTACCCTGAGTGCAACTTTCTTGAATTGATTCATAGCTCTAAATTGCTTGAGCCTATTCAGAACTGCATTGTCAAGTGGAGTATCGGGCGCTTCTCCATCTTCCTTTATCCACGGATGATCTTTTAAAAAAAAATAAAAAAATATCGAGATCACCATATATATAATCGAAACTGATTTGAATATACGTAAAAAAAATTGAAAAACACAATGCAACACAAGAATCATACTTAGAACTTGAAAAGCTGAGAGTCTTTGCTTAGGATCCGAATTCAACATCTTCCTCACGAGATCCTTGGCTCCGTTGGAAATCGAAGGCCACGGATCGGAACTAAAATCAACGTGGCCACGTAGGATCGCGTTGAAGATTCCGTTTTCGGATTCAGCCCAAAAAGGAGGAACACCGGAAAGAAGGATGTAGAGCATAACTCCAACACTCCAGATATCAACTTCAGGACCATATCTTCTCTTCAACACCTCTGGTGCTATGTAATATGCACTCCCCACTATGTCTTTGAATACTTCCCCTGCCACGTGTCATCACAATTTTTTACTCACTAAAAATAAATAAAAATAAAATAAGATTTCATCATTAAAAATAGGAGGTAAGGTCAAATTACGAAAAACCTCTCATATTTGGGTAGTTACAACTACCCGCCGCCGTCAACTATGAATCGTCTTACACGTCTAACTTTATGGTGTCAAATTCAACAGAATCGTCTAGATTCCGTGAAATGTTCTCTAGTTTGTACTCGTTTTGTGCAAAAATGAACAACAATCTGATATTTACAAGCCAAGGGACACATCTTACGATCATCTTAGTTGAAAATGCGGAGCTCGAATGGGTAAAAAGGGTACAAACTGAAGAAATATTTCATATTATCTAGAAGATTCCACTAAATTCGACACCGCAAGAGTGAACGTGTAAGTAAATTCATAGTTGAGGGTATAGTTGTAATAACATAAATATGAGGGGTATTTTCGTAATTTTTGATCCTTGAAAATGAATAAAATTGAAAAAGGAAAAAACGCATGGTGGTTAAGGTAGTTGAGAGAAGACCTTCTTTGAAGAAAACGGAGAGGCCGAAATCGGTGGCCTGGAGAGGGGAGTTCTCGTCCTTGTTGAGGAGCAAGAAGTTCTCCGGCTTGAGATCACGGTGGATGACCCCCATCGAGTGACACGTGTGCACGATCTGTACGATCGTCCTCAGCAGCGACGCGGCGGCGCGTTCGGTGTAGTGCCCCTTGGCAATAATGCGGTCGAAGAGCTCCCCGCCGGCGCAAAGCTCCATGACGAGGTGGACGGAGTGCTTGTCCTCGTACGCGCCCTTCAGCTCCACGATGTTCGGCTGCCCCGTCAGGTGGTGCATTATCTGCACCTCCCGCCGCACGTCCTCGATATCCTCCTTGTTCGCCAGCTTCCTCTTCGCGATTGTCTTGCACGCGAACTGCTCCCCCGATTGCTTGTGTGTGCAGAGGTGGGTCACGCCGAACTGCCCGCGGCCCAGCTCTTTTCCCATCGTGTACGTGGAGCGTACGTCCTCCATGGGGCGGCCAAGGACCGGGCCCACGGGGGTCGACTTCGACGACGGCTTCGGGGAGGACTGCGGCGGCGTTCTTGGTGGGGTGGTGGAGGGGTTTGCCGTTGTTGCTGCTCCGTCGGCGCCGTCGGTGGAAGTGGCGGTGGCGGTTGGGTCCGCCGGAGCGTCTTCGGTTGTGCCCCGGGAGCAGCAGCTACCCATTATTGGAAGGAATGTCGGTGTGGGACGACTAGGGTGGAGGAGGGGAGAGAGAGAGAGAGAGAAGAAGGGAGACGGCGGTGCAGGTTGGCTGGCCGGCGCCCAGAGGAGGAAGAAGGTTTGATCGAGAAAGATTTGTTTTGGGGGTGTGGTTGTTTTAGAGAGAGAGAGAAGAATGCGTGCATGGAGAAGTTTGAGGAGAGAGAGAGGCGTAATTATGGGATGACAGAGATTATAGCACCTATAATCCAAACAAATACTTTCAGTTTTGTGTCTCTCTTGTCTTTTTTTGGCTACAATTAAAATTTTAAAAAAAAATTAAAAATTAAAACAATTAAAAAAATAATTACAAAAAAAATAATAATAAAAAAAGTTACTTTGACTTTCAGACTACAAAAGGTGGTGAGGAATTTACGGATACAGAGCTATGGTATTCCATCTTTTCTGTTCAAATCCTACGTGGCATGAGTTGTAAAACCTACTGTTAAGTGTTAATGCATATATAACATTTTTAATTTTTTATTTTTATTTCGTAGTATAATTTATCTTCATATCATAATTATGTGTTTATGGGGTCAAAAATACAATTTCCTGTAAAATTTAACCAACTTTTTCAACATTTATTGGAAGAAAATATATCATAAAATTTCCGTATACACTCACTGACCAATGCTTCGAAAATCATACATAAAAATCAAAATACTCGGAACAGAGTACACCTTGACGCCTATAGTTCTACAAAAATAATCCGACAAATCATCGGTCGAGTACAACAAAAACGGTAACAAGAATAGTAACCTCAAACAAGTCGGAAGAAACTCAGTAAGTAGGGATCGAAGGATCCACTTTCACGGCGTATTCGTGAATTCCTCCAGATATATTGAACACTTTCTTGAAACCCTGACAATCCAAAACTCAACATCCATCAACTTACAAATGAGAGAGATGATAAAAACACATTAAGGCTGCTATGTCAAATGTATAGGAAAAGTTATTTACTTTGGCTGTATAAATTAACATCAAGAATCAAGATCAACCAACAAACAAAGAACCCAGCAATCATTTTAACATTTCGTATGAGCTACAGATTTATACCAGTTCAAATAGAAATGCTCGAAACTTGTCTGTGAGAAAATATAGAATTTTTTTCATATTCGAAGCAGTCAATGAATGAATATTCGAGACTCTACTAACGACAATATATTGTTAATCTTAAACAATATATGTTTTTTTTTTTGACATCTTATTGTTTCTCATTTGATAAACTTCTAGATCGTTTGCTAGGAAAAATAATGTTCAGATACAACGGATCTTCTGATTTTTTTTAATTTTATTTTTAATTTTTTTATCTTTGGGTAATTAAATGCAAAGTCGCACCTGTGTTTGCAACCATTGGGCAACTTGCAACGATCGCATACCATGATGACACTGCATTAAAGACAATATATTTTTCAGCTGGATGATAAGAGGAAAGCAAAAGAGATTTAAACCAAAATTATGGGCGGAACATACCAGAACGTATGTATCCTTCTGTGAGTCAAACTTAGTTTCAATTTCCGGTCCCCAGTTTCCAAACTGGCGAAGTGGAAGAACTTTGAAACCTGGCAACGAGGCTATGGCCCTGTTGTAGATAGACAAAAAAAAAAGTAGTGATGATATATTTGATATTTCCGTCAATTGTAATGAAAGATTTTAGATAGCGAAGAAAAATGAAAAATCACTCTTCTCCACTTACACTTCATCGGGTTCTCTAACATCGATGAGCTGGGCCTCTTCGAAGAAAGATGGATCTTGCATTTTCTCATGAAGCTCAGTAGGCTGAATGTATTGAAGAACTGACGCCTCTCTATATAAGGGAATAAATCAAGTACAGACATATCTACTTCTTGCAAAGACATGCTTTGGTTTAATGAATATCTCAAATCTTACCTTTCGGAGATAACTTGCAACAAATGCCACCCAAATTTAGTCTTGCACCTTACAATTTTATTCAGTGGAGCCTTAAATGCAGCCTCTTCAAATTCCGGTACCTTACACATTTCATTACAAATATACAACTTTCACAAAAACAATTTTTAAAGAAGTGCAAATGTAAATATGTAAAAACTGCATATAACAATTTCTCAACAAAAATTGCAACTCATGTTTTGATTTCTTAAAATTCTAATTTGATTCCATATTCCAACAAGACCACGGAAAATGATCGATTAATTTATCATTGATTAATAAGAATATTTTTGTCACTGTTCTATACTGACTAATTCAAAATAGAGACGAGCATCAAGAGCATACCATTTGCCCCTTTGTCACCCAACCAAGCATACCGCCTTCTTGTTTCGACGGGCAGATTGAGTATTCCACAGCCAAGTCACTCAAATCCTCTCCTGAATGTAACAAGTAATTCTGTCACCAAAACAGTCAAGGGGGAAAAATAATGAAAAATTTGTTCATTTTAAATACTAGTATCCACATAAACGGCAAACAATGACATCATCCAAAATGCATCATGTATCAAAGTTCAATAGATTCTACAGTACCACCCCATCGAACTATTTAAAGAAACTAACCTTCAGCAGTTCTTTTCAGTAGCTCAAGCAAAAGCTTCTGGTCGTCTTCTTTGACAAGCAAATGCTGCACCAATATTTCTCTACCACTTTCAGAGCCGCTACCGGAGCTGAATGAAGCTGAAAAGAATACATAATTTGAGCTGCGTCTAACTAAAAGCAAACCCCACATTGTAAAATTACAATAGAAATGAAGCAGATACTGACATCTTACATATCCCTTTAGCATGCATCAGAAAAAGAAAGTAACCGAATGTCAGGGATTCATAACTTGCGAAAACACGGTTTTTGTAGGGTTTAACACAGAAAAATTGAACACAACCAATTAATCAGCAAACAAAAGGCCTAAATCAAAAGTAAAAAAGACATAACCTAAAAGGTCAATTTCAGAATACGAAAAGTATTAGAGTGAATTCGACAAACCTGCAGCTTTGGTGATGGAAAATTGACCACCGGCCATGGGCGGAAGCCAATTGGATTTGGAGCTAAAAATATGATAGCTGTGGGGATAAATGGGCGAAAAGTGGGAAGATCTCAGGTGAAAAGGGGGCGACGATGACTGAGGTTTTCGCGGCAACGAGGGGAAGTTTTCATGGACAGCGAGTGCAGGGAGAAGAGCTAAGATTGGCGACGGCGACGGCGACGGCGAAGGGAGAACGAAGGGGAAACGATGAAGCGATGAAGCTCTTAACATTTCTCTCTGCCGAGATTTTTTCTTCAATTGGGGAAGAAATGGCGGAGAGATGTTTTTGCTCAGTTGATTCAATCCAAGTTAAAATCGCGTTTTGGAGTTGCGACAATAAGCAATTTGGATATTCATTCCCGTTGCAGTTGGGCCGAATTAACCCTGGTGGGCCCACATCATTAATTATTCCTTAACAATCGTCTTGGCATAATTTTAATTTTTTTTTTGCCCGCATGGGTGTAGCTCAACTGATTTCGGAGGTGGTAAGTTGGTGCAAGGTCCTAGGATCGATCCTGGCAGCCGCATTGTGGGAATTTCAACTCCAATGATGCAAGAATTTGTCTTTTTTTTTCTTAAATATTAAAATAACTAGCATTTTTTCCCCGTGCGATGCACGGGATACTATTTAAATAGTGAAAAAAAAATCGATTTAATACATAATAAGAAAATATAGTACATTAATATAGTAAAATTAAAAAAAATGTAGTATTATTCATATTTTATATGACATTAATTTTTTTAAATCTTATATATTAAGATTTATAATCCAAATAAATTTACTAAGATTTTACAAATTGAATTTCTAGCTTTATCTATTAAGATTTGAGATATATTGATGAAAAATAGGATATTTATAATGTTAAAAATTATAGTTAGAAATTAGTAGAGAAAAAATATTTAAAATAAATAATTACAGAAATACTATTAGGGTTTTTTATGGTTACCCAACGTTTCTTTATTTTATATATAAGATATTTCATTGTTTAATAATATTATAAGAAATAATTAATACTCATGGTTTAAATTATAATATTATAATGAGGCCAAGGGATGGAGGCCTGTGCAAGAATTTGTCTTTTTTTTTTCTTAAATATTAAAATAATATTTCATTGTTTAATAATATTATAAGAAATAATTAATACTCATGGTTTAAAAAAGAGTATTTAATACACTGTTGAAAATATAAAGTAAAAGATAATATGAATAAAAATATTTTTACAAAGTGACAATTATTGTGGAAGGAAGGGAGAATTCCTATTTCTATATTTTTGAAAGATGAAACATGGAATATATAAATTGGTTGTTGCCGCTACTCTTGAATTCCGAAAATCGTAGCAATTATAATTTTCTTTGATAGTATATAGTATGTATATTGGTTATTACTTTATAACTTGAATTTTAGTTGTATTTGGTTCAAATTGCACCGAAAGCCAAAGAATAAATCTACGACTTTTATGCTTTGTATCCAAAATTCGAACTTAAAATCTACTATATTCATTAGTAGAATAGGGGTCTATGGTTCAAATCATACATATCCTCTATCTTTTCAATTTATAATATGATTTGAATTTAAAAAGAAAAAGAAAGCTAGGCTTTTGGAACAAAAAACCCTTAAAATCTTTAATTATCTATACTATTGAGGTTATTTATTAACTTTTATTATACAATCTTTGAACATACGTCCAACAATAGAGTTAACTGAGCACCTTTGTTGAGTAAACTGCAAATACTACCCCTGTGTTATCTCGAAATAGCAAAAACCCCCCTGTGATAAATAAACTAGCAAAAACCCCCCTGTGAAATTTAGTCAAAGGCAGAATCCCCCCTAGCTGATTTTTGAGACTTGAAATGACAAAATTGTCCCTCAAAATGTATTTATATATATACATATTATATGTATATTTATTCTTTTTAATTTATTTGTTTAGAAATTAAAAAAAATAGTAAACAACTAAATTGATTATTTTTTAAATAAAATAATTAAAATATTTATAAAATATAAGAATTTATTAATTGCAAGACTCCAGGGGTATTTGTGTCTTTTTATATCAAGTCAACCCTCAAATAGTTCCATAGGGGGCTTTTTGCTATTTAAATAATTTCACAGGGGAGGGTTTTGCTAGTTTATTTATCACAGGGGGGTTTTTGCTATTTCGAGATTACACAGGGGTAGTTTTTGCAGTTTACTCCACCTTTGTTAGTTAATGTTAACTTGGGTATAATATTAGTCATTTTATTTAACTATAGTTTTAGCGGTAAATATTGACATTTTAATCATTATTGTTATTTTGGAAAATCAATATAATTTGGGTAAATTACAACCACCCCTGAGGTATGGTAAAATTATGAAAAAATCCTCTTGTTTGGATAATTATATTTACTCATCAACTATGAATCTTCTTACACCTCCACCCTTATGGTGTCAAATTCAACGTAATCATCTAGACTCTATGGAATGTTGTCTAGATTGTACTCGTTTTGTGCAAAAATATAGTTTCTGATGCATCACAATCTGATATATACAAACCAAAAAACACATCTTATAATCATTTTGCTTCAAGATGTGGAGATCGAATGGGATAAAAACAGGTACAAAATCAAGAATATTCCATATAATCTAGAAGATTCCACTAAACTTGAAACCACATGAGTGAAGGCGTAAGAAGATTTATAGGTAAGGAGGTGGTCATAATTACCGAATAAAAAGGTGGTTGTAATTTATTACCCATATAATTTTGATTGTCTTTACCATGGGCCATCCCTAGTTTATGGAAATTAATGAGTCGGTGTGAATGCAACACAAAATTTCTTGTGGTGGACGGACGCACGCAGTCAACCCGATGTGGGAAGAAGACGAAGACGAAGGTGAGCGGAAATATGCCGTCCACATTCTCTCTCTCTCTCTCTCTCTCTCTCTCTCTCTCACACACACACACACACACACAAACACGCACACACAAAGACATACAAAAAGGCAGTATGAAATGATTGAGAAGCAAGCACTGAAGTAGCCTTCATTTTTATTTGCTTGTAACTCCACCGCACCATGCATGTCTACAACTTTCAACACTTCTCCACCATCAACCGATAATGGAGGAAGAGCCGCAGGTATACATAGATACACACACACACACACACACACACACACACACACACATATATATATACATATGATTATATATTCGTTTTGAAGGTATAATAATGAAGGACTCACCACATCAAATATTTTGCTGCAGCTGTAATCGTCAGCCTATTAGTACTGGCGGGAATCGGAGCTGTGTCCTGCTTCTGCGCCAGGCAAGCCAGGAAGGCAATAGTATCGGAACTAAGGGCGGCGGTGGCCCCACCGCCACCCGCAACAGTGATCCAAGTGTGGGAGGTGGACGCCCCCACAATGGAGAAATTCTTCCTCGAGCTCGCACAGGAGAAACCGGTCCGTTTCACCGCCCAGCAGCTCTGCTCCTTCACGGACAACTACACCACCGTACTCGGCTCCGGCGGCTTCGGCAAAGTCTACAAGGGTAGATTCCCGAACAACGGTGTCCAAATAGCCGTCAAAGTCCTGAACAGAGGAGGTCCGAACAAAAGTATCGAGGACCAGTTCATGGCAGAGGTCGGAACCATCGGTCGGACCCACCACATCAACTTGGTGAGACTGTACGGCTTCTGCTACGACCAGTTCTTGAGCGCCCTCGTTTACGAGTACATGGAGAACGGATCTCTCGACAAGCATTTGTTCGATAATCACGATTTGAAGTGGGAGACGCTGCATGAGGTGGCGGTGGGAACAGCAAAGGGTTTAGCGTACCTTCACGAGGAGTGCAAGCAGAGGATTATACACTACGATATCAAGCCGGGAAACGTGCTGCTCGACGGGAATTTCTCCCCTAAAGTGGCGGATTTCGGACTCGCGAAGCTCTGCAATAGAGAAGACACGCATGTTAGTATAATCGGGTATAGGGGTACTCCGGGGTACTTAGCCCCCGAGTTTATGCTCAAGAACTTTCCGATTACTTACAAATGTGATGTCTACAGCTTCGGGATCCTTCTGTTCGAGATTGTAGGGAGAAGGAAAAACACGAGGATTGGTCGTGGTGGAGATAGTGAGAGTATGGATTGGTTTCCGAAGAAAGTGTGGGAGGAGTTCGAGAAAGGGGAGCTGAGTGAATTGGTGGTGGCTTGTGGCGTGGAGGAGAAGGATCGGGGCAAGGCTGAGAGGATGGCTATGGTGGCTCTATGGTGCGCGCAAGATTCGCCGGAGGCTAGGCCGCCGATGAGCGCGGTGGCGAAGATGTTGGAGGGCGGAGTTGAGGTGGTGCCGCCGCCTAAGCCGTTTCACTACTTGTTTTCGGTGGGCACTAGTGCGCTTAAGCCACCACCTACTGGCTCCGGAAGTGGCTCTGAGTATACTACAAGTGACGGAAGTAATTCGTATTGGTACAAAGAGACGACTACTCCAGTAATGGCGAAGTACGAGATAACCGTCGCCACTTTGTAAAGCGAACGGACGTGTTTTTAGCATCTGCATCTGGTAAAAATAGAAGTAGCAAGGGCCAAAGTGAAATCAAGATTATTTTGAAATCCAAAAACAAAATTGACTTGTATAAATATTTGGAATTTTAGTTGTTGTACAATGAAAGTCACTTCAAACACTCAGTTAAGCTCACACTCTACTACACAAACAAGTTCTTTTTCTTTCTCCGTCGATTGGCATGAAAATCACCGTCTGCAATTAGCAGCATCGAGATTTGGAGTCAACTGTAGCGAAGGTAGGAACACGATGCGCTCTTTTTTTTGGTTTATATACCACCAATTGTTCTTCCACAACCCACTTCTCTTCGATTTTTTTTTTGTCTTTGGTTTCACCGAGCATAAGAATTCCCAAAAGGGCATCATTTCTTTTTATCGGCTAACTTGCTAGAGAGGGTTTACTTGAGGAATTCGATGAAGGTGTCCAAATGTATATCAACATGCCCACAATAAGGATGATGCCGCCTCCTACAAAGCCAGGGGGAAGGGAGGATGCGATTCCGAGATATGGCAGCGGCAATGTGAACATATATACAGATATCGGAACTACAAAGGACAACCAAATCGAGACAGATTTTTCAGTGAAAACCCCATGAAAATAAAATCAAGGTAGGAGTAGAGTTAACCAACCTGAAAGTGTTGATGCAAGACAAGATACCACAGCCGAAGAGATCTTGAGCAAATGCAATAACGATATATTGAAACCCATGTTGACTATGACAAACAGCAGCGGCAATAAAGGTGCACCGTTACATCCTGTATCGGAAACCGGTTAGATGTGATCTGCAGTCACTTTTTACTACGGGCTATAGAATAACACTAACATAACAAGTGCATAGGGGAAACTAAATGAATCGACAATTATAAGTAAACCATGACTTACTGTTTGACATGGTACCGACATTCAAAAAGCATGCTGCGCCATCTTTAAGATAATTCGGCAGTTGGCTAAATGGAATGCCCCACAGGTTTGACAAGAACGGAAGGAGGAGGCAAATAAAAACCGCCTGTTCGCATTAATTAACACGTTTCAGTGTTCTGGTAAAATTGACAAGTTTAAAGGTTCTAAAGAGCAAAAATATTAACCTGGTAAGCAGATCCGTAGGAGTTTATAACAAATAGATCTACTGTACCTCCCTGCAATGAATGCAACAAACATCACGACATAGTTACTACTGAAATCTCGTAATCAGTTGAGATATTACATTTGCATGCTTGTTATTTGAAGTTCTTGCTGGTTATTTTTTTTCTAATAGGATTGAAGCCTTATAATTTCGATCGAGATTTATTCCTGAAGGTGTTGAATATTTTGGACATACCTACCTTTAATCTTTGAGCAGCATCCAAAAATATTGTTTCCTACAAAACAATAAAACATTCCGTAAGATAACAATTAGGCAAAGTACAAGTCGGAAGAATCTCGACGCCCAGGGGAAAGCTTTCGTACTACCTTCAGGACTGTATCAGCAGCTTGTAAGAAGAAAGAAATAATCATCAAAATACTCCAAAAGATGCCAGCTTCCATCAGAGAACCAGTACCTGATCCACTGCAAATGAAAAACGGAGATAATTTGAATTATTAAAAATGAATATGACATGTATAGAGAGAATGCAAAAGAACAAACCGTACGAGATTAATTACCTTGCGACGGTTACTATAACACCAACTGCCACCAGAAAGCAGCCGAATAACTGGTTGTAGCGATATCTCCTCCCAAGGAATGTATATGAAAGGATAAGTTGCCAAACAAGAAAGCTCTGCATAGATTATAAAATCATCACTGTAGCTCCACGCTGTTTTGTTAAAAGCAAAGATAATCTTGTATTTAGCACACATGTCTGAAGATAATTCAACTGTGTATATCTCCTGAAAAACCTAAAACCTATGTAGGAGTTCTCGGGTTTAGCAAGGAACCAATTAATTTGAAATCTTATAGTTCTCAGGTTCTCCATCTTCGTATTTAGGGGAAACCACTTATTTATATAATCAGCAAATCGGAATGTTAAACACTAAATGAGAGGAAAAAATAATCTTTCTTACAAGAAACTATTCATGTCATGCCAATAAATACGAAAATCAGTGAGTGTGTGTTTACCTGAGACAGTATAGGAATCGCTGCCCCAGACAGAATAGCTGTTTCAATACGGAAAAAAAAAAAGTATCAAGTCAGGAAACAATGGTGGTTTTTAACCTTAATATTTTGCAGTCAGCTAAAAAAATCAACGAATTACCTCCAGCTGCCATCCCGGAGGCAGCAGCAAGAGCCTCTAAGAGGCCAACAGCAATTAATGGTGATTTCGGCAACGATAGCATTTCATCGGTAACCTTTCCAGATTGATACCGGAGATACAAAATAGAGAAGTACACAATCACATACCTGGAAACGATATCAATGGATTAATTCCATTCTGTAAGGTACAGCCACAAACAAAAAGTAATAAAAAACGTAAAATAAAAACCATGAGTTAGTATTCATTCAGTAATTCCGTTTCCGGTTCTATACAGTTACGTTCTGTTTATGGAACCACAGTAAATAAAAAATCACAGTAGAAAACCACTTTTACGAAAAGCTACACAATCCGATCATTTTCTATTATATTCAATGATGCGAATATGGGACCTCCCTCCCAGTTGGTGTTTGCCACTTAAAAGGTCGTAAAAGTAATAGCCCGAAAAAAGACACAGTGGAGTCACATTATTGCATACCAGTAACTAATCTATTGATAACACTAACTGTCAACTTCTTATCATCAGTTGATTGCAATAGAACCAGAATCATATCAAATCTTATCGATAACAACATGCGTGGGAAATCAGCCACCCGACATTTTTAGGATGAAAATATTTCTACTCGAACGAACTACATATATAGCACCAAATCACATGCATTCTTTAACAAATGCTGATATTCCAGTTGACTCTTTGGAGGGAAATGAATTATAGAGTAAGTGGAAAGAGACAACATTTCACATGACATAGAAAAAAAAGTACAGAAGATGCTGACACTATTGAAGCACATGGATATGATGATGAATAATGAAGAAACCCCAAATGGAATCTCTGTAGCCTGGTTGTGTTGTGTGGGGAGCCACCACTCCTCCACCACCACCAACGGTTCTCATTCAAATGGGGCCCCCATTAGCCACAAACCTCACGTACGAAAACACTCGTTTCCTTTTCACATAAAAGTGAACGACCCCATCAAGAAAACCAATTATTACTGAACCGGGTTTATTTTCATCAACGGTTAGGCACGCCCACCAATGAAGACGCACGCGGCCAACTGCCACGTAGTGTGATGACTGATGCGCGTGGTACAATCATTCACAGCATACAGTCTCGGGCCATCGCGTTCACCCGATTTTTTTTTTCCCTTTTACGCTATTGAAAAGTTGTACGTCTCTCCTTATGGTGCGAAAAGACGGTTATACCCTCCCCCGTTCAATTTCGTCGGCCGCGGTTCTCGGTTGTCGCTTCTCACTTGCGTCGCAAAATCAAATTCCTTTCCTTCTGACCTTTTGCTTTTCTTTCCCAATGGAATAAATTATATCCCAATTCAGATAATAGGTTTTAGACGACAAACAATTAGGACTTAATTTTCCTTTTTTAATTACAGGTAAACGTAATTAATTAGTTCGATTAACTGCACTAGCCACCGATTCAAAGCAAAAAAAAAAATTGTTTATTTAAATTTTGAAGGTTGGAAATTGAACGGAAAAATTGCAGAGAATTGAAAGTAATTTAGTGGAGTTACCCAAAAGTGGCGAGCTGAGCAAGGAAGAAAGGGTAATGTTTGAGAGGGACTAATGCGAGCTTGTACAGAACTCGATTCCCTACCCCAAGCACCACCGTCGTCGCCGCTGCAATCACCACCTCCACCCTCCGATCAACTCCGCCTTCACCGCTCCTCGCGTCCGCCGCCGCCACCGCGTCTAGATCAAATGAACAGCACCGAGGCGGATGGCTGCTCTGCTTCGCCTCACCCTCCTGCTCCCCTTCGAGGGGGCGCACCGCCGCCTCGCTCACCCATCGTCTGGACCGTAGCACAACCGCTCCGGCACCGCTCCTTTCCCAAAATTGGGGATGATTTGCGTGCAAATAGTTGACGGACGACGAGAGCCGCTGCGGAATGTGGTGGCTCGGCGGCGGTGCCGCGGCGAAGGCCATACGGCGACAACATGCTGACATACTGTGTGCGTGTTTTGTGTGTAATGAATGTGCAAGTGTCGATTATTGCCGAGTGGAAATCGGAGCGAAGACCTCTCTGTATTTATGGTTGGGGCTAGAGAGAGAAAGAGAGAGAGAGAGAGAGAGAGAGAGAAATTAAAAGACAAATTTGTTTAAATGACTGTCAACGTCACTATAAATAATTAGTTTTTAAACTTAAATAAATATTTTTACATATTTACAGAATTTTAAAATGATAAAATAAAAAATAAAAGAATATAACATTTAGTTTTTTTTAACAGAATAATAAAAAAAAGAATTTGTTTACAATTATTACAAATTACAATAATTACATTATTTTGATCATGTACATTAGTTGGAATATGTTTTTGCTTTCTCCTAGAGGGTCTACAAATCACTTTCCTTCTAGAGGAATCACTTTTCGTAATAGAGCGTAAAACAAAGTAAAGACCATGGTAAAGTTGAATTAACTGTTTTCAATTATTCGAATATCGATCTAAGAATCAATCATCTTACACAAATCTGAGTAGTACCGAGCGATAACACCTAATCGAACATATTTTGGATCAGGTAACACATGAATAGTTTCGATGCTTTGTCAGTTTAACGTAATGAGCTTTCGAAACTAACATCTGATATAATACAAGAAGTGCTGTGGAATTGAAATGATCAAAGACTATCTTAACCTCAATTCACTACTAAGAAAAGAAACCGACGAGAAAACGGTACTGGACAGTAACGACTCATAAAATTTACAGTATTTACAACACCGACCGAGTCGGTAGGTGAAATTCACTGACATATCTGAGTAAGACCCGTTTAAACAATTCATAACTTTATTCTTCAAAACATCGAATATTACGTCGTTTTAGCAAGATTTGATCCTTTCCATTTCATACTCGTCAGCCTCAGCCATACATATGGGAAGAATAACTTTCCAGATTGCAGCTTCACGAGGCTTTGTCTGTAAGGTATCAATATATTTCTAAGACCTGCATTTTTCCCAACAAAATAAAAAAATATATATATCAATTAGATATTGACCGAGAATTACGTAAGTATAGCTGCTGAAGCTCAGACGAGTATATATATTATTAGCTATTATTACCTGAAGTGCACATAAACTTGTAAAGATAAGCAACTTGAGGGTCTCCTTTCGTGGTCATATGAGGCCTTTCCAAGCAGTCCAAGAATGCCAGGTCAGCCTTCAAAAGCTCGGCCTGGCTATGAGTGTCGTATCCCATATCATGGCAATAGCAGCAGAAATCCAACCAATCGATCGGGCGTTTGTCCCAAATAAGAGAGCCCCCGTCTTTTCCACTCGACCAATTGGGCCCGCAGTAATGCCCGTATCTCGGAAATAATTGAGACAAAAAACCTCTTGGGCCTGTATGCCACGGTACCTTCGAAACGTATGGTCTGAAGCGTATAACAGAGTACTGAGTCGTGGATTCGTTAATGCTTCTACGAGGCTGTGCGTGCTTCTTCAGCTCTCTGTTGACAGTTGTCGGCAACTGAATTTTAGCCCAAGGAATGAATGAAAAGAGAGACCATTTCCAGGATTCGGCTGAAACGGTAGCTTTCTCTTTAGGTGCCTCCAGTATGGTGCTAGTCGACATGACGTGTGATGACATGTCCTTGTCTGGATTGGATCGAAACCAAGGAATATATCCGTGAAATTGAAGATTCATTTGAAAAGAAACTGAAATTAACGGCTTGCAATCTTCAACTGCCTATCCTACTGGATCAGAAAGTACTGTGACAACGAAATACTCGTGTTAGAAGGAGCGAATAATTTCACAAGATGAAGTGTTGTAAAATGCAAACAACTTCGAGTTGTACTAAAGATCGACTTCTTTTCAGAATACCGTATCATTTGGACTGCTTCATTTATCTACTAGCGAAAACAAGCCAATCACCATCTTAATCGAAGACGTTGCAGAGGCAAGAAAGCCAGATTAAGTTGGACAAAATTCATTCTCAAACAGGCATTTTTTTAAAGCGACAAGTACCTAGTAGTTAAAAGTGAATTGCTTTCTATAACGAGTGAATTATATCCTTAAATAAAATTCTCGACGTAATGCGGTTGAACGGCAAAACAAAACCAAGTTGGTTAGAATTAGAAACCCTGCTCTGCTAAATAAATACAGAACTAACCACGTACAAACCGACCAACTCAACATTAAGAGATTTACAAGCCTAAAGCGAGGCTGAGAAAGATCGAGAGTGCAAGTTAAAGAAAAAGATTGTCATAGCTAACCCCATTTTCAGTGAATGAAAATACTCTATTTTCTTTATAAAAAACGAGACACGAATTCAGGTTTCCCCGACATAGACCAGTATTATTACGAATTTCCGTATCCTATTCTCGATATTTTTAACTCTAGTTTTTCTTCTCCTTTCCCCCATCAGTCCATCAAGCAATTCATCATCATGCCATCTTAGAGGGACGGAATTATTCGAAACGCGGGCAGTATTTCGTTAAATTATTGCCGATTGCAGCTTATAAATTACCCATTTACTGCTAGATGTTTTTTTTCTTCTACTGTGCAAAGGGCTCTTATCTTCTATCATCATATCCATAGCATTATTAAAAACACACAGCTTGAGGTGTGTTTGCCTCAACTACCTTTCTACAATACATACAGAATCCCCCTTTTTACCCTAAATTACACGGAAACAAGGAACAGATTCCGACAAACAAAGACGCAAATTCATCACAAATCCACATGATTAATCAAAAAAAGTAATCATCAAAATCAGTATTATGAGCAGAGGCCAAAAAAAAAAAAAAAAAAAAAAAAAACTTATCAAAGTTACCCGGAACGATGCCATAGCTGAAAACGCTTCATCAATCATCAGCACCGCCTTTTTTTCTGCACTAGAAAAACCAAGCTCTCGAGTCTGTGTGCTTCCGTGTGTGTAAGTGTGTGTGTGTGTGTGAGAGAGAGAGAGAGAGAGAGAGATAATTCTGGAAATTGGGGGGAGCAATTGATTTCGTGCTTCGACCACAAAAGGGCGGGCCCACCAGCCTGACTAGAATGAATTATTGGCTGTGCAACGGTGTTCAACAGTCGCGCGTGAAGTTCCGCGGAATATCCATATTCTTATATTTATGCGATTGTGTTGCACGTGCTCGTTTGACTACTAACTTTGTTATTAGTACTTAGGATTAAATTTTAAATTTATCCTTAAACTCAACATCATTTCTAATATTTTATTCCCTTTAATACTGGACATTTTATTTTTCTATTAAAAATATCTTTTTTCATATGTGAAAATAAATATTTATCAGACTGTTTTATTAGTTGACTTAATTCACTTTTATAAAAAAAAAAATTACAAATAATATTTTCTCGTAACATCAAAATTCATATAGTTGATTCTGATTAAAATAATCTGGATTATTTGTAATAATGATTTAGAGCCCGTTTGGCTAAGCTTATTTAAAACATCTTATAAGCTCCTACATCTGATAAGATGTTTTAGGAGCTGATAAACTGTTAGATCTTATTTTAAAAATTATTTTTTAAGGTGTTTGGATATGTAGCTTATAAGTTACTTTTTGTTTTTATAAGTTGTTCTGGTGTTTGGAAATAAAAGATCTGTTTATTGCTATAATGACAAAAAAGTACATGACGACGCCAGTATAATTGTTAAACTTATTTGACTCAAATATTTTTGTTCCTAAAATATTATTATAATATTTACAAATTATTTTTTCAAATAATAATAATAATATAAAATAAAAGTAGTAAAAGAAATATAATTTTTTTTTTATAGATGAAAGAAATATAATTTATTATGGAGATAATAAGAATATTCGTGTATTTTTATATACATATAAAATATAAATAGAGAATAATTTTTTTTTACAATTATTATGATAATTACGATAATTATATTTAATTAATTATTAATCTTGATTCTTGATTACAAGAATACGTTGTTTTGATAAAATATAAATATTATTGTATTCATGTACTATAATAAAGTATTTTAGGGTAATTTTGTATTTTAAGTATTTTAGTAAAGAAGCAAATAAGATCTTAAAGAAAAAAGGCGGGGTAGAGGTACTTTTTTAAAAACATCTTATAAGCTCCCTAACAGCTTATTTTTGGAAAAAATAAGATCTTTTGCAATTTTTTTACCAAACACTTTTTAACAACTTATAAGCTCATAAACATCTTATAAGATGTTTTTAGGAGCTTATAAGCTTAGCCAAACATGCTCTTAGTTTTGTTACTTATGTTGGACTATAAATATTAAATGAAGGCCCAAAAACAACTTATTTATATTAATTTTTTGTATTACATTAGTTCTTTTTTATTTATTTAAATTAATTTATCCATGGCATTCCTCAAAGAATTAGATGAATTCAAGAGGTGATTAAATGATATCAAATAATTAACCAATTAACTTGGCAAATTAATCAAATATTTTATCAAAAAAATATATATATTTCATCATGTCAGTTGATGAAGTCTTTAAAAATAAAAAATTGAAAATTATTAATCATCATAATGCATCGAGTATTCAACTATGATATTAAAAAACAACAAAAAAAATCCTCAAATTGTCAAAACAGCAAACACCAAAACACATAACACCATTGCTATATTGCAACGTGAAAAAGAAAAAAAGATGAAAAAAAAAAAAAAAGAATATTCACAAGGGGGTGGTGGGGGGTAGTTCTTCTAGAAACACATGAATGAAAGATGACTTAGTTCCAAGGAGGAGAAGAAATTTTATTATGCACAAAACCTTGAGGTGTGGAAGTGTAGTTCAAATCGAGACTGTGGAGTTGTTCCATCAGCTGCGACCTTCGTTCCTTGAAGAAATCGAGTCGCGTGGTCAACTCTACCAGTGTCGTTGATGCTGCTGCTGCTGCCGGAATATTCCGAGAATATTCCATCACCTGCTGCATTTTTCTTAATTAGTGAAAAAGCTTATCTTACTTGTAAAACTGAGGCCTAAGCAAAAAAGTTTTTGAGTTATTTTACCTCAGCTGCCCTCGAGGTGGAAGGTAAAGATGGAGAGTCGATAGGAAAAAGATTGTCGATGGATAAACTTGTGGATGCGTCGCTACTTTTGGAGTCGCTCGGGTTTGTTAACTCCAGCAACTGCTTTCGTCTGTTAGTGCTTTGAGATGTCGATAATTGTCCTTTATTATTCCTTAGCTCCGGCACCGCTAATTCCTGCAAACCGTCACGAGTTGGAGTAGCAATATAAGATTAATAAAATATTGAAAAAAAACGGAATTACCTCGGTTTTTTGTTTCCTTTCATGGTTACAAACAGCAAGTGTTGTATCGAAATCTTGCTGTAAATATTTCCTGCATACAAGTCAAGTATACTAAGCTCCTTCGGTACCAATTGTAATTATATAAAACATTGATCCAAAAGTTAAGACGCGGGTTCTCGGTATAAATTTGTGGATCTTCATTCGTTTTTTTTTTGTTCGGGATTATATCATTGGCGAACATAATCCAATGTCATAAAATTATAACAAACGGGTTTTCGACTCACTGCTGCGGATTTTGGTTCGGAGCATGTTGAATATGGTCAGTCGAATCTGAAAAAGAAGCGTACTGATGCTGACGTTGCTGATTAAGCTGATGGTGAAGTTCGGCAACTTTCTGTTTCAATCGGGCTACGTCTGCCTCAGCAAGAGCTATCTCCTCAAGCTCAGCCCTCGTCTGCTTATTATTAAATTATATAAATATTTCAGCACCGACAAATTTAGACATTGTTTGACGGCTTAGAGAGAGACAGAATATAAACAGACCTTGGAATCCATGCCACGAGAGGTAGAAAATTGGCCGGAGGACATGCTCAATCCAACTTCCAGAGCTGCTCGTAAATCTCTCTCGGCTTGCAACTGTTCTTTTAGCCTTGCTACCTATTAAAGAGCAAAATAAATAAAATAAAATAAAAAGTCAATCACTTGGGTACTAACGAGAATCTTCGAACCTTGTTGATTGCAAGAAAAATGATTGACAAACACTAACATCTTGTTCAAGTGCCAATCGACGCTCATGCAAAGCTTGCTTTCTTCTCTCCAAGCTAGCTTGTAAAATTGCGTTTCCTCTTGCCTGACATAAACGAAGAGTTGAAATCATATAATTAAATACTATCTAGTAACATTGTTACCGTAAACACTCCCAAAATGCCCGTATAGTTACCTCTTTCGCTATCCTCTGACGCAAATCATTCTTTGTAGTCTCTAATCTCTGGATGGCAAGCCTACAAAAAAATAATGAGCAATGTATGAGAAAATGCTAACCAAAAAAAAAAATTGCTATAGAAGATAATCTTACTCTTCCTCTCCAGAAAAATCAATCGATTCGGTTGAAGGAGTTCTCGTGGCCTGAAACAACAGAAAGATCAGCATTCCAATATTTTCAAAACATAAACAGACAAATAAAATTCAATTACTTAATATATCGAAGTCCAAATCACACAATCAGCAATAATCGGTTAATAGTTAATCTGGTACGACTATCCTTATTTATAGAGACCATTGAAGAATTCAAGCACATAGGTCGAATAAAAAAAAATGGAGCCAAATAGTATTAGTGTTTGAAGGAACAACTCACATTTTTTCGTCCCCAAAATGTCGATTTCTTGGCACCGAGACTGGAACTTGTAAGCTTGGGTATTATCTTATCAACCAATAGTTCAGGTCCCGGGATAGATTGACGAAGCTCTTGATCTATAGATGACAACATATCTCCCATAGACCGTTGCGACTCGTTACCGAGAATTTCGGCAGAAGCACCAGTCGTGTTTTCAAATGCCTCCTTCTGTTGGTCTAGTTGCTCATTAACTGAAAGATTAGTATCGGTAAGAGCTCTAGAGTCCAATGTTTGATTAATCGTTGCCAAAGTACGACCTTGCATGAGATATCCATCATCTGAATTGTTGATGCCAAATGCCTGATATCAACAAATGCAACCAAGAGCAAATTTAAGTAAGTGGTTCTTGAAAAGTGTACTGATGATCACTGAAACAAAAAAAATCAGGGAAGATGACAAAAATCAAATAAACAAATCAAATCATTACTTCACAAAATATGCTAATGTGTGTGTGTGTGTTATATGCATGCATGTATTTAGAGTTTAGAGAGAGAACCTTATAGTCATAAAGATCACTGGCAGTAGAGCCACTGCTTTCACTTAGCTTCCCACTGAGTCTCCTGTCACGATCATAATCTGCTTCAGGATCAACCTCGTTTTCAGCATCGTGATATCCATTGACTTTTATATCAATATGTTCATCATCACTTGTATCTTCACTTCTACTGCTATTCGTATGGGAATCCGCAGACATGGAGCACCCGTGCAGGTTATCATCCTATAGAAAGAGCATGAATATGTTTATAGAATAGGTGAGAGAATGGGGACAAGGAGAGAAGAAATTTATCTCCTAATTTAGAAACTAAAAATTGTCCATAACATACGTCAAAAATATTCTCGTACTCCTCGAGGAGTGTGGTAATAATTGCTTGGGCGTTATTTGCAGCATTGGCAGCAGCAAGAAGCTGAGCGGAATTATTATCGCCATTGGTGTCGTAATAATCATTCTCTAATTCACATTCACCAGCTACAAGAGGGCGCAAGAGCAACGGAGCCATACAAGCAGCAACTGCCGATGGAGCCATCCGATTCTCAGAAACGTGGGACGAAATTGTATGCATCATCTTAAGAATTCTACAAACAGCAAACAGGAGGCAGATGAAAATTAAGAGAGAGAAAAAAAATTGTCCTAAAAATATTCATTAAATCAATGCTATGTGATAACAGAATTCTTTCGAAGCAAGTGTTGCACCAGTGTACCTCTGTAAGAGGCGCCTATTAGGTTCCGGAAATGTTTCCTGTATAGCAGAGTGCATTGCATTCAGCCGAGCTTCCTTCCGATCCATTTCTTCTCAACACAGCCACAAAGAAATTGAGTTATTCACAAAATAAAAGCCACTTTTTGCACAGTACTCGATCACATATCATAGTAAATTTGGCATAAACATCTGGGGTAAATGATGTAGCTGAAACTTACTGTAGGCTTCCAACAAAGCAGTGCAGCAGGATGCAGGAACAGGCGATGAAGGTAGCTCCCGAAGAACATGCTGAAACAGTGCAAACTCTAGTAATTCAGTTAAATAAAGCCAGAGCAGAAGAGTTAAGTACTAAAATGGCAATCAAACCTTAACACAGTCGCCGATGACATGGGCATCCTCGTCAGGACCAAATTCATTCTTGCCTACAATTATCATTAAATTGGTATGCATGTCATGTCAGGTAATAGAAATTTAAAAATTCAATTTCAGGAGTCCTCGTATATCTGGCTTTAACGGGAAACATGTCCTCCATGTCGAATATACAGCAATGATCTACTATCATCTATATGGATTTATTCCATTTCGCTTCACTACTACCAAATTGGTTCTTTCGAGTAAAAAATAATTGCATATCCAATCATCCAAGTTATTTCATTTGGTGAAGAAAGAAGAAAACTAAAAATAACTTAAGGGTGCCTTTTGTTTCCATATGTATAAATCTATTTAAACAACCAGGAAATGAGAATGATGTTTCGATTGACCAAGTTAATGAAGGTATTTCATATACGAAATTAATCAGCAATGTTTGTTTATGCGAAAGTACTTTTTAAGAATATAACCAGCCGAAAATTGTATGAAAATAGAAAAACCTAATCCAGACTAATTAACTGCCATCATAGAAAAAGAAACAATATCTTCAGTCACATATACTTAAACGAAGCAAAACCTTGTTCATATTCTTGAACTCGTCGGTGCACTTCTTCTACGTCTGCGGACTGTCGCAGAATTCCTTCTACTTTAATTCCTGTTAAAGATATCAGGTTTAATTAGAATACCACGTGAAAATAGCGAAATAAATACTTCTACATCATCAAATATTTGCTTTCCTGAGGAAATAATCGGAACATCATAATATGGATTCGACGAATCATATCAAATATTATCCCTCATCTTCAGCCACAAATACAATCAAACTGAAATTGTATTTGTACACTCGATATCCAGGCAATGCCAGATTTGAAAGAAAAAACTAAGAAATCTTACCATGCTTCTCAAGAAACTGAAGTGCTTTTTCCAGGAAAGATGGCGCTCCATCTATATCTTCTAATGCAAGCAAAATCGGACGTCCAACAACCAAAGATTTAACTGGCCGTTTTTCCCTCCCTGTATCATAAGGAAAATTCATTAAGATCTGTGTACTTATGCCATGCAATACAAGACGGAGAGGGGAATCTTTATGAAAAAGCTCCAAAGCAGTATTTATTAAAAACATGGAAGTCGTAATAGTAGCTACAAACATTGATGGAACGATCCTTCAGCGGTATCATTAGTATCACTTCTAAATATGCCATTATGTCCCATCACAAGAGCAGCACTTGGTGCTTGTGCAAGAGCATGCTCAAGGGCTGTCTTCCACTCATACAAGTCCTCGGATGTTTCCGCCTGAAATTATAAATAGAAAGGGTATCACAGCAGATTTATTACAATCCAAACAGAGGTAAAATACAAATGGAGGGAATGCATAAATATTTAAAAAGAGAGGTCCGACAAACAAAAAAGAATTAAAAAGGATGTGTAATCTTTTATTCACCTTAAGAGTAAATGCTCGTCCATCACGCCCATCAGGAAACAAAACAGTCAGCAGCTTCTTGTCTTCTCTCACTACAACACTACATAAAGAGAGAAATTAATGACATAGCACGCGACACATAAAAACAATAAGAGAGGACGAGAGAGAATTTATTCATACCTTCCTGAATTGTTCAAATCAATGCCACCCAAAGTCAGATTCACTTCACCACCACGTTGCGGAAGTGCACTCTGCATGAAAAATGAAGTTCTTCATACTCGTGGCAACAAGATATCAATTTAAAATTGGAGCAAATAAATGTAACATCAAACTGCTTGAAAACAACTGTATAACATAACTAACAAACAGCTGAATTAACTAAAGTACAAAGCACATCAAATGAAAGGGAAAATGAAAATGTGAACAAACGTTACAGGATCATTCTTGAAAAAAACCAAAGAGGTGCGTGTCAGGATAAACCATCGCTTCTTCCAAGACGTCCATCCTAACCCTGCAAGAAGTAGTGGTCAAGTAAAATATGTCATCAACAAAACGAGAACAAGAAGAGCATCGTTTTACATGTGCATCTATCAAAACGAAGGGTGGAAGCTAATGATGATCCTTCATTTATTGTACCATAATAATCAAATGTGCGCACTTAAATCAACTCACTTTTCTATCTCGGCTGCTACTTTATTTATTGTACCATAATAACGATCAGACATGAACGAGAATCCATAAAAGTAAAGAAATACCCACTCATTTATTCCAAGAAATATTTATTGGATTAAAATACATGAAATAGAAGACAATTCATATTAACTCGAAAAAATATAAACTAAAAAACATTGCAATTTCCATTCCACGTGAGGTGGAGTTCACGGATTATATTTCCTCAATAAAATATGCACTTTCTCCTGACCACTACTCCATGAATAATTATAGCCTAAATCTACAGGATGAATGAGTAAAAATGATGTTGAGTAATGCATGGTTCGGCCATTTTGCCCTACATCGAAGGATAAAATACCCAAAGGTCGATTAGACTTCCATTTAGATTACTATTCCATTATACTGGCCACTTATTTATAAAGGTAGTTATAATAATTAAAGTAATTAATAGAGGAAATAACTTCAACGTCATATCGAATCAAAACTATCACAATAAAAATCAACGCACGTAAACTAAAATGTAACAAACCACAACTACATTGCGTGCTAACGACACAACAATATCTAAACACTAGAGTAAAACAGGAGTTACAACTTACAACGCGTTTTTGTATCTAAAAATGAGCGGGAAAATTATTAAAGATAATATTATCTTATTTTTGGGCCGGACGACGATAGGGGGGTTAACTTTTCTACAAATATAATCATGTGAAGTAGGTTTTGTTTTATACTTATATATTGCATCCATGTTTCTTGATAGTCGTGTATTCAGAGAATATCTATCACTGAAACTCGTATTCCCCATATAATACGTGATAAAACTCCAAAATGGACTTTCTACATTCGGCCCATGCAGTTTAACACTCTCCTCATTGGACATTGGCTACGACCTCATCATTTTTGCCCGACGGCGCTCAGATAATACATTCAATTTCTTACAATTAATATCAAAGCGAGTAAACATACATTCCTATCAGAACCCATATTCGCAATCAAATTGCTGCTGCTGCAGTGCATTACATGTAGTCGAGAGATTTACGTCAAATTCTCGATACCATATACACTCAGCAGGAATATCTTAATTTGCATAACCACCACTCTCTTGTGCCACATACTCGATCCAAATTGTAAGACTATCCAATTCTCGAGTCCGAAATAACTACTAACCTTTCGAAGATATGAGCAGATGTCCACTCTTGAATATCTGAAAATCATTAAAAGAAAACGAAATGCATCAAGATTTACACCAAAACCCATCATATCAAACACGCCTATATATAGAAAGAACAAAAAAACCACGAATTGAAATCGATTTTCCTTGACTACACTTGACTATGAAAACATTCAACATCCTTTTCTTTTCCTTCAACTCACACAGTAAACCTCATAAAAATCGGGGTTAACAAAAAAAAAATATAAAAATTAAATTACCGTATTCGAGTTCACAACACGAGGGCGTTCAAATGTGGCAAGAGAACCCGACATTTCCCTTACTTTTCCTCCTTTCTGCAGTCGAGTTACATCTCAGCTGCGATTCGGACACCGGGTCGACCCGGATCGAACTCAGCCAACACGGTCTGAGTAGGATCTACACAATGGGGGTGGATTGAACAACTGAAACTGGGTTTCAATCGTTTCGAACAAATAAATGGAGGTAGCAAATAGCAACAGCAACAGCAACCTGCTTTTTCTTCTTCACAAGTCCTTTCCTTTTGTTTTTTGTTGTTTGTGTTTATGAAAAATGAGGTGGATGGGTTGGGGGGTGGGGGTGGGGGTAGGGGGGGGTGGGGGGAGTAAATACCATTACTCTGTTACTACTTAAGTACTTTGTTAATTAGTATCTGATTTCCATTATTTATTTTGGATTTAATTCCACTTTGCACCCTGAAATGTAACATTTCGGCATTTTGTACCCTTAAACAAATTAATAACACTTTGCACCCTCGAAGTACCCTGAACTGAATATTAAAAAGTTAATGAAGGAATTTCATTTTTTATTGGTTTTTTTAATTCGCTTAGTACAAAATAATAAATTAAATTATTATTTTCTTACCAACCCAATATAATTTTGAGCATAAAGGATGCTAGAAAACATTATAATTTTGTTATTGTAATTAACGAAAAAAAATTGAAAGAAAATATAATTTTCAAATAACTTGATATATAAATAGCTGTGAGACATTTTTGTTATTTTTATTTTTTGTAAAATATGTTTTTTTGAAAAGAATTAATATAATATGTTGATGAGCTGTAAATTTTTTTCTTTTTACGTTTTTGTAGTTTTGAAAGGATTGATGAATAATGATTTGACATTTGGAATCATAAAAGATACAGTAAAAAAAAATTAAATTACTTTTATTAGATTTAAAAATTCATTCTGGTACATCATGCATAGTTCATTATTCGATGGTGCAAAGTACAATAAAAAAAAAGTTAAGGGTGTAAACTGTCAAAAACTATATTTTAAAGGTGCAAAGTGAAATTAAGCCTTTATTTTATTGCTTTTCACCAACTTTTTGGCCGTGACTAATCTGAAAATTGATTTTCTACCATAGTAATATTTCTTTATGTAAAAATATTATAATCATATCTTATAATTATTGCAAATTATTGTTAAATATTAATAATCTTGATGTAAAGAATAAAGCCATAGACAAGTGTCAAAGAAGAATGTACAACCCTTTGTAGCGCGTGGCTCCATTACTAGTTGTTGTTCAATGTGCAGCAAAAGGTTGTACCTATACGCTCACATAATTACTAAATAAATTAGTGGGCGTTAATTAATAAACAGTGGTCCAACAATTAAATAAAGAAATGTGATAGAGCCAGCGCATTAGTCAGTAGTACTCTGGTTATATGTATCAGCAACCAGAGGTACAACTTTTATAAGCCCAATAAGCCATACAACCAAATTTTGCTTTTGCTATGCTTGGTCAAATTCTTTTTGTTTCCCAATAAAATGATATAATTTAGTTTCCCTTATTTTTTTTAAATAAATGAGAAAATTTAATTTCAATTACAATTTATATTTATGGTAAATTATGAAAAAACCCCTAAAGTTAGGCAAAATTATGAAAAATACCCTCATCTATCCATTAATTACCAATATCCCCTGAAGTTTGTTTCCTTCTTACATCGACCCCCTTACATTGTGATTTTTCACGTGATCTTTTTGTTTGTATAAAATATTCCCAAAAATGCCGATTCTACCTACCCCCCATAGCAGCCTTTTATAATAACTTTTTTTTCTTCAATTTCACATGGCAATGCCACTAGACTTCCTCAATTGTTAACATGAACCATCATATGCATGACTACCTTCAATCTGTCGACATCTGCAGTGTTATATTGACATTTTTTTAGGAATATTTCCTAATATCAAAAAGATTACCTAACAATCACACCTTCGGGGGTCGGTGTAAGACGGAAACAAAGATCAGGGGGATTTTAGTAATTACAAATAGGTGGAGGTGTTTTTTATAATTCAGTCTAAGTTTATGGGGGGTTTTGTAAGTTACCCTTATTTTTAACAACACAATGAATTTATATAAAAATTAACGATTTTTTCTTCTTAAATAACATATAAGTTAGGAACTCTTTTATCATTTTAAATCATTTTATAATAACTTAATTTATTTTTTTATAATAAATTATGTTTTAAATTGACCATTTTTTTCTTTTAAGAATAAGTAGGTGTTTAGTGATTGGCACGATAGAATTGAAAACTATTCCTCCCCTTCTTCTGAACATTATTAAGTCTGATATTATTTTATATTATTCAAAAAATATTTATATATTATTTTTAAATTAAGTTGCACCAGTTGTTCATACTTCATATGATTAAGGGTATAATAGGCAGCAAATTATTAAATAAATATTTAAATTTAAATTAATCTAAAACTGAACCGGGCCCAACGCAACAGCACGCCTAGGCCCATAATTATATGGCCCACATAATCACGGGCTATGCTTAGGCCCATAATAAAAAATAAAAATAATTATTTTTTTTAATCCCCAATTAGGGCTATTATTAGCAGACTTTCAAATTAAGTGACCTAAATCCCAAATGATTTTTTGTCGAAGTAAAATCAACACTTGTTAATTTCGACAACTGCTGTACCAAATTTCCCTTCAGAGCAAACTTCGTTGCTTTTCCTCATCGAAAGTGGTAATTTCGACCTTTTCAGCAACGTAATTCTGCATTAATTCATTACATATATGCTTAATCTATACGTATATGTTTGTGAATTTTTTTTTGTTTCTGCTTAGAATATTCGATTTTTGAGCTGCTAAACGCAGAAACATCGTATTCAAGCTTTCAGCAGCTATGGTTATGGCTTTAACAATTTCTAGAAATAACCGATTTTTGAACCCTAGCTTCCATTTTCGATCAGGGGTAATCCTATTAACCCATTTTCTAACTCCAGCACCACACTTTAACCATTTCTCCACTTCAGCAAACCAAGAATCAAACATTGTAGAAACCAGAATTGAATCTCTGTGTCAAAAACCTAACTCCATTGTCAATTTAAGGAAAGCTGTATCGTTTTTCGAGGAAACCGTAGACACGGGCCTCGTCCCTTCGGGGCCCACGAGCGATCTCCTTTTGCAAACTCTTGCCAAGAACAAAGAGTACACAATGGCTTTTGCTGTTTACAAGAAAATGACCGCAGCTGGTGCTTCACCTAGGTATTTGTCGTTATCCGCTTTGGTCGATTGCTTGGTGCATTTCTCTGCTCCCCAATTGGCTCTAGGGGTAATTGGGTTGATTTTGAAGCACGGGTATAGCGTTAACGTGTATGTTGCGAATGTCGTGTTGAATGGTTTTTGTTGTAGTGGATTTGCCGCTAAGGCCGAGGTGTTCTTGGATGAAATGAGTAGAAATTCGGTGTCTGCGGATATAGTTAGTTTCAATACGTTGATAAAAGGATTTTGCCGGGAGAGGAAATTAGACAGAGCTGTGAGTGTGAAGAAAAGGATGGAATGTGCAAATATATCTCCAAATTTGATTACGTATAGTGTTCTGATCGATGCTCATTTTACGGAGGTTCAAGTGGATAAAGCAATGGGGTTGTTGGATGAAATGAAAACGAAGGGATTGGAGCCAGATGTTTTCTTGTACAACACTCTTATAAATGGTTTCTGTAGTAAAGGAGATGTCGACAGATCGAAGGAACTTTTGAATGAGATGTTGGGCAAAGGTATTTCTCCGGATATAGTTACTTACTCGTGTTTGATGCGTGGTCATTGCAAGAAGGGAAATTTGAAAGAAGTGAAACGATTGTTCAATGATATGATAAAAGAAGGGATTCGCCCCGACGTTGTCACGTTTACGGGCATGATTGGCGGGATTTTTCAATTTGGTAAGGCTGAAAAAGCCGTTGAATTATTTAATTTCATGTTGAAAAAGGGCGAAGAGCCTACTAATATAACGTACAATGTCCTTATTGACGGATTGTGCAAGGCGGGACTTTCTGATGAAGCTTTCAAGATTCTTGAAATCATGGTGAAGAAGGATCAAAAACCCGATATTGTAACTTATAATACTTTACTGAGAGGATTATTTGATCTTGGAAAAGCTGACATCGCTGAAAAACTTTTCGATTCAATGATGTCGAATAAGAAACACGTGGAGCCCGATTCGTATACTGTTAGTACGGTTGTCCAAGGAATGGGCAGCAAAGGCCTTCTTGAAAAAGCGGAAAAAATTAACCGTGAGATGTCTAAACAGAAGAAACCAACGGATGTTGCACCGTACACGGTGCTAATCGGAGCTTATCTGAAAATAGGAAATGTCACGAAAGCTATGAACTTGTGGAGGGAGTTTATAGATCTGGGGCTCGTTCCGGATTCAAGATCTTATAGTGCTTTTATAGACGGTCTATGCAGATGCGGCTTAATAAACGTCGCGAAAGGTGTTTTCACTAAAATGAGAAAATGTGGTCCTATTCCCACATCGTACGACTACAGCATATTGATGGCTGCCTTGTGCAAGGAGAGTAGTTTAGAGCAAGCGCGAGCTTTATTTACAGATATGCTCGAGGGAGGCTGTGCCCCCGATGTAGCCTCGTACAACATTATCATCGAATCCACCATTAAAGCAGGGGACATTCAGTCTGCAAACGAGTTACTGGCCGATATGCAGAGCAGGGGTCTTCATCCAGATTCCTGGACTTTTTCGATGCTGATTAATAGGTTCTCGAAATTAGGGCTTATGGACGAGGCTACAAGTTTCTTCAAAAGAATGAAGGAATTTGGTTTTCCGGTGGATATTTTTGTTTACGATTCTTTACTCAAAGGGTTTAGGGCGGATGGAAAATCGGATGAGATAATCGATTTGCTACACGAAATGGCTGCCTCGGGGGTTGTTCTTGATTCTGAAATTACTTCTACTATCTTAACGTGTTTGTGTGATGTATCCGAAGGCTGTGATGTTGTAAAGCTTATACCGAAATTTACGCAAGAGAAATTAGAAGGAAGTAGCATTCCGTGTGACGAGCTGTTACGGAGGCTCGAGAATATAGTTCCCACTCTTCGAACCTCCCCTCAATCAGTACAAGTATAGATGTACAAGTATAGAAAGGCATCGGAATACGAACATTCTTCGATAGCGGCCACATGGCAGCCTCTTACAAAGAGAGAGGAATGGGCCAGAACTTTTGAAGGAATTCTTCGAATACTCAGCCACCCAAGAACTGATTGCCCTGGTTAGTATTATACAACTTTCTTGTAATTAATTTCAACCTTATAAATGATTATTAATAATAATAGTTAATTATAAAATCCATTTTTTTTGTCTAATATATTTTGTTGCTAGTTAATAATTAAAAATAAATAAAAAAAAGAAACAGAATAACTTCCAAATCCGGAGAAAATCAGGGAGAGAGAAGCAAATGAAGATGTACTAAGTTGAGTTTTATGTGAATAGTTGGTAATCTCACATTGCCTTATTAATTACTTTATATTAAGGTTAATTTTTTCTGTCTATTAAGTATTAATCTAGCATGCATCTTTTTCTAATGGGTTTTAACTGATATATTGTTTATCTTAATTCTTCAAACTACGTACTTTGACAACATTTTGATTCTGGTTATTTATTAGATTTTTCTTATTAATTCAGAGACTCAAATATTTGTAAGATATAATACTTGGCTTGCAATTTGCATACATCTCATCAAAAATCATAAAGTGAAAATACGATCATTTATAATAATTTATTAAATACGATCGATCACCATAACTCAGTTCTTTCATCAACGGCGATCTTTACCCGTCCTTGGTGGAATTGTATTGTCTGCAACAACACATGAAAATCCATAAAAGTAAGCAATCAAAACTTGTAATTTAAAATTTATAGTTGTCCTATAATTAGAGAACAAAAACTACTATAATTTATATATATATATTTATATATATATGAATTCTTACCACTACATTTAGTTCCAGGTGCGAGGGGGTTGCCACAAAATTGTAAAGCAGCGAGAGCTTTCTTGATACTAAGAAGTCTCTGAAAAATTTTAGGGAAATACGGGCACACGCATGGTACATCGAGACCTTGGATAACTTTGCAACATTCTTGAGACGGATTTTCTTTCGAACTCGAATCTTCAAAATATCTGTAACATTGTCTGGCAAGAGCATCGACATCCCCTCGGCATTCCGTGTATACCTTTGCGGTAACGTTAGCACAAAATAAGGTTATGCATACTATCATAAGACAACTCATTTTCGAGATCTTCATTGTATATTATATATATTATTATTATTATTATTCTTGATTATTGAGTCGATGGATTACTGTAAGTAGGCATGCATTATCAATAATCTTGTATTTATAGGGATTTGGTGTAAGGGAAATACATACATGCTTTATTGCATGACCCAAAAAAAATAAAATGCATGTTTTTTGTGATGTCTTCTGATTGATGATGTGTTGTTGCATGTGAAGTGTGAACTAATTGGAGCACGTGATTTTTGACATCTCAATTTGTCTTTACTGATTTTTTTTTTTTATACCATATATAGACGAGAATTTATAAATCTTATATAAAATAATAAGTATTTAAAAAATGTTGGGGGATCCATGTCACCCCCTAACTCCATGTTGTCTCCACCACTGCCTCAAACTAATTGTTCGAAAGTACTGATCTGATATGTGCCGTGCTGATTTCTTTCTTATTTTGATTACTTGAAATTAAATTAGTATATTTCCTAATTTGTCCCTCTTCGTTTTGCAGTTGAATTTCTTTGAGAAGCTGGTTTCGTGTTGCCTGAAGCACTTAAATAATCTGCTCGACAATTTAATCGGAAAATTGGTGAGTGTCTTCTCGTTTTAATTATTTCACCTTTTTGAGTTTACTTCCATCTTCTCAACTTTTGTGGATTTCTTAATGGACTCGAAATTCGAGTCGCGTGTGATTTACTGTTGAGTGCATTATTTGTTATGTTTTTGCTATAGGATATATAAACTAGGCTGCATCACGGGTTGCATCCTTTTGTCATTAACATTGTTCGGTCGTAAATCTTTTCCCAACTAGGCTTCCATGTTAAGAACCGGTCAAATCTCGAAGAGGTTGATACAAAATTTGAGGATATAATAACCATTCATTCGCACACAAAAACACACACATCCATGTTACGTTGGTATGTATAGATTGCGTGAGACAACCATTGGAATAATGATGACCGATTGAATTGGTAGGCTCTATTTTGACTTAACTGATTCGTTTATACTCCTATGTGCCTTGTTTTTTTTTCCTTTACCAATGCTTCATGTTGGTTTGTTCTTCCTCTTCTGCGCACCACTTTTAATTTCATTATATTGCTACATGTAATAGGATTATGTTGTTTGATTCTTCAAAAAAATGCTTAGATGCTACAAATGTTAACGTGGGACCCTCTCCCTCCACATGATCTGTGAGAGAGAGAGAGAGAGATTCTCTGACAGACGCGTGATATTATTATTTTATCTTTGCACCGCCCGACTCTAAATCGGGGTGGTTGGTGGCACATTATGGGTTCCATTCATGTTTAACTTTCTTTACACGCGTCTTGTATTATGGGACGTTATCCTAATCAATTTTTTTAGTTTAAGAAAGAGAACAACTCCCAAATCCAGTAAAAAAATCATGGAGAGAGAAGCAAATGAAGATGCAAAAGTGAGTGAATTTAAAAAGAGTTGATACTACTTGCAGCAATTTTGAAAAGAGAAGATATATTGATGAGTAGACTTGCGAAAATTGGGAAAAGATCGAATATGACCCAAATGAAGCGTTTTTTGTATCTCATTTTGTTTCCAAAGGGAATTATAGGAAATAACAAAAGAATCCGACTCGGATCTGATTCTCAGCTTTTGCAACCTTGGGAAATAGTAGGGTAGTGGGACTTGTGGGGAGGGTGTCCTTTTCCAAATCAGCATGCCTATATATATATTTTTTTTCCCTGGTCACAAAATGCTTAATTAATTATGATCATTAAAGGTAATACTTAGCTTAGTCACTAATTAATGATGCAAAAGTGTACATATTCTCTAATAGACCATGTGGAGGAATTTAAAGGTACACGTGGCGGCATCCAATTTGTCAACACAATAAAAAAAAAAATTAGATGTTTTTTACGTAACGTAAAGAACATCCCGGCCGCCTATAAAAACCATGCATGCAGACTCTGCATGGAAATACAATACTTACTCATTATTAGTATCTTAAAAATAAGAAAACCAATACATACATACATACATATCAATGTTGAAAATAATCTTCTTGTTTTTTCTCGTATTAACCCAGTGCCACTACTGCATCAATGGAAGCCCCGTTAGAACTGTAGTCGTTCTCGTTATGGAGAACAGATCTTTCGACCACATGCTTGGCTGGTTCAAGCAACTGAACCCCGAAATTGATGGAGTTGACGTCTCTGCCAAATCGAACCTGATCAACGCAACCGACCCTAATTCACGTCGGGTCGTATTCGGCGACCAAGCACACTATGTTGACCCTGATCCGGGCCACTCATTCCAGGCCATTAGGGAACAAGTATTCGGGTCGGACGACACCTCCGCGATCCCGCCCCCGATGAATGGGTTTGCTCAACAAGCTTTTTCGATGGAGGACCCGGACATGACTCAAAATGTCATGAACGGTTTCCAACCCGATAAGGTTCATTTCTCTTCTCGATCTTTATTCATTTAAAAAAAAAAATGTTTATGTTTGTTTGTTTTCTTTTCTTTTCAAATATAGCAATTTTTTTTTGTTTGAATCATCAAGTGATCGCAAACGCAGGATAATTAATTAATCAAGTGAAATATATATATATCCAACTTCGTAAAACTCTTGTCAGTTTTTGTTACTAACATTATCATGACTACAATACATTAAAAATGATGTCTTTAATTAACATGTGTGTGTGTGTGTGTGTACTTGCTGCAGGTTGCAGTGTACAAGTCTTTGGTATCGGAGTTCGCGGTATTTGATAGGTGGTTTGCGTCGGTGCCGGCATCCACGCAGCCCAACCGACTGTACGTGCATTCCGGCACCTCCCACGGTGCCACCTCCCATATAATCTCGATGCTCCTCAAGGGCTACCCACAGCGCACCATCTTTGATGATTTGGATGACGCCGGAGTATCTTTCAAAATATACTTCCAGAATATTCCGGCCACCCTCTTCTACAGAAGCCTCAGGAAGGTCAAGTACATCTTCAAGTTCCGGCCCTACGGCTGGTTCTTCAAGAGCGACGCCAAGAAGGGCAAACTCCCGGGATATGTTGTGTTGGAGCAGCGGTACATGGACTCTAAGGCGAACCCCGCAAACGACGACCACCCGTCGCACGACGTGTATCAGGGCCAATTGTTAGTGAAGGAGGTGTACGAGACTCTGAGGGCTAGTCCGCAGTGGAACGAAACCCTATTACTGATCACGTACGATGAGCATGGCGGCTTTTATGATCACGTGCCCACACCTAACGTTGGAGTGCCGAGCCCAGATGGCATTGTGGGGTCCGAACCCTTCTTCTTCAAGTTCGATAGGTTGGGAGTTAGGGTTCCCACTATTGCCATCTCTCCTTGGATTCAGAAAGGCACCGGTAATTAAGAACCTATTTACAATTAGTCATTATTTCTTTAATTTGTCAGTATGCATGCATGCATGCATTCTCAATTACTTCATAATTACATCATCATTATATCTGAATTAACTTGAGAAGAAAGAAATTGATGATTTTTTTAATTAATTTCTAATTTTTGGGTAAAATGCATGGTGCAGTTGTTCATGGCCCAAACGGCTCGCCTTTCCCGACATCGGAATACGAACATTCTTCGATACCGGCGACAGTGAGGAAGATATTCAACCTGCCATCGCCGCCACTTACAAAGAGAGAGGAATGGGCCGGAACTTTTGAAGGAATTCTTGGAAAACTCACCCACCCTAGAACTGATTGCCCTGGTTAGTATATATTATACAACTTTCTTTCTTGTAATTAATTTCAACCTTATAATAAATCATTAATAATAATAATAATTTTTTTGTCTAATATATTTTGTTGCTTGTTAATTAAAAAAAAAAAAAAAAAAAAACAGAACAACTTCCATATCCGGAGAAAATCAGGGAGAGTGAAGCAAATGAAGATGCAAAAGTGAGTCAGTTCCAACAAGAGCTCATACAACTTGCTGCGGTTTTGAAGGGAGAAGATATATTGGGAAGTAAGCTTGATAACTTTGGAAAAAACATGACTGTGAGAGAAGGGAAAGAATTCATGGAGAGTGCTGTGAAGATCTTCTTTGAAGCTGGTTTAGCTGCTCGCGACATGGGTATTGGTGGTGATGAATTTGTCAAAGTCAGATCTTAGAGAGCGAAATATATCTAGAGAGAGAAGAGAGAGCTAGAGAGAGAGAGAGAGAGAGAGAGAGAGAGAGAGAGAGAGAGAGAGTATGCATGTGTAATATGCAGTAGTAATAATGTAGAACAATGAATCAAGTGTGCATGCATGCATGCCACAGGTACTGGTAGATTCTAGCGTATGTTTCTAATGGGTTTAATTATTTATCTTAATTCTTCAAACTACGTACTTTGACAACATTATATTTGATTTTGGTTATTTATTTGATTTTTGTTTTTAATTCAGAGACAAAATATTTGTATTTAGATATAATACTTGCCTTGCATACACGATCGATCTCATGAAAAATCATAAAATGAAAATACTATCATTTATTATATATAGATATAGATATAGATAAATACTAAATTTGGAGTAACTGATCACCATAACTCAGTTCTTTCATCAACGCCGATCTCTATCTACCCTGCCTTGGTGGAATTATATAGTCTGCACCAACACATGAAAATCCATAATTAGAACACAAATTATGGGGGTGGATTGCTGTATAAGTAGGCTTGCTTTATCTATATATATATATACATATGGTGGTGGAGATTTAAAAAAAAAAAAATTAATAATGAAAAAATTCTTACCACCACATTTAGTTCCCGGTGCGAGGGATTTGCCACAAAATCGTAACACAAAGACTGCTTTCTCGAGGCTAAAAAATCGCCCAAAAACTTTACTGAAATTCAGGCACATGCATGGTACATCGAGACCTTGGACAACTTTGCAACATTCTTGAGACGGATTTTCTTTCGGACCCGATATTTCGACATATTTATAACATTGTTGGGAAAGAGCATTGAGATCCCCTTGGCACTCCGCGTATACCATTGGGGTTATGTTAGCACAGAATAAGGTTATGTATACTATCATAAGACAACTCATTTTCGAGATCTTCATTATATATATATATATATATATATATATATATATATTCTTATTATAACTATGTATATGTATTATTATTTTTATTATTCTTCTTCTTGATTATTGAGTCGATGGATTACTGTATCAATAATCTTGTATTTATAGCGATTTAGTGTAAGGGAATACATGATATATTGCATGACCCAAAAAATAAATGGATGGATTATTAGGGCATGCTTTTTGTGATGTCTTCGGATGATGATGTGTTGTTGCACGTGAACTAATTGGACACGTGATGTTTGACATCTCGATTTGTCTTTACTGATTTTTTTTTTTTTTTGGGCTAATAATTCAGCTTAGTGGGTTTAACTTGGCACTTGGGCCTAGATTATTGGGTCCAGTTTGCAGATTGGGTGTAATTGGTTCTTTTATTTCGTGTAAGTTAATTATTTTGGGAAATTACATTTACACCCATAATGTATGCTAAAATAACTTTAAGGTCCCTATAGTATGTATCGGTAATTACATCCGCACCCTTGAAACAATTGCCGGAACCAAGATTTCATGTCATGGGGACCGGTATGCACTATACCATATATAGACGAGAATTTATAAATCTTATATAAAATAATAAGTATTTAAAAAATGTTGGGGGATCCATGTCACCCCCTAACTCCATGTTGTCTCCACCACTGCCTCAAACTAATTGTTCGAAAGTACTGATCTGATATGTGCCGTGCTGATTTCTTTCTTATTTTGATTACTTGAAATTAAATTAGTATATTTCCTAATTTGTCCCTCTTCGTTTTGCAGTTGAATTTCTTTGAGAAGCTGGTTTCGTGTTGCCTGAAGCACTTAAATAATCTGCTCGACAATTTAATCGGAAAATTGGTGAGTGTCTTCTCGTTTTAATTTATTTCACCTTTTTGAGTTTACTTCCATCTTCTCAACTTTTGTGGATTTCTTAATGGACTCGAAATTCGAGTCGCGTGTGATTTACTGTTGAGTGCATTATTTGTTATGTTTTTGCTATAGGATATATAAACTAGGCTGCATCACGGGTTGCATCCTTTTGTCATTAACATTGTTCGGTCGTAAATCTTTTCCCAACTAGGCTTCCATGTTAAGAACCGGTCAAATCTCGAAGAGGTTGATACAATAATAACCAATTCATTCGCACACAAAAAACACACACATCCATGTTGGTGTGTATAGATTGTGTGAGACGACTAGGGGTGTAAACGAGCCGAGCTCGCCACTTTTGGCTGGCTCGAGCTCGAGCTCGAGTTTATTTTGTCGAGCTCGAGCTCGAGCTCCTCTTTTTTTGGCTCGAGCTCGAGCTCGTGTCAATTTTGTCGAGCTCGAGCTCGAGCCCATTTTGTTTTTTTTTTAAATATTTTTTTAATTATTATTTTATTATTAAAAATTATTTAAAAAAATAAAAAAGAAAAACTAAATTGTAATTATATATATTTTTAATATTTGTATTTATTTCTATAATATTTTACATTATTATACATTATTTAAATAAAAATAACACATAAAAAATAAAAAAAATATTAAAAAAATAATAATAAATCCGGCTCGCGAGCTCATGAACAACTGAAAACCGGCTCGAGCTCGGCTCGTCAGAAAGCTCGAGCTCGAAAATCTCGAGTCCGAGTTCGAGCTTTTTACGAGCCGACTCTTCGAGCTCACGAGTCGGCTCGGCTCATTTACACCCCTAGAGACGACGATCATCGGAATAATGCTGACCGATTGAATTGGTAGCTAGGCTCTATTTTGACTAATTAACTGATTCGTTTATCTTATCTATGCACCGCCCGACTCTACATCTGGGTGGCCTGGTGGCACATTATGGGTTCCATTCATGTTTAACTTTCTGTATACGTGTCTTCTATTACGGGACGTTATCCTAATCGAATTTTTTAGTTTAAGAAACAAAGCAACTCCCAAATCCAGTAAAAAAAATCATGCAGAGAGAAGCAAATGAAGATGCAAAAGTGGGTGAATTTCAAAAAGAGTATGTGACACCCACTATCGAAATACACTGTGATTTTTTAATTTTTTTTGTGATGTCTACTGATGATGTGTTGTTGCATGTAAACTAATTGGACACGTGATTTTTGACATCTCAATTTGTCTTTACAGATTTTTTTTTTTTTTTGGGGCTCATTCAGCTTAGTGGGCTCAACTTAGAACTTGGGCCTAGATGATATTTGGTCCAGTTTGCAGATTGGGTGTAATTAGTTTTTTAATTTCGCGTAAGTTAGTTTTTTTGAGAAATTACACTTACACCCATGATGTATGCTAAAATAACTTTAAGGTCCCTATAGTATTGGTAATTACAGCCACACCCTTGAAACAATTGCCTCATAGGGAGAGAGAGAGAGAGAGAGAGAGAGAGAGAGAGAGAGAGAGAGAGAGAGAGAGAGAGAGAGAGAGAGAGATTTTATCTGAAAGACGCGTGATATGATTATTTTATCTTTGCACCGCCCGACTCTAAATCGGGGTGGTTGGTGGCACATTATGGGTTCCATTCATGTTTAACTTTCTTTACACGCGTCTTGTATTATGGGACGTTATCCTAATCGATTTTTTTAGTTTAAGAAAGAGAGCAACTCCCAAATCCAGTAAAAAAATCATGGAGAGAGAAGCAAATGAAGATGCAAAAGTGAGTGAATTTCAAAAGGAGTTGATACTACTTGCAGCAATTTTGAAACGAGAAGATATAGTGATGAGTAGACTTGCGAAATTTGGGAAGATCGAATATGACCCAATGAAGCGTTTTTTGTATCTCATTTTGTTTTCAAAGGGAATTGTAGGAAATTACATTGTTCTGAAAATTGTAGGCGACCGATTAACCGGTTTATGAGCGAAGGTGGTCTAAAGCCCTTACGATTTTAACATGAAGGTTTGAAAATTCAACTTTTGTTTGAGAGACGGACTGAGGCAGACAAACCTTTGAGGCAGGTTAAACTTTGGCGGTAAAAATTGGTCAAAATCAATTTTAAAAAAAAAAAAAAAAAAAAAAGAGTTGGGTTATTTATTAAAAAAAATGAGTATATATGCTTTGTTTTATTTTGTTAATGTTAATATTTTATTTTAAGAGGAGCTAATGATATATGCTTGCCATGTTCAAATAAATTTGGATGCACAAGATTTCAGTTTAATTTCAATTTTGAAGAGATTTTTATTATATTATGAACTTATTATTATTAAAATTTTATTATGTGACTATGATATATAAATGATGGGATAAATCATGTTTAAATATATTTTTAAATATGTATTGAGTATTGTTTACAAATAATGCATACATGTATATTAAATTAAATCTAAAAAATTGATATATTTTTTTATTAATCACCACTGCATCGATTAATCGTGATGCGGTGCCTAACACACTCGGATCTTAGTTCACAAAAAAAAAAAAAAAAAAAAGAAACCGATTCGGATCTGATTCCCAGCTTTTGCAACCTTGGGAAATAGTAGGGTAGTGGACGTGTGGGGAGGGTGTCCCTTTCCAAATCACCATGCCTAGGGGTGGAAATCGGAACAAAATTTCCGATTTCTGCCGAATCCGATCCGAAGAATTCCGATTTTTTGAACTATTTTTTCAATTCGGAATTCCGAAATTTCTATTTCCGAAAAAAATCATATCAGAATCGGAAATACATATCAAAATTTTGGAATTTCCGAGTTCAATCCGAAATCAATTCCGATTTTTTCCGATTATATATATATATATATATTTAAGAACTATTTTATTATACATATACATAATTTTAAACCAAAGCTCTCACTTTGGGCTTCACTCTTGAATTTTGTATTTTAAAAATATTGAAACATTTGACCCATATCACATATGGCCCATTTCACAAACTACTAACTTACCTCTACTTCCAAACAATCTGACCTAATTCTTCTATGCAGTAGCGCCGCTTTGCTTCTTTGTCTTTGCTTTGAAAACTGTATCTTCGTTCCTCTTAGCATATTGCCGCTTCTCTTCTTTTGCATTCTTGTTTGATTCGTCACTCAGATATTTTATTTGAGTCACGGTTTATTGTTCGAGTTACCCTCTTCTTCCATCCCTTGGACCGATCGATCTCAACCATCTATGCATGGTATTTTTTTATATTTTTATAACTTCAATCGGTTTTGTTATTTAAGGATTCATATATATCTAATATGTTTGCTGATATATTTTTGGCTGTTAGAAATTCGCCGGTAAGTGTTTTTAATGGCATGTACGTTCTTTTTTTTTTCTTCTTCTTTCTTCGTTTTCAGAAAGTTCCGAAAATTTCCGGTTTTCCCAAAATTCCGAATAAATCGGAATCGGATCTCATTTTTAGATTCCGAAAATTTCGTAATCGGAATCGGATCTCATATTACAGTTCTGAAAAAAAAAAATCGTAAATTTTCCAAAAATCCCTTTTCCGATCCCGATCTGATCCGTCCGATTTCCACCCTTAATTCCATGAATATATATATACACACACTCGCATTCTTAGCTTATTATTTAAGTAGGAAACTTGATTAGCGTAGCTATCAATTATCATCGTCCATTTGGAATCTTGAAATCATTCTTAATAATGATCATTAAAGGTAATACTTAGCTTCATCACTAATTAATGATACGGAAGTTTACATATTCTCTAACAGACCATGTGGAATTTATAGGTACACGTGGCAGCCTTCAATTTGTGAACACGATAAAAAGAATAATTAGATGTTTTTTATGTACACGGAAAGAACATCCCAGTCGCCATGCCATGGAAATACAATTCTTGCTCATTCTCTTAAAAATAAAAATAATATTCTTGATCTTCCTCTTATTAAGTTACTACTATCAATGGAAGCCCCATAAAAACTGTAGTACGTAGTTCTCCATTTTTCTCTATAACGAGAACTACATACTACAGTTTACAGTTTTTATGGGTGTTCCATTGATAGTACTGGCTTAATACGAGGATGATCAAGAATATTATTTTTAAGAGAAGGAGTAAGGATTGTATTTCCATGGTATGATTTTTATAGACAGTCGGAATGTTCTTTACGTGTACATAAAAACCATCTAATTATTATTTTTATCGTGTTGACAAATTGGAGGCCCCGTATACGTATAAGTTCCTCAACATGGTCTATTAATTAGAGAATATGTATACTTTTGCATCGTTAATTAGGGCATGCTTTTGGTGATGTGTTGATGCATGTGAACTAATTGGACATGTGATTTTTGACATTGTCTTTACTGATTTATTTTTGCTAATTCAGCTTAGTGGGCTTAACTTAGCACTTGGGCCTAGTTGATATTGGGTCCAGTTTGCAGATTGGTTCTTTTATTTCGTGTAAGTTAATTATTTGTGGAAATTATTATTTTTATCGTGTTGACAAATTGGAGGCCCCATATACGTATAAGTTCCTCAACATGGTCTATTAATTAGAGAATATGTATACTTTTGCATCGTTAATTAGGGCATGCTTTTGGTGATGTGTTGATGCATGTGAACTAATTGGACATGTGATTTTTGACATTGTCTTTACTGATTTATTTTTGCTAATTCAGCTTAGTGGGCTTAACTTAGCACTTGGGCCTAGTTGATATTGGGTCCAGTTTGCAGATTGGTTCTTTTATTTCGTGTAAGTTAATTATTTGTGGAAATTACATTTACATCCCTAATGTATGCTAAAATAATTTTAAGCCTCCCCTAGTATTGGTAATTACAATTGCATCCTTGAAACAATTGCAGCAACCAAGATTCCATGTCCTGGGGACTGATGTGCACTATACCATATATATATATATGAGAATTTATAAATCTTATATAAAACAATAAGGATTTAAGAAATATTGCGAAACATGTCACCCTCTAGTTTTATGTTGTCTCCACTACTGTTCGAAATTAATAGTTCGGTTGAACCCCAATGAAATAACTTATCTAATGCAATTCTTCGTTAGGCTTTCTAACAATGTTTCAGGGGTGATTGTAATTACCTTAGAGTTATTTCTGCATATAGGGGTGCAAGTTGGAACGGATTTTTCAATTTTCACCGGTTCCGATCCGAAAAGTTCCGACTTTGGAACTTTTTTCATTCCAACTTCCGAAATTTCCATTTCCAAAATTTTTCGACTTTTTATGGATTGGAATTGGAATTATGTAAAATAAATTTAGAATTTCAGATTTCCCATCCGATTTAATTCCGAAAAAGAAAAATACACCTATAAATAGTATATATTATATAATACTTATTTTTCGAAAAATACGCCTATAAATTTTGTTTTAAGATTTTGACATAATGAATTGTTGTTAGAAGTTTTATTGGATATTATGCTGTGTTTATTTTTATTTATTTTTTGGAACTGAAATTTAGTAGTTATTAGTTTATTTTATCGACGTGGATGCTCTTATTTTCGAAAAATTACAAACATTTTAGGAAATTCCAGCTAAGTTATAAAATTTTAAAGCTTATGTGATTTTCGATTTTTTTCCGAAATTCCGAAATTTCTGGGCCTTTTGGAATTGGAATGAATTTTTAGATTCCGAAAATTTTGGAATTGGAATTGGAATTGATTTTGTACTTCCGATTTTTTCTGGAAATTTTCCAAAAAGGCTAATTTTCCCTCTCTGCATACTTCAGTGATGTAGGTGTAGTATACCATGATTATTCTGGTTCCTTCGACCCATCACCCGATGATAAACACCGGGTGGGTCTTCTGCTGCCATGTGCTCTTTTTTTTTTTATTTTTCTAAAACCCCTAGATGGAAATCTATTATAAAATACAAAAAAGAGACACGTAGCAGCAGAAGATTCACCCGGTGTTTATCACTGTGTGTAGGGTCGAACAAATCGATAATATTACACAATATAAAACAATTTTATTATTAAATGAACATGAACATGTCAGCAGACACTCCAAACACCAGAAGATAAATGTTTGTTAACTACGACTTTTAAAAAAAGTCGTTAGAAAAGGTACATTTTTACTACGCGGTAATCTAGTAGTTGTAGTAAGTGTTAGGATTTATCGTAGCAAAAAAATTATTTACCATGATATTTTACTGTAGTAAAGTTTTTGTCACGCCCGTGTCTGTTATAGACCAAATTCGTAGTATAAATTTTTTTACGAATTTGGTCTTTTCAATTACGTTTAATGTGTGTAGTAAAAAACTAATTTTCTATTATTGAAAACTCCTTGGCCTATTGTATACAGTTTAATGTGTGTAGTAAAAAACTAATTTTCTATTATTGAAAACTCCTTGGCCTATTGTATACGTTATTCCATATCTCCCATTATGGGGGTTAATTGCAAATACCACCCTATGTTATCTCTAATTGTCAAATACCTCTTTGTCAAAAAAAATTCACTAAAACCCTCTTGTGTTAACAAATTCGAAACTCACTGTACCTACTGTGCTTTTAGAAGTTGACTGTGAGTAAAATTACAAAAATACACTAAGGGTTTTTTCAGCAATTAGTAAAGTATATTTAATTTAGAAATATTTTATGTATTCAGCTTTTTAAACTTTGTAATTAATTTAATTTTACCAAATTTTATAACATAATTAATTTTAATTTTATATGCTTTTTTTTAGTCTGTGAATTAAAAGTTTTTATATGTTTTAATTTTAATTCTTTCATTTAAATTACATATAGACAAAAAAAATATATATAAATAAATAAAATAAAATAAAAAGAGGTCTTCTTCTCCCTCCCCAACCCCACCCCCACCCAGTTAAACACATCACCGACATTTCTCGAGCTCGCCGCCCAATCGCTGCCCCACCACCAACTTACCCCTCCTACACTACCACTTTCTTTCCAAATCCGCAACCCACAAACAATCAAAATTTCAAATTCGCGAAGTCCTCTCTCCCCAGTTTCACTCTTCTGGTGGCAGCCCCAATTTCAGCAACAAAGGCGGCGACGGTGGCGGCTAGCAGGAGAAGAATTTTTGTAACCATCTTCACCTAGACACAACTCTCTATGTCGCTAAAAATTGGTGGTTTCTGACTGCGGCGTTGTCGAGGAAGAGAAATTTGAAAAATGAGTGGGTGGTTGTGGTGCGAGACGTCGGCTGTGGCCGGCGGACCGAAACGAGGAGGAAGAAGACGACTCTTCTTTTCTTTTATTTTTTTTAAGTTATTTTGTAATTTTAGAAATTACAATTTGGTCCTCCTAATGTAGGTTATTCATAATTTAACCAATTATATTTTTTTTTAATTTATAAAAGGGGTAATTATGACATTTCACCGCGAAAATAACATAAAAAATCGCACAACCCGCGAGTGAGTGACACGATTTGCCTCCAGGGGTCTCGATGCCCTAACTTTGTTAACACATGGGGTTTTGGTGAATGTTTTTTTGATAGGGAGTATTTGACAATTAGAGATAACACAGGGATGGTATATGCAATTAACTCCCCATCATAGTATATTAATAATAATCAATTTATTTTTCCTTTCGGGGCCAAAGAGAATCAATTAAACATAAATCACTCTGACCCAAAATGAGTTGGTAATTTAGTCGAACGTGATTACAAATCTTAAAAATGAATTAATTATTATAATTATTACATAATTTGGAGCTTTTGATAAAAGAAATCGGATTTAATTATTATTATCATGAATTCTAATTATGTTAATTCTCTCTTAATTAATTAAAAAAGTAATAGGTTATCATTACAATTACCTTCCTTGGCCAGAAAAGAATATCTCGATCACCTCAATTCGTAATAAGCCATTATAGATATTATTTGATTGGCTGTATAAATTAAATAAATAAATTGACCGAAAAATAATTGTCCACATAACAAAAAAAAAAAAAAGTGAAACGACACGTGGCAGCTCACACCATCACCAGCCAAACTTCTCATTTGCTTATAAAAATAAAATAAAAAACCATTCACATGGTTTTGCTACAGAGCAATGCAGACAATGGCGAAACCCACCTTGCCGCTAATCTTCTCCCTCCTCCTCCTCCTGTTGAGCCGCCACTACTCCGCCGCGGACGGCGGCGGAGGAAGCCCGATAAAGACGGTGGTGGTGATGGTGATGGAGAACAGGTCATTCGACCACATGCTTGGTTGGATGAAGAAGCTCAACCCTGAAATCAATGGAGTTGATGGGTCCGAATATAACCGAATCAGCACAACCGACCCGAATTCACCTCGGGTCGTGTTCGGAGATAAATCGCACTTCGTCGACCCTGACCCGGGACACTCATTCCAGGCCATAAGGGAGCAGATATTCGGGTCGAACGTCACCTCCTCCGACAGGCCGCCGCCGATGAACGGCTTTGCTCAACAAGCTTTTTCTATGGACCCGAATATGACTCAGAGTGTTATGAACGGGTTTCATCCCGATAAGGTTTCTCTCTCTTCTTTCTCTCTCATCTTCCTTTCTCTCTCTTCATTTCAACAAGGTTTCTCTCTCTTCTTTCTTCTCTCTCTCTCTTCATTTTTCAACAGTGTATATGAGTGGAAAACAGCTAGCTTGGCGCCTGATTTTCTTTTTGTTGTTATTAGCAAATTTGGCTTATCCTTTTTGTTTGATTATAAAAAATGAATCAAATAAGCATATTTTTTTTTAAGAATAATTTTTTTTTATTTCTGTCTTTATTATTACTTGCAGGTTGCGGTGTACAAATCCTTAGTGTCGGAATTCGCCGTGTTCGACCGGTGGTTCGCGTCGGTGCCGGCATCCACGCAGCCAAACCGTCTCTACGTTCACTCCGGCACCTCTCACGGCGCCACCTCCAATATAGCAGCGCTGCTCGCCAAGGGCTACCCGCAGCGCACAATCTTCGAGGATCTGGACGACGCCGGAGTATCTTTCAGAATATACTTCCAGAATATTCCGGCCACCTTCTTCTACAGAAACCTCAGGAAGGTCAAGTACCTCCTGAAATTCCGGCCCTACGCATTGTCCTTCAAGAGCGACGCCAAGAAGGGCAAGCTCCCGGGCTACGCTGTGGTGGAGCAGCGGTACATGGACTCTAAGGTGGAACCCGCAAACGACGACCACCCGTCGCACGATGTTTACCAAGGGCAGATGTTTGTGAAGGAGGTGTACGAGACTCTGAGGGCTAGCCCGCAGTGGAACGAGACCCTCCTATTGATCACGTACGACGAGCACGGTGGTTTTTACGATCACGTCCCGACCCCGAATGCCGGAGTGCCGAGCCCGGATGACATTGTGGGGCCCGACCCGTTTTTCTTCAAGTTCGATAGATTGGGTGTGAGGGTTCCCACTATTGCTATCTCTCCTTGGATTCAGAAAGGCACCGGTAAGAAAACAGTTAAACATTCTTGATACAGTTAAATTGGTCCTTAATTTGTTCTTAATAGAATTTGCTTAAACTAATTTGAGAAAATGATGGACTTTGATCACGAAAACGAAAAAAAATGTCGTGTCTTTTACTGCAAATAGAAAAAAATGTTACGGATTTTTCTCGTTTTTTTTACGGTGCTTTTGTCGTGGCCGCCGTCATCTTCGCACCGCCCCGCTCTAAATAGGGTGGTTGGGGTTTGAAAATGAGAGGCACATGTTCATAATTCTTTATGCTTTTCTATCATGGGAAGTGGTCCTAAAAAAATACAGAGGAATGACATAGACAAAGCTACACAAGAACAGAAAATCTTAGTCATTAATTACAGTCAATCATGGCATTGTCAGCATGTGTGTGTATTCATTCTGAAATTGAGAAGAAATTATTATTATTATTATTTTAATTTGAAAAATCTGCAGTTGTTCATGGCCCTAACGGCTCGCCTACTCCGACATCGGAATACGAGCATTCTTCGGTTCCGGCGACAGTGAGGAAAATATTTAACCTCTCATCGCCTCCTCTTACAAAGAGGGAAGCATGGGCAGGCACTTTTGAGGGCATTTTTGGAAAACTCAAGCAGCCAAGAACCGATTGCCCCGGTTAGTCGAATATGTTTAATCACCTTAATAATAGTTTAAATTTTATTTTTTTTCTCTAATTTACGTTGTTTGTTAAACAGAGCAACTTCCGAATCCGGTGAGAATCAGGGAGACGGAAGCGAATGAAGAAGCACAAGTGACGGAATTCCAACAAGAGCTGCTGCAACTTGCAGCGGTTTTGAAAGGCGAAGATGTATTGACGAGTAATCTTGCCAAGTTTGGCAAGGATATGACTGTGAGAGAAGGGAAAGAATACATGGAGAGCGCTGTCAGAAGCTTCTTCGAAGCGGGTTTAGCTGCTAAAAAGATGGGTATTGACGGCGAACAAATCGTCAAAATGCGACCCTCTCTCTCCACAAGAACTTAGAGAGAGAAATAAAGTATATGTAAAGAAAGTACAAGATTTGTTATTGCTATGAAATATTTGTATGAATTGAGTTGATAATAAGTGAAATCGATGAATCGAACCATTTCAATTTTTCGGACCTCCTTTGGGTTTTAGCAATTAGCAATAATCGAGCCAAAAAACGAGCATCTTTGGACAAAAAGAATGTCACTAAACATTGTACCGATATATGTTAGAGAGGCGTGAAAAAAACGATCGACTTGTTTACAAAAAGCCATATCTTCTTCTATTTGTGTATATGTTACCCCGTACTTCCATATTCATGTATTTAACAATTATCAAAACCGCAAAAACGAACCAAAAAAAGAAAAAAGTTTGCGGAAAATCGGACCTTCAAAAGCTCCTAAATTATCCAAAACAGAGAAGCATAAAATCCCGACCGGTGTTCTATGGTGTCTCCCAATCGGGGAGGTTTGCACTTGCCTCGTTGACCGCCATCACAAGCCTTATCTGTATTCAAAATTTCAATACGGTTACATAAACTAAAAATATTTGCTTTATGTTAAGAAAATCATCAACTTTGAGCAAACAATAAAAAAAAAATGACGGTAATAAGAAAACATACCACGCTTTCGGGAACGCCAGGTGGTGGTAGCGAAATATTTTTCGGGGGTGGCCCACGAAGGTGAGATCTCTTGTCGAATCTCCATTCTCCGATCTTACCATAAGTTAATTCTCCCTGCACACCACAATCTTTATTTAGAGAATCGAAGAGTTGGTAGTAAACTAAATTCAAGAATTAGTGGAAATTGGTTCTTACCTTCATGTTGTAATCGCATCCGTACGTGTAATGAATGATGAACTTCTTGCCAATGTCCAAGTCCCATGGAGGCTAAAAAGATCATAGATTTTCGTTAAATTGGTGATCAAGATGAAATAATAAGAAAGTCGAGGGGCAGAACTGTAATTTTGCAGACCTGTAGCATGAAGTCCTTGCGGAGAATATGCCGTACACCATGTAAAGCAGAAGCAACTGCGTATCCGTACCTATCATACCGAACATATGATAGCTGATTCAATATAAAATATTCGACAAACGAAAAACAACATAAAACACATGACTTAAATTAAAATATAGTACGATACGTACATTTCTAGAACCCAACCGAAAGCCTTATCGGTCTCTGGATCGTCTTTCATCCGCAAGGACACATTCATCCATGTCGGCGCAATTTTCTCCAAAATCGACTGCACCGATGTAAAAATAAAAATGCATGTTATTAAGATAGCTAGTATATTCTTGAAACAGAAAATAAAAATAAAAATAAAATTCATTTTTTTATACCTTCTTGATAATTACAGGAGAATTGCCGATTGGATCGACATTGGTGACCGGACCTTTCTCCTCGGGATAATATTTTCTAATAATTTTCTCGTGATCGGATGGTTTTATGTAGAAAAACGGGAATGCAGCTGGGTGGTCTCCATGGGCCAAATTTGGCAACGGGTTAACAAATACATGATCGGGTTCTGCCATTAGAATGTAGCTGCATTGGCAATAGCATTTAGATTAATATATAATTATAGAGAAAAAAAAAACACCGAGGCTCGAGCGGGAGAAACGTACTCTTCCTCAATCGTGGCTTTCTCGAGCCACTGAACAAATGCCCACGGTCGATTTAACACAATGTAACCCTGTTTCCACCGTAAAAACATAGAGCACCAAGTAAGTAAAAAGCTTTTACCTTGAGTAAAAAATCGAGGTTTAAAAATCTAATCTTTCTGCAAGTTTGACCTATTTTCGAGCTAAACATTCGAGAATGACGAAATCACGAAAAAATGTACAAACACATTAAGCACTAAATTTATAGCACATCAATCTGGTCCAAAGTTCTCCATTTTCCAGCTTAAACATTCAAGAAAGATGGCGAAGAAATCACGAGAAAACGGACAACAATTTCAAGCACTAAAATCTAGAGCACATCAATCAGGAAGACAATTTGCAAACTAACGGATATTAACAATGCTCACCCGATCGAGCCCTTCGGGAAGAGGGTCAGTAACAACGGTAGGGATCTCATCCATCAAATTATCAGGACTTCCCGAGTGGAGAACACGGGTGAACCCTCCCATATCTGATCCAGGCTCGTCTTTCATTTTCTTGTACCAATAGTACATAACACGGCACTGCCATTTGCTATACGGCGCATCGGTGGCTGTTAGTGCAACATGGAACTTCGGTGCACCGCCACCCGCCAGATCGCCGGGCCTACTTATAATAGGATCGGTCAACTCCCCCGTGGCACTTTTACTCGCCTTGTGCATCACCAGAATCAACAAATTATATGTGCCTAAGAAGAAACCGAAAGACAGTAAAATTAACAGAAACGGGGACGCACGCCCCGCATTCTTCCTAGGAACCATTTATACTCGATTTTGATTTTTCAGGTCAACCCGAATCGGAATTGCTCGAAAAGTCAATACCCCCTCCCTCCCTCTGATTCAACCGGTGCAGAAATCCAGTTTTCAGCATAAAGATTGCATCTTTACCACAAATATCCAGTGATCACTGCAAGAAATTAGAAGGGATGAATTCTTTAATCTTTTCTCCTCTTAAAATTACCATTAAATTAAAAAAAAAAATTAAAAAATTATAAAAAAATAAAGCAGTTTCAGCTCCACAGAAAAAACGGTTACTTAACACATAGCCCAGACAACAATTTTGACCCGACAACAAATTACAAGACAAAGGGTTCCAGAATTTCACTTAATCAAACGGCGTAATCAAACAAACATGCCCAGAATTAAATAAAAATTTAAATTAAATAAATAAATTGCAGGAATATATACAGAAAATAGTGAAAATAATGAATCGAGCAAAGAGCAGATCCAGTAGAATTTACCAGCGGAGAAGAAGACGTGACGGAATCAGAACATACGAAACTGTACAGCCATTGATGAAAGCTTGAATGTCAATTTGTCAACGATTTTATACGCGGAGATCCATGGACTAATTTTTTTTATTAATTTTTTTTTTTATTTTAATTACCAAAAATTATTATAATTATCTCTCTCCTTGTAAATAAAAAAAAAAGACTTAAGAAGTTTTCATTAAATACGAAAAATCTGATTTCATCAATGGTAGAAATATTAAAAAATGGAAAAATATAAATTGATAAAAGATTTTATTTCTACGCCTACACCTGTGATCTAGAAAATAATACTACTAATGCCCCTGCCAACCCTTTGTTTCCTTTATTTTCGTCCCTAATTAGTAATTATTGTTGTAATTAAGGATAATATCACAATTAAGACAGCGGTTATAAATAATAATATTACAAAAAGTCGTAGTCAACTTACTATTAAGTTTTTGAGGAGCATGTAGCAAAATACCATAATACCCTTTTAAGTTCCATTAAAATACAATATGTATAATATAACTAAAATGATATTCCCAATCCTCTTTATTAATTATTTCTTTCATTTTTTTAAAATTAATGTTTGAAATATTAATTTAAAACAAAAAAAAAAATTCTCCAAACCGGTGAGAAAGTAAGTTTGTGTCAATTGACCCGAATTCGAATCATCTTCCAACGGTCGTTAGGTTAAGCTTGTCACACGTGGTTAGCCTAATGTGAATTACGTCTCTCATATGATTTGTAAATCATATTATACGATAATATCTGTTTAATCAGTGCACCTATATAGTTGGTTGCGGCGTTGCGCGTTCCTTCGTTAAAATATATATATAATTCATTTTTTTTTGGTAAAAAATAAATAATTCATTTACTTGTCTTGTACAACTAAAACATGCAAAGTAGAATTCATTTTTTTTTTTGATAAAAAATAAATAATTCATTTACTTGTCTTGTACAACTAAAACATGCAAAGTAGTGATAGTCTCAATCGAACATTCCCATAACATGTAAACCACCTCACAGCATATTGCATCACCTCAAAGCATATTGCATCATAAAATAAAATAAAAAAATAATAAAAAATAAAATAAAAAATCATTAATAGAAACAAACTAATGCCAGAAAGAACAAAGTACACCACTGGATATTTCAACATCTTTTCTTGTTAGAGATGTTTATGAACTTAATTAAAAAAAATTAATAATAAATAAAAATACTTAAAAACACTAAATGGTGATAATAATGAAGCATTTTTCCTGCTAGAAAAAAGCCCTACTACCATAAAAAACCCTGGAATTATCCTTACTCTTTTTTTCAATCTCCATTTTCTTGTCATCATTCTGAATTGCCTCTTCATCATCATCACAACTTCGAGTCGGCTTATCCAAATCCATGGGGAGCTTCATTTTCGCCAGAGACTCCGTAAACTGTTGCATGCTCCTCATGTACATATCAACTATCTGTTTCTGCATAACCGATTCGTCGTCCCTTATTTTATTGGCCTCCGATAGATCAGCCTCGTTTTCCTCCTTCGAGAAAGTAGGAGTTTCTACAACAATCGAATTAGTGCCGTTCGAAAAATCCGTAAAGATACCGCTCTTCTTCTCCGATGAATCAGCAGAATTCCGATCGTCGCTCATACTTGTTATAGTGGAGCTCATAAAACCCGAGTTTTGAACACTTCCATCGGGTGATGAATCCATTTCACAGTCCTCGGTGGCGGGCCCCACAGGCGCCGCCCCGAGGCTGAGAAACGAGCCGTCGGGCTTCTCCAGCCAAGGCCTCAAAAGGGTCCCACCGTTTTCTGCAAAAAACTTCGAAACCATCTCCTGGTTTTCTCGAGCCACGTTTATATCCGGAAATTCAACCCTACTGCAATACTCTTCCGAACTCTCTTTATCGTTATCGAATAAAAGCTCGGATGTCGCAGACGAATCCACGTCAGCGAAAGAAAGCGACAAATTAACTGGATTTTTTTTCGCATTTAAAGAAAGCGAGAGCTTGATCGTACCAGCTGGAGAGTGGAACAAATCGGTTGACGAAAGATCGAAATCTTGGGTGACTTTTTCTTTACCGATAAGCGAAGAAATCGGGACCAAGGCAAATCCGAGAAGCTGGTCGTCCATGTAGTTCTTGACTCTGCTCATCATCCATATCTCACACTTCAGAACTGCGTCGACTGTGTTGATTTTCATGATCAGGTGTTCGTTGAATTGGGGGTTTTTGCCCCCGCCTCGGACGGTTCTGGTGGTAAGGGTTTCGTCGGGGTTGTATGTGAGGGAGAATTTGGCGTATACGTCTTGGTTTTCGTAGATGCATATGTTGTGGATGTTTCTGGCGTGGTGGACGTGGATTTGGAGGGTGCCTGAGAACGCGTCTTCTTCTTCGGATTCTTGATTTGAGTTTGGGTTGTAGATGAATTGAGATGGATTTGTGAAGGAATCCATGTTTTTGAATATCCAGATCAAGAACAGAGTAAAACAGGGTTCTTGATTTTCTGCAGACAAAGACTTGGCAAAAATTCTGAGATACTTGGGCCAAAATCAACATGTGAACATGACTTTGAAGGAAAACTACATGAGTGTGTGTGTGTGTGTGTGTGTGTGAGAGAGAGAGAGAGAGAGAGAGAGAGAGAGAGAGAGAGAGAGAGAGAGAGAGAGAGAGAGAGAGAGAGAGAGAGAGAGAGAGAGAGAGAGAGAGCAGTAGGTGAGAAAAGAATGGAAAAATTAAAGAGAATGATGATGATGAGAGACAGTTAATGGTTTTGGTAGTGATGGGGATTGTTTTTTGCTTTGCTTGACAATGCAGCCTAATTCCACTTTCCTGCTATGAAAAATTGCTCCACTAAAAGAAAATGGAGGCCCCCATCTTTCATTATCTTCATCACCACACCTTTCTCTCTCTCTCTCTCTCTCTCTCTCTCCAAAACTTTCAAGCCTTTCTCTCTCATCTGTCCCCACTAAACCAACAAAAAACACTGTCAATCAAACATGCACAAAGTCGGACTTTACACAATGCACTTCGAATGACTGCGAGTTTTCTCGTCAATTAAAAAATAGAAAAAATATGGTCAAAATCGCTTATTATAGAACGCATGCTTCATGTGATCACAATATCAAAGCCAAGAAATGCAACAAAAGCATGTCTCCAACTCCTGAGTTGAAAATAATAAATATTCTAACCATAAAAAATCCAACACCAAATCAATATAGTACGAGCATCACAAGCTAATCCCTCAAGACGAAATCTAAAGTTAGAACTAGTTTACAATGCGTTGAAGTCTCTGTGAAGTTTCCCGTACACGCTGCAATTCTCTACAGTTAGATCTAATCCAAACCTAACCTCGTCAAATGTTGCTGATGCTTTGCCAAATCAGCAGCCTCGCGTTTCAAAGCCCTTTTTGCCCGCCGACCAACTGGTTCTTTATCGGGAGTTTCTTTCTCTTTCTTCTTAGGCTGACGAGATGGTCCCACACCTGAATCTTGGACATGGGGGCGATGAGCTGGTCTTGCTTCTTGTCTACCCGTCCTAACGTAACCATTGTCTCCCCATCTTCGATTACCTATGCGAACACTCGATGAATTATTGAAATAAAATCCGTTTAGATCTTCTTCTTCATCGTCGTAATAATAGGCTTCTACTTTATCCACCACCTCCTTTTCCACTTCAACAATTGGGTTGAACCATGAAGCTCTTAGCAGAAGGCAGACACTCTCCTCGAACATATAATCGTGAATGCTGTTCGAATAGCAACATTATTGTGAATAATTGAAAGCAAATACTTTTCATAATCCTATATACGATTAATAAACATCTCTGCAGGAAAAAAAAAAGTAAAAAAGAAAATAGAAGAGCAAGATACCTTCCATCAAGTGAACGGTGAATATTAAGGAAGCTGAATGGAATTTTACACTGAGGGCATGTTGGTTCTTTCTTGCAAGATGCCCATCGCAAGATGCAAGTCACACTGAACAAAACATAAGTGAATTTATTAGTTAGTAATAAATACTATTGGCATGAAATCTATTGCCAAAAAGAAACTTCAAAACTAGCTGTTCACTTGCAAAAGCAAGAAATCTGCTAATGACATCTATAAATTCAGTCCAATAGTTGATTTCATATAAAATATTTGACCCTTAAAACAAACCGAGAAGTTGATCATCTTCGTATATCTGAAAATTCTGAACTGTACCAATGTTTTTACTTGAATATTACTCTCACTGCAAGCCTTACGTTCCCATAAAAGGCAAAAACTACAGCAGATATTCAAAACTAAAGGGCTTTCCACTGATTACACGAATCCGACATTCCTTTTCTCCTTTCATTTGTTAATATCTCGAAACCCAAACTCTTGCTCAGATTGAATTTCACCATCTTTATTCTTAATATATGGAGCTTGAAGAAGTATAAACAGAGCCAGTTTTCAAATAATCAAACAATCCGAAATAGAACTCGAAAGACGGTTGACTCAAAACGCAAATGCAATGTGAGCAATGACCCAGTCTATCTTATCCCCAAGTACGAAGGACGACGGAAAAAACAGTTACTCATAGAACTTCATTATTAATCTCACAAGCAGCACCAGTAAATTAAATAGAGAATTCAGACAAACCAGTAGGCATGCTCGCAACCTTTTACAAGAGCAGTTTCTTGAAGCACAATCGTATTCCAACATATCGCACAAAACCCGTGATGGTTATTGATATTCACATTGTTAATGCCACACCCCCCTTGTTGGTTAATCTCGTGCACCGACAATGAACAGTTCTTCGCTTCCGTTTCGGTCTGAAATTCACAGATTCAATTCAGTCTACTGACTCACAAAAGCATGCAAATAAAGATCAATTATTACAATCAAAACACACCTAAAAAAATCTGGAAAAAATTAATTAAGCATTTAAAAACCTGTTCTTTTCCGAATCAATCATATAATGAAAAATAGATGAATTGCGATGATAAATATGTTCTCTTTTTCCGAATTCTCCTGGAACAATTGAACAAATAAATGGTAAGAAGAAAAGTGTTGAGAAGTGCAAAAACCTGGGTTTCGATTGCGGGGTCGTGGAAACCCTCAACGAGCTGCGGAGAAACGATTTCAAGTGTTGCAGACATGGCGATTTCTCCTTGTATTCTGTACAGCAAACAACTAATCCCTAAAACACTATATAATTACAGATATCCCTAATTATTATACAGATTGAAAAACAAAATTGAGGAGAAAAAAAACAGAGAAAAAGAGGATTATTCCGATTCCAGAGAGGGAGGTGCGGAGGGGTGGTGTGGGGTCAGAGAGGCGGAAAACGGAAGAGAATGGCGGCGATGCGGGTGGGTGGGGTAAATGTAATTTTGTGTTTCTGAGATTGTACCTTTGCCTGTATATGTTGTACCCTTTGGGCTTTCTTGTTTGCTCTCTGTTTTTTAGGGTAAAATAAAATAAAAAAAGGTCATGAAAGTAAATGAATATTTACTATTAAATCAAAAATTAACACGTGACTAAATATAAATAAAATATGCTTGTTATAAAATTAAATTAATGCATTTTCGTTTTCGATATTTATCATTTTTCACCTATTTTGACTAAATTAATTTCTTACCCCCAAACGAAATCGGGTTTTTTTTTTCCTACTACTTTGCATTGCAAATTGCCTTTGGGTCTTACTATTTCTATGACTTTTATATGATCAAATATTTTCTTTCACAATGAATAATATTTCATGCATCGCACGACTAATGTTACACTTAATAAACCAGGCCTATTAAGATATCCAATAAAAACCTATAAAATAATTTGGGCCACGAAATTAAAATGCACATCGCTTTGGCCGTTTCTAAGCCCAATTTATTTGTAATTTTTCTATAGTTATTTCTTTTTTCTGTAGGTAAAATATATATGACGTGGTTTGCAAAATATTTGTGCTCCATGATAAATTAATTGCAAATAAAATAAAATAAAATATTAGTATTTAGTCTTGACTAGTGATATATCAAGATGAATCAAATCTATCAAACGATCTTTTGAATCATCGTCTCATCTAAGTTAAGAAAAAAAAATAAACCAAGGATTTTACATTCTTCAGCACACACAATCGTCCACATTCAATTGTGACTCCCCGCTGAAACTTGAATTCTAAAATTCAATTGCGACTCCCCGTTGAAAACACGAACTCTAACATATATGTACGAATTCTAACATATATATATATATATATATATATATACACAGTGCATTCAACACACACAAACACACGCAATATTAGTTTGAGATTCACCATATCTAAAATACTCAGCACGTGAACAATTACTGTTCAACAAAGACTAACAAAAACAAAGACCCTAAAATTCCGATTATTGGACATCTAAATGCAGACAGCACAGCCAAAAAAGTCAATTTTACCAATTAAAAAAATAAATAAAAATAAAATAAAAATTCTTTGTCAGAATTAAATATAGAAAACCACTATTATTGAACCCACATGACCAAAGGAATTATGCACAGAAATCTTTACATGTGAAAATAAACAGTAGTACTACAGAGACGTAATTGATTTGTAATTATCCACATCAAGAAATCAATTACTAATAATTAATATATTAAAAAAGCTTAAAGTCAATAGCTAGTGAATATAATAAACACATTCACAACTAGAGCATTTGTTACGCAATTTAATTATATTCAAATTAAACATTCATATTTCACAATTATAAATAAATAAATAAATAAAAATTAACACAGGAAGATAGCCATAAGTGTGATCATAATGAAACCATCAATTAGCACTATAAAGAGAGCCTGATTTAGTTCATTCACCATGTATGTTGCTGTAGTTATACTTATACATGCCGTAAAATACACCGAGTAATTTAAATTTTCATTTTTCATTTATATATATATATATATATCCTTGTACTATAGAACAAACGTGAATGCAAAAATAACGAAACAATAAGAGCCACATGAGATAATAGCAACACCCAATGAAAATAATCGGGTAATCTTGCACCATATATCTATATATAAATAACTATCTACTAAGCATATATACACACGCATATGTGTGAAGGTTATTATGTGTGAATCGTTAATATGTGTGAATAAGTTGTGCAACATCGCTCCATGTATTTCACCGACAGCCAATCAAATTAAATTGCAACATATGAGGTTTGAATTCAATTAAAATAACATTGAACACTCTATAGAAAAATATAGTTATCAATGTCATAAATATGGAGCAACAAATTTCTCAAAATACTTGACTTATTGTGCACACTTTCTCCCATGATACTTGCAAATATATATGTACATATATATATATATATATATATATATATATATATATATATATAAGAATATATACTTATATATGTGACACAAAATTGACATAATTATCAAAAAAAAAAAAAGACACAAAATTGACATATACACAATATATGTAAAAAATTAAATTAGTGTCAGAAATTAAGGATAGAAATCATATATATATTTTTCAGACAGATGATTGATGATGATGATTCATGATCCATTACTGTAAACAGTAAACTGTAAACTACACATTTATGGTTATGGAGGTAAGGGCATTTATGGCATTAAGGACACCTAGAGCCAAGAGCTGATCATAAATCACCAAATCAAATTAAAGAGAATTTCAATTAATTTGGTTACCATAACTGGATCCTCCGAGCAACGCGCCGCCCGATGCAGCGAACATATTGGTGGTTGCTGCATCGAGAAATGTGTGCTGCGATGATGATGCGCCCGCGTTTCTTCCGCCTCCGCTGCCGCCCAAATGAAGCTCGGACATATTTGGAAACCCTCCTTCCGATCTTCCTTCGGAGTTCGACGAGCCTTGATCGTATAGAAACCCTTTGAAAACATGGCCGCCGATTCTCACAACCGCCTGATATGCGTACTCGTCTTCTCCGTCGTCGACGGCGGTCACTCTTACGCACTTGAATACTGCAGGCGCGTGGACTTGCCCGGGCAATGATTCTTTAAAACTTGCATCTATAGTAAAACATCGATAAATTGATAAACTCGCTTAAATAATAATTTATTGATCTTGTGGTAAAAACTCACCAAATTAATTATTAGTTTGATAATTTAATTTTTAACTAGATTAATTAATAGTATTCTGCTAGTATGACTATATCAATTTATAGAGGTTGCAGTGTATATATATATATATATATATATATATATATATATATATATATATATATATATATATATATATATATATATATATATATATATTTTCTCTCACATATAAATTAATAAAACTTGTGAAATTTATTTAAGAAGATATATTTATATATATATATATATATATATATTTTTTCTCATATATATATTAATAAAACTTTAGAAAATTAATTAAGAAGATATATTTATATATATATACATACATATACCTTGATGGTGGCTAGAGGTGGTGTCGAAGCTTCTTGGCGGGGTGTTGTTAGAGTTGGAAGTGTGGGAAGTGGTTTGAGACGCGCCGCCGAGTCTAGGTTTCTTGGCGCTGGAAGTGGACTGTGAGGAACCCGCCGTGGCTGTATTTGCACCTCCGATGACCTGCCGTTCGCGGCGGCGGGCAGCCGGAACCCAAGTGCTTTTGAGGTGCGTGGTACAATCGTAACCTCGGCTCTTACAGCAAGTCCTGCATCTCCGGTGCGGACAATCTTTCTTGGCTTGGTTTCCACAGTCATGGCAAGAGGTTGTTGTTCCTCCGCCGCCGCCCATGGATGAAGAAGAACCTCCGATATTGCCACCACCGCCTCCTCCGTGATGGAGGAGGTTCGAATGATCGATGTTAATCGTGGGTTTCTTGAAATACGCCGGAGAATTCTGCTGCCCCAGCTGGTGCTGCCACAGCTGCATGCCGCCGCGGTTGCGCGAGTTGTTATTCAACGCGTCTTGATCGTCTGCTGCGGCTGAGCCCCCACCGCCAGCACCGCCGCCGAGAGAAGGGGTGGATGTGAGGAGAGGAATCACACCGAGTGAATGAGGGTCGAAGTTTATCGTTGTCCCACCGGCAGCGCCGGTCTCCTGGTGGTGGTGCTGGAAAGATGAAGCCGGCGCTACAAAGTAAAACTCCGGCGGCAGGCCGCAGCTGATGTGTCTGGTGGCTGTGGCCGTGGTGGAGGACCACATCCCCCCACCAACAGCAGCGCTGTTGCTGCCACCGGCTGCGGCGGCGGCGGGGCCGGCATTGAAGCCTAACGAGAGGTCCCCGGCAGAGGAGGAGGACGACGCCACCCAATCAGCAAAGGCGCTAGTAGCCACAACTGCAGATTTCTTCTTCTTCCTTTATCTCTCTTTAATTTCACCGTACCCCCCAAAACCAGAACTCAATTAAATTAAAGATATATAGATACAAATTTCACGTACGTATCTATCAAGGAAAAAAAGTTGAAATCTACATACAGTAGTAGTATTATATGAAGAACAAAGAAATAAAGATAGGGTCTTTCTTCTTTTCTGCTGATGATCTTCTACAAACTGCTACTCTCTCTCTTGTGAACAGTAGAGAGAAAGAGCTAGAGAGAGAGAGAGAGAGAGTATGTGTAAGAAAACACAATTTAGGAGACACCCACACACAGATTACACACACCCAAAAAACACACTACACACACAGTACTGTCCTAATTGAGTGTGATGTGGTTGTGTCAATGCTTCTTTCTCCATCAACAAGATTCAATAACCCTTTTCTTTTGAGATATATATATATATATGTGTGTGTGTGTTTGTATCTATATATATATAATCTGAAATCTATACTCAGAAAACAATGAGGTGGGTTCGCCACAACCTCTCGCAAAGATTATGGTTTGTGATTATTGGAGATCGAGAGAGAGAGGAGAATAGGTATAGAAAGCAAAAGTAGTACTTATGAATGTGTGTTAGTGAGAGAGAGAGAGAGAGAGAGAGAGAGAGGAGAGACAGAGAGTGAGTTTTGTTTTGTATTGTAGGGTTTGTAGTGTTTTGGAAGCCCTAAAAGTCACATGCCAACCTCTTTTTCATTTTTTTTTATACCAATATTATCTTTTTTTCAAATATAGAGAAATAATTAAAGACATTGGGAAGCATATGGAATATTGAAAAGGCAAGCATTGTTTTAATTTAAAATATAAGAGATGTTATAATAATTGTATTTGATAATTATAATTTATTTATTGATGGAACTCTTTGTCGAGATTCTGAATATTTTTTCGAAGTTTCACAAAATTACGAATGTTTCATTGTTTCTTCTACTTGAATTTATTCGGTCCGTAGCTCTAGTCAACTTATGGTCTCGACATAGAAGCATAATACACGTGAAAATGAGTTATAACTAAGTTAATGTTCGAAGCAAATAATCAAGATTCATGATTTGGATTATTAAAAGATCGGTTTGATATAATTCTAGAAAATGTGTAACTTGGTTCACATATGATTCGTTATCAACAAACTTAGCTTAAATTACTAGTCGAGTATGTGTTCAAACTTTGTTCGTTATAGTAACACAACTCGAAATGAAATGAACTTTTAATCAATGACCTCAAATCGAGTGTCAAATATCGAGCAAATTTAAACTCTATCAACACATAACTTTTTGCACAAATTAACTATGACAATTGTTTACTTTATACATGTTAAATTCGGGATTCCACAAAACATAATTATAGAACTGAAATAAATGGAAAAAACTAAATCAAAATCTGCAAATAACAGAAAAAAAAATAATGCCACCTAGAATCAGATGGTGATTACAGATAGTGGAGACAACCTTAATTTGATAATCATATATTTAATCCTAGTCTAAAAGGATAGATTATACCTATGATTATGCTCTAATTCGTAGGCATATTCCCAATTATTTTCAGTGCCTGTCTATATATAAAATAAAATACTCGATTTCTATTCTCATCAACTTTTTTTATCTCCACTAGAATTAAATTAGTAATTTCAATATTCTATAATGAAACAATTCGTACCAAACTGTATAAGTGTACTCATTTAACCTCGCGAAAAAGCTTTTAAAACAAACGAGAGAAGTAAATTATACAAGACATAAGTCATGTATATTACGAGCTTGATCTATCAAAAGTTTGGCAAAGAGAATTGAACTCGGGTCGTTTGACTTCGCATTTTCTTATTGCACTAATACGTCACTCCTATAAAACGTGCTTCTAGTGTATGAATTATAATTTACCATTTTGTAAGAAATGATTATATTTAATATTATGTTAGGAATTATATTAAATTAGTTTTGGGCGAATTTTTTAATGCTCTTTTTTCGGACTTGCGAAGCCGAAATATGAGTTTTGGAATTGCGATCGTCTATGACAATAACGTCCAAAAAAACTCAAATATATAGAAATCGTCATATTTTCGAATTTGAAAGTATTTTGAAAAAAATAAATTTAAGACATGTTAAAAAATAGTATGCAACAAAATTGCATTGAAAAAACCCCTAAAGTATTGGCACTGGAAATGAAATTAATAAAATTCATTTTATTAATTATATTCTTAAACTACAAGCCTGAAACACGTTTTTTGAATCGTGATCGTCCATGTTAGTAATTCTTGTTTTGTTTGAAATATTATTAAAAAGAAATCGTGATATAGAAATTGTTGTTAGATTTTCGAATTTGAAAAAGTATTTATAAATTTTTTAGAGAATTTTAAAATTATTAACAAATATTTATCTGAAAATGAAATATACAGAATTATGTGGGGTGGAAATGCAATTAAGGGACAAGTGTCCCTTCCCCAAGTCATCCATTCCATGTCCTCAAATTATTGGAGCTGGGGCCCACGTGTTATCACATATTTTGGTGTTTTTAACTTTGTATGATGTTCTAGTTCGAATTGATTTTTCAGAAATTAAAATCAATTGAAAATTCGAGTCTAGTATAAATTTCAATTTCAACTTGACAAATTTTCAAAATTTGAAAATCGGAATCTTTTAAAATTTGAACCGAAATTCATTGTTGCGAAATTTAAAAAAATGCCGAGCCCCTTACAGTGTAATTGTTTACGTAATCTTTTGATTCTACGAAATATTCCCTGAAAATTGTCGACATAACCTTATAAATGTCGATATATTGTTGTTAAAAAAAATTCCTATATAAGCTAAAATTGTTTATATTAGCAACTGAAGAAGTTTACTGACATTGCAATGCGATTTTGAAAAAAATAAAATTATTGTAGAAGGTATAACAAAGTCACCTTATATTTAAGAGATTGCTATTAGAGGTAGAATATATTTTTTTGGCAAATATTTTCTTAAAACAAAAAGACAACGTGAAAAATTACAATACTGTAAGGGGTTGGTGTAAGAAATAAACAAACATTGGGGGAATCTTGATAATAACAGATAGATTAGGGGTCCTTTCATAATTTATCCCAACTTTAAGGGCTTTCCGTAATTTAGCCCTTTATTTATGGAACAACTTTTTAAAGTTTGTCTAGAGTTAAAAAAAAAAAAAAAAATTAAAAATGAATATTGTAATGATATATCGAAAAAAGAAAGCGGCGGTCTGAGGGAAAGAAATGAAAGGACTTTTCTGTCTAATCTCCTACATGCACCGTCCCACACACGCACGCCACCGCTGTCGTTTAGTCATTGTCCCTCCCACTAAACTCACGCGCCGTCACATCCACGTATATATCACTTGGGATATTTGTTTTCTTCAAAAAATTATTATTTTCTCTAAATACGTTTTGATTAGCCCAAAAAAATTATAAGCCCAAAAGATAAACACCAAACTTAACTAATAAGCCCATTTAAATTTTCGAGGCAATTTATTAACTTTCGTGAGTATATTATTCGAGTAAACTGCAAAAACTACCCCGGTATAATCTCGAAATAGCAAAAACCCCCCTGTGATAAATAAACTAGCAAAAACCTCCCCTGTGAAATTATTTAAATAGCAAAAACCCCCCTATGGAACTATTTGAGGGTTGACTTGATATAAAAAGACACAAAAACCCCTGGAGTCTTGCAATTAATGAATTCTTATATTTTATAAATATTTTAATTATTTTATTTAAAAAATAATCAATTTAGTTGTTTACTATTTTTTTTTATTTCTAAACAAACAAATTAAAAAGAATAAATATACATATAATATGTATATATATAAATACATTTTGAGGGACAATTTTATCATTTCAAGTCTAAAAAATCAGCTAGGGGGATTCTGCCTTTGACTAAATTTGACAGGGGGGTTTTTGCTAGTTTATTTATCACAGGGGGGTTTTCGCTATTTCGAGATAACACAGGTGTAGTTTTTGCAGTTTACTCTATATTATTCATCTTAATTCTAGTGCATCTATGTATGCCCTTAAAAAACAATAGATCAACACCTAAGGACTAGTGTACAATTATTAGCTTTGATTTGCTATCCTTAACTTAATCATTTTTATTTGATCATATCCTTAGTTTAATCATTAGCCTAGCTATATAAAGGTTTACAAAGTGTAGCACTATCCTAAGTTTTGGTGTAGATACACACATATAGACTTGTTATAAAATTTTAAGCACGTTCCACCACTAATATCCTTTTAAACAAGGTCGTCGGTCCAATTTTACTTATTTGTTAAAAGTGCTCGTTTTTTTTTTCGGATTGAATAACACGGTCTTTTTTTTTTCTCCGGCCAACCCAATCGTTTTATCTTCCCTTTTCCTTTCTATTTCAGATTCGATCATATATTCGATGAACTACCATCGCCTTACTCCATCCGACGACAACTGTCTTTTTTCTGTTGTCATTGAATAAGAATCGACTAACACACACGCAGTGACACACACATACACATTCACACAAAATTGTCGAAAAAATAATTTTTTGTTAGCGTAAAATAAAGTGCTTTCGAGGATCCTTGTATTAATAATTCCCAAAAAAAAATTTGTAACAATAATTTTTTTTTTCTTTCTCAAAATGCCTTGAATTGTTTTGTTTTAGGAAAAATGAGAAAATAAGGGTAGAATACAACCACACCCATGAGATATGATTAAATTACGAAAATCCTCTTTTTTCTGGGTAATTACAACCACCCCTCAACTATAATTCTTTTTACACGTTCACCCTTGCAGTTTCAAATATAGTGAAATCTTCTAAATTAGGAGTATTCTCAATCTTGGACTCATTTTATTCCATTCGAGCTCCACATTTTGAAGCTAGATAATCATAAGATTTGTTTTTTAGCTTGTATGCATCAGATTGTGGTGCATCAGAAACTGTATTTTTTCACAAAATAAGTACAATAAAGAACATTTCACGCAATTTAGATCATTAAATAGAATTTGACATCATAAGAATGGATAAGTAAGAAAATTCATAGTTGAGGTGGGTAGATATAATTACCCAAATAGGATATATTTTTTTCATAATTTGACTACGACTTAGGGTTGGATGTAATTTACCCACAAAATAATGACTAGCATTGGAAAGTGGCGGCGCGTGAGAAACACGCATCAGCTGAGAATCCATTAGCGGCTAGTAAAATTATGACTGTCTGTCTCTGTCTCAATCAAAAGTGGGGTCGGCGTTTGCGTAAAATAAAGTGTGTGTGTGTGTGTTTACAGTGGAGATCTAGTGCATGAGGCTAGAGAGAGAAAGAGAGAATTAAAAGTGCTAAATTCGGTGGTAGACCCGAGGTGTATATATATATATATATATATGTTTGTCTCGAGCCCACCGCTGCGTCTGTACATCTCAGTGCGTGTTCTGTGTGAGAGAGAAGTTACATATATAGAGAGAGAGAGTGGGGAGAAGATGAGTACCGCCTGTATATATATCCCGCGATTTCCTCCGCCGTACCTTTTTGTCCCCTTCTCCTTTTTTTCTCCTCCGCCACTAAATCTCCTCCGCCTCACACGCGCTTTTTCCCTCACTTTCTCATCTTGCACATGGCCACATTATATATTGTTTAGTAGGCATATTATATCAAGTTTAGATACTGATTTAATGTCAAATTACCAAAACATATCTCTCTCAATTATGCATTATTTTAGGCGTATACAGTCTACTTTTATTGTATTAAATTTATAGAGTTCTTTTATAGATAATAAATAGTTGATGGCTGTCTGTAATTATTTAAAAATTAGAGATTTTTTCCTAAATTAACCTTATTTTATGGTGTTGTCTGTAATTCGCACGTTACTACATATGAGTCAATGTAACGTTGTTTGACCGAGTCGACATATGGCACTCGTCGATTCAAAGAAATTATGCGGATGTTATGTTATATAAATATTAAATAATCTTTTATATAATAATGTAATGCTAAATTATTATTTTGGTGTTACTCATAAAAATATTTAAGTTCAACTTTTAAGATAATTTTGTGCAAGAGCGTGACAGTAAAGAAACAAGTAGTTGCGGGTGGGCTTAGTACAAATTGCGGTAAAAGGGAATTAGTAAATTTGTTTTAGGAGTTAAATAATAAATTAAAATACCCTTTGCTTGACCTCACAGTGCCCCACGCAAAATGTTTCCCACGCGTCAGATCATGAATGGTGGCATACACGCTTACTTTTTTACCACACGTGAGATTATTAATTATTTAATTGTGGTTAAAATATTTTTTTATATAAATTTAATTTTAATGAACCGAAGAAGTTCGTTAATTGCATTTTATCTGCAAAAGTAGGTCCAATGGGCCACAAAGAATCTCTTTAATTTTTTCGGTTCAATTTTGTAAACTAAATTCGGCCTACAACAATTTTGAGGCCCTTTTCAGGTGGACTTCACTATGTACAATTTCACTATACACACGTGTGTCAGTGTGTGTATATATATATATATATATATATATATATATATATATATATATATATATATATATTGTATTTCATTTTATTTTAATGAAAGAGCTCGCAACAAAATCATATTGGTGCACCGGTTAATTTACACTTTCGTATAATAGTTTACAAACCATACAAGACACAAAAACCGCATTAGGCTAACCACGTGTGTTAAGCTGCACCTAGCGACCGTTGACAAACATATTCGAACTAGAGTTAATTGACAAGTAAATTAATATTTGATTTTTTTTTTCAGCATTGGATCGACAAATTAAACCTCTTGAGATACATTAATTGCGTACCATATATTAAGCACACACATATATACATATATATGTGTGTATGATTTTGTATAGATCAACCGTTAAAAATTTCTCAATTTAAATAACCAGTTACATCATCTAATTACTATTTCCTTTAAATAGCTAGGTCAAACAATCAACTTAAAAAGAGCATCAATTAATTGAACATTCTGTTGAATGTTTCTTTATCCTCCATCTCAATAATTAATAATCATATCCTGGCAGCCGCAGTGTGGGAATTTCAACTCCAACTAGGGTTGGTTCCTTGTGGGCACCAGGTCCAGGTCCGCTATCTTAACGGGCCGTTGAATTACTATAATTTACATTCCTCCATCAATCATCGCGGGGCCAAGGGATGCGGGCCCTAGGGGCGAGGAATTTCGCCTTTTGGTGCAATAATCATATCCATGATGAACATTAAGGTGGTGGTTGCAAATGATTATTTAAAAGCAGAAGTTAGTGATTGTGATTTAAGTTAGTTTTAAGTGCTTATTTCTAAAAGTTGGGGGTGTTTGCAAATATTCCAGAAAATGAACTTAAATAGAAAAAACAGGGTTAGGGGTGCTTTTAAAAAAATAGCTTAAAGCAGATTATTTTGAGAGAAGCAAAAGCAAAAGTTGATTTTGCAAACACCTAAAAACAGATTATGAGCAAAAAAAACCGCATAATCACTTTCAAAAAGCATTTGCAAACACCACCTAAATTAAAGGATAAATACTTATACATGCATCATTTAATATATAAAAAAAAAAAACAAAAACATCATGAAATACTTCTTGATCTTCTGATTGATCCGGTAATTATATAGATAATATTGTTCTATTTAATTTTGCAAATATTATTCATTAATTCATATAAACTTTCTAGCTAATTGAAACGCTTTTTTTTTTTTTTTTTTATATACATATTTTATTAAAAAATAAAATAAAAGAATACATAAAATCTATACAATTCACAAACTTTTTTCTAAATATAAACAATTACATTTCCAAGATCAAACTGATTAAAAAAAAATCTAAAATTGCTACACATAAATGAATTAATTGCAGTGTATTTTTATGTGATCAAACCCTAATTAGAACATTCAACTTTAATTTTCCTTGTGCTTCCTTTCCAACCCAATAAATCTGCAGGGCGAAAACCTAATTTTATTCTCGGTAATCGTCTCGAGTTTCGGCGACCACGTCTGGTCTTTCGATCCCACCAGCTGATTGTAATGCTTCTGCAACTCAGGCGTGCTGCACAAGAAATTACTAGGGCTGCCATTGTTAACACAATCAGATTCTTGATCGCCGCCATTATTAATCTCCTTATGGCTAATTAAGCCCATAATGAACTCAGGTATAACCTTGATCTGAACCCTACCGTCGGAACCCTTCATGTACTCGAACGGGCAGCCCTTGAAGCTGACCGGTCTGGCCCGGTTCTTGTTCTGCCCGCCGCCCGGAGGCAAGCGCCGCCAGGGAGGAGGCGGAGAGGACGGTGTGGGTGAAGCAGTCGAGGGGGAGGAGGAAGTAGGTTTGGCCCCTGAGTAGCTCGTCCCCGATGGCGAGTGAGGGAATCGTTTGGCCTATGAAGAACGAGTCGGCGTGGCAGACGATGCTGTCCGGTGACTCGAACATGATCTCGCCGGCGAGGTGTTTTCCGGTGAGTATTCTGGTGGCGCCGCCGTATGAGATGAGCTTCACGGCGGATGTGGGGGAGTATTCGGGGCGGAAGCAAGCTGTGATTATTGTGTTTCCCATTTATCAGTGATTCAGTTTCCTCTTCCTTTTTTTTTTTCTCTTTGTCTATCAAGAAAGATATCAGATATAAAAAATAGGAGATAAATAGATGTATATATAGGGAGGGTTGACTTTGAGAAAGTCTGTGAATGTATGTGTATTTTCTTGATTGAGAGGGGGGGGGGGGGGGGGGGT